CATGATATCGCACTGATGGAGGACATCCGCGCGGGTTGCGGGGATTTCCACATCGATGGTATCAGGGTTGTTTGTGGAAGGTTTGGCACGGTAGGCCATCTTCGTGAGGCGGCTGCTGATTTCGGTGGGGCTGAGGTTCAAGCCACAGCACTGGTTGATGTATGAGACCTCGGCCTGGGTGGTGCGGGGTGTGATATCAGGGCTGACACGAGTCATCTTGTTATGATCTGAGACAATTTGAACGGGCTCGATACTAGATGTAAGTCAGCATGTGCATCCATAGAACAATATAACTGGCAACCTACGTGAAGGGCTCCGCGGTGTATTGGGAGAACATGGTGACCATCATCTTAGTCACAATATCCAGCTTTGTCTTATCAAGAGCTGTGATTTCAATGAAGACATTTGTGGTGTGCAGGCCGATCTTTGAGCGATCACTGTTGATGATCGGGGGCAGGGAGCAGACAGTTCGCTTCGAGTCGTAAATGACTGGGTACACTGGGGAATCACGAATGATGTGCAGGTATTTGCCCAGTTGTGGGTGTTTCTGTTCGAGGTCAGACCAAAGGTTCTGCGAAGGTGAACACAATGTGTTCGCCTTACCTCATAGAAGTTCATCAACTCCTCGCCATCCATCTCCTCGGTCTGGTTCAACGGGGTGAACTTGATGTCCTTGGGAGGGTGGGCCTCATAGGTGAAGGGACCCTGGACCGTGTCCAAGTCATGGGTACCAATTGAGACCAGAGTTCTTTGACGGGCCAAGTTCTGGTGAAGCTTGTCCTGGAGAGCGATGAAGGACTCGTAGCGAGCCTGGTCGAACTTGACATTTCGTAGAATTGCGCCAGACACATAGGGTCTGATCTTCGTGGTCTATTTATATATGTTCAGCATGCGGGCCTCCAGCAGGTATACAAGGGTATACCAACGTCTTCCTTCACAATGATTTGCTGCATCTGTCCATTCGCTGGCGGAACCAACTTGTACTCGGGGAGCGGCTTCCGTTCCAGGAAGATGTTGAGCATGAGCGCAATGCCCTCGAAGCACAGCAAATCATATCTGCAAACTTTCTCAGCCTATAATTCGCCCAAATTCTTCCCAGACGCTTATTCATACCGGTTGGCGGGGATTTCAATCTTGAGCTGCGGAGGCTCTTGCTTTCCGTCGACGATGGGGCGGTCCGAGTTTGTAGTCTATTGGCTCTCAGCTTGCGTTCCCGATTGAAGTCATTTTTGTCCGGAGAATCATACATCCTCGTCAAGCTCAATACCTATTTGCACAGTTAGCCCACGTTCCGCATGACTGCCCGATAGGTTCCTTACCGAACTCGAAGCACAGCTCATCAAATTCCTCCGTAGTGTAGCTTAACCCGCGCAAAAACATATTAGCGGTGTACAATTCCACATTGGGTCACAGCGAACGTACTCTCGGCCCAGCTCCTTGAAGAGAGCGGCCTTGTCGACCGAGATGGTAGGCATGGTGGGGTTTGACGCGAAGCAATTCTGGAATTAATCAGTGGGGAACTCGGATATAAACCTGGAAGCAAATCCCAAGTAAAGCGAAGCGGGACCTAGGGAAAGACCGTACGAGACGAGAGAAGAGAGATCTGGAAACACGATAGTCCAGAGAGATGACTCCGATGGGAAATTCTGCCCGCAAGCCACCACCGCCACAGATATCCCCCTCTTTTGTGACGCGCGTATTGGTATGGTAATTCCCTTCCGTCATTGCCCTTTTCCTGCCTTCACCGCCGGTATGTCATTTACCCTCTCTGTGTTTGGTGAACAAACCTCGCTCCGGCCTGTCTCTACCAACCCATCCCCTTGTCATCTCAAACCTCCCCACGATACGAAGAATCGGAGTGGATTTGAAAATCGTATCGCTTCTCTCTAGTTCATGAAGATACCATATACCTGTTTTCAGCCATCATTCACCGTGTCAGGTCCACCCACCCTGAGATCACCTCTTTCCTCAGAACTGGGACCTGCCACATCCTTGCCTCCTAGGCCGTTTCCCTTGACCTCACAACAACCCCGAAATTCACAATGGAAGGGCAGAACGAAAACGACGAGCTCTATCCCATCGCTGTGCTCATTGACGAGCTGAAGGTACACGAGGTCCCCCTCCTGCAGGTGGTGGTAGCGAATATCGGAGCTCACATTTCATACCCCATAGCACGATGATGTCCTTCTCAGACTTAATGCAATTCACCGCCTATCCACCATCGCGCTTGCTTTGGGCCCCGACAGGACCCGCGAGGAGCTTATCCCATTTCTTGATGGTTGGTTATCACTCTCATCTTCCTGATGATCGAATCCACCTGACATTATTCATCGCTAGACTCCGTGGAGGATGAGGACGAGGTTTTGACAGCGCTGAGCGAAGAACTTGGCAATTTCACAGAATATGTTGGGGGTCCGGAGCATGGACATGTGCTCCTCTCTCCGCTGGAGAATTTGGCGGCCATCGAGGAGCCCTTGGTGAGAGAAAAGGTATATACTACTTGATTTTTGATGGGACGAAATTCTGACTGTTTGGATCAGGCCGTTGAATCTCTCAACAAAGTATGCGAGCAACTCTCAGAGAGTCAGGTCGAGGAGCACTTTGTCCCTCTCGTCCTGCGCTTGTCGAAGGCAGACTGGTTCACCTCAAAGGTCTCCGCGACTGGCCTCTATTCCACACCATACCGGAAAGCTACTCCCGCGCTGCAGCAGAGCCTCCAACAGCATTTCGGAGCCTTGGTACACGATGAGACCCCGATGGTGCGGCGACAGGCGGCAAACAATTTGGCCAAATTTGTGAAGGAGATGCAAAGTCAGGTCGTTATCGATGAAATAATTCCTCTCTTCCAATACCTGGCGGGTGATGATCAGGATAGCGTTCGTCTGCTCACTGTGGATATTCTTATCGCAATTGCGGAGGAGATTCCTAAGGAGCAACAACCCAGCCACGGCGTCTTACTCACATCGCTGCGCAGTCTGTTTGAGGACAAGAGCTGGAGAGTGCGATACATGGTTGCCGATCGCTATGAGAAGGTTCGTTCATGGTTTATCTGATCTTGTGTATCGAAGACATGCAGGCAGTACTGACACATGCCCTAGATTGCCAAAGCTGTCCACGAAGAGGTTATCACTCGTGACATGGTTCCCGCCTTTGTTAAACTTCTGAAGGACACGGAGGCTGAGGTTCGCACTGCCATTGCTGGCCAAATTCCCGGTATGATACCTTTTGCTCTCTACGCATGCAACAATGACTGACTCTCTATTCAGGCTTCTGTCATTTGATCGATCGCGACACTCTCCTTAATGAGATCATGACTAGTGTGGAAGACCTTGTGTCTGACCCTTCTCAGCACGTCCGGGCTTCTCTGGGCACTCAGATTAGCGGACTTGCCCCCATTTTGGGCAAGGACGAGTTCGTCCCACCAATGTCCACGAAACCAAACCAATTGCTAATTATATCTCTAGGACTATTGCTCACCTTCTTCCTATGTTCCTTCAGATGCTCAAGGATGAGTTCCCTGATGTTCGCCTGCACATTATCTCCAAGCTTGAGCAAGTCAACAAAGGTGAGGAAATTTCAGTATCCCGCTATGCAAGGTCATTGTTCTAATACTCCTATAGTTATTGGCATCCAGCTTCTATCTCAGTCTCTTCTTCCCGCTATTGTTCAACTGGCCGAGGATAAACAATGGCGCGTGCGCCTTGCCATCATTGAATATATCCCTCTTCTCGCCAGCCAATTGGGAGTCGAGTTCTTCGATGAACAGTTGAGCGATCTTTGCATGGGATGGCTTGGGGATACTGTCTTCTCAATCCGAGAGGCTGCTACTGAGAACTTGAAGAAACTTACTGAGGTGTTCGGAGTGGAATGGTCAAAGGCTTCGATTATTCCCAAGGTGATGGCCATGGGACAGCACCCCAACTATCTTTACCGCATGACAACATGCTTCGCTGTTTCTGTGAGTTCTCTCTGCCACTGCGCATGTTATAAGCGCTAATCATTATTAGACTCTTGCTCCTGTTGTTACAGTTGACATCATCGAGAGCTCTCTCCTCCCTATTCTGGAGCGTCTTGTGACGGACGACATCCCCAACATTCGATTCAATGTCGCCAAGTCCTACGCTGTCCTCATCGCCACATTGCGTCGTCTGCCGGCTGATAAGACCTTGGTTGAGGTTGAGAAGTCCGAGGAAACTATTACGCCCTCACCTCAAAGCCAGGAGTTGATTCAAAGCAGAGTTGTGCCCAGTTTGGAGAAGCTACAGGAGGACGACGATGTGGACGTCCGATACTTCGCTACAACTGCTGGTGGCAACCAGGATGAGACCATGCAAACCTCCCCTTGAATTTTATGCAATTAGGTGATTATATCATCTGCTCGTTGGGGAAAGACATGATTCGGATACCCGCAGGCAAGGGACAGGACGCGGGACATTCTGTCACGTTAGAGCAACCAGCAAGAAACCGGGATGAGCTGTCTTGGTGGCGTTTTTAATGTAGAGAACTTGGTCGACGCATAATCATTGAGCCGTCTAGAGTAGTCTCAAAAGCAAATGCGAGAATACTGATAACACTTTCCGTGGTAGGATACTCACAGTATCTGGTCCAGCCTGTATCCATATATAATTCGTGAAACCTATAGAGCTTGCGAGCCCTACACATGTGCCCACTAGGACAGGTGGGCTTAACGCGTCAAATGCGATTTATTTGTCAGCGGGTCTGGGGTGAGAATAAGCTGACCACGTAGCCTCACATATTACACATTGCAGTTGTTTTTCATTGCTAGCAGATGCGCGGTACATCAATACTCGTCCGCCTTTCCGCTGGTATCAAGCTGTTTTCGCTCGTGATTTTTCGCTTGTTCAAGGGACTTCTTTAAGTAGCCCGGCATATCTCAACCGGCCAACTTGTTTATCTCATGCCATATACGGACCCATAGGACCTTACAACAGTCCTTGCGCCATCTCACGTTCGCCATTGAACTGGGCAACAAGTGAATCATGTCGTCCTTGTGGCCGTACCATTTCATTTCCCTCTCTGAATCCGATAAGCTGCATCGCCGGGACCTTCTTGATCTTCGAGGACATTGTGCACAATGGTCCATCGTTCTAGCCATGATCGCAGTCCGGGTCTTCCAAGGTTTGGCAACAGCTTCAGGGAAGACATCGAAACCAGCCCGCGGGCTACCTTCGTGGTGGGACCGGCCACTTGTTCCTGGATGGATAGAAACTCGACGACAGTATTTCATCTGCGGGCTCTGGCTATCATGGCTTTTAAGCCTCTCGGTTTGGAACAGTGGAGAAGGTATGGTTCAAAACATGTTGGATGAGAACGAGGAAGAATCAGCTACTGACATATCTAGCAGACTATCTTCATTTGACCAAAGCATTGGGTCATGTCGGCCTGTCTCAAATACCTTTACAGGCCTTGATGTCGCCAGCGGCGTATATTTCAACTATCAAGCCAGGAGCGTCATCGTTATGCTCGGTTTTGACCGGTATCTCTCAGCCAATTTTGACACCGTATCACCGTCTCTTTGGCCGAGTTGTTGTCTTGCCTCTCCTCTTGGCCCATGCCACGCTGTACATGGCCTTTTTCGTGCAAAACAGTCATCCGGAGTTCGGTCTCTTAGTCTTCAAACGAGTTCGTGACTCTGATGTGCAATGCGGCCTGGTTGCGATATCCTCGGTGGCGTTTCTCTTCCTCTTCGCGCGGCCTCGTGGCACTAAGCAGAATGGACTACAAGGTTGGCTAATGCAAGGTCCCGTCCAAGAACGCAGGCGCATGTTTTACCTCTATCACGTGTTTTTGGTCGCGGTGTTGTGTGGTGCAGCTTACTGCCATGTCAAGCAGGCGCAAAAGTACATGATTCAGACTTTGGTGGCCTCAGTGCTCAATGGGGTGTGTTCTTGGGCAGTGGTGCAATGGGGAGGTCGAAGATAAAATAAAATATATACATACCATTGAATGCTGACTAGCTAACAAGACCCTGTCTGAGTTGCCTAAAAGTGTGGAGATATATAGCTCCACCATTCGATCAATTAATGAACATTAGTTGAACATTCGATATCCGAAGACTATTAAAGCCTTGCCCCAAGCTTTCAGCCCTGTAATAAATGACAGAAATGTCTTATGCCTCCTATGATTAGTTAGACAATGGTGGCTTTGTCCTGGGGGTCTGCAGCTGGGCAAACACCACCTTTACAAGCAAACCTCGCCTTTGAGAGCAAGGAAGCAAAAGAATGCAGCATCATCTTCCACATATGTCTCCGTACTCTTCTTTAATTCTTCTCTATGACCCCTAGGGCGTTGGCAGAGATTACGTATTCTGCGCCCCCGAGTCTTGGCGCCATTAATAGCGAGTCTCGACTTTCTGGGCTCCCTCCCTACTCTCAGCCCTGCACGTGTGCTCTTCACCCATGCCTCACCCCAATGGCAGCATGCGCCTCCAACGGCTGATTGTATTGCTCGCAATTGGCACCGTCGCCTGTCTTTCTCTTCTATTATTGCGATCCTCAACCCCGACCCCGGAGCCTATAGACCTACCCCCTCCCGAACCGATCCAGCATCCCAAACTCTACGAGGGGAAGACATCATGGCCCCCTGAGAAGCAACACCCTATTTCGCGCCTGATCGAGAACGCGCAGCAGAACTTCGATCATGCGCGGTCACGGCAGTCCCAGACCCTGGCGGAAGCCGTGACGGAGTACCAGCGCCGCTATAATATGCACCCGCCGCCCCATTTCGACAAGTGGTTCGAGTTCGCCCAAGCGAAGGGCGTTCAATTTGTCGATGAGTTTGATTCTATCTACCACTCCCTCCTGCCATTTTGGGGCCTCAAGCCCGCGACCATTCGTGAACGGGCGCGAGAAACACTTGGATTTGACAATGCCGTGCTTGGAGTCCTGATCCGTGATGGTAAGGTGTCCTTAACGGATGGAGGTGGTGATGATCGAAAATGGCAGCGAGACGCCACTGCTGGCATGATGGAAGCTTTCGTCAAGTACCTGCCAGATATGGACTTGGTGTTCAACACCCATGACGAGCCTCGTGTTATCATCCCTAGCGCAGACCTTCGGCGATTGGTGCAGACAGCGAAGGACCAGGCAATCCCCGCCGCTTTCAAGAAAACCAACCCAACCAACGCGTGGTCCCCTCGCTCCTCGGATCTCAACAAGGGCGACCGTATCGACGAGGTGCGCACCACTCGATTCAACCGCTTCGCCCACCAGCCTACCTGGACGAATTCTCGAATTTCCTGTCCCGTGGATAGCCCCGCGCGCTCCCTCGACGACGACGCCCCAGATGACGTTAGCCCTTATGCGTACGGTGAACTAGGGTTCATCTATAACACTACGGCGGCCTCTGATATCTGTTACACTCCCTCCCTCCGTTCCTCATATGGATTCTTCGACCGACCAAACGCATTCGATGTCGTCCACGATCTGTTCCCTGTCTTTTCGCAGAGCAAGGTTTCCAGCTTCCAGGATATTCTCTACCCGAGCCCTTGGTACTGGGCGGACAAGGTGCCATATGACAAGAGCAAGGACTTTGCTTGGGAGGCCAAATCCGATCGCATGTACTGGCGTGGCTCGACAACGGGTGGCTTTTCCCGCGCAGGAGGCTGGCGCCGCCAGCATAGACAACAGCTGGTTGACAATGTCAATGGTTTGGGAAATACTAAGATCATGATCCGCCAGCCGGACAACACATGGGTCGCACAGGAAGTCAGTCGGGACACGCACCGTGACTTGTTTGATGTCAAATTCACATTTATCGGTCAGTGCGACCCGGACGACTGCAATGCGCAGATCGAGTACTTCGGTGTGGTCAAGGCGGCTGGGCAGCAAGATGCGTGGGCACACAAGTATCTGCTCGATATCGACGGAAACGCCTTCAGTGGACGTTTCCATGCTTTCCTTCACAGTAACAGCATGGTCTACAAGATCGCCATATTCCGCGAGTGGCACGACGAGTGGTTGAAGCCCTGGGTACACTATGTGCCTCTCAGCCTGAAAGGTAACGAGTACACCGAGAGCATGCGTTACTTTGTCACAGAGGAAGAGGGCAAGAAGTCTGCCCTTCAAATTGCCACCCAGGGCCAGCGCTGGGCCCAGCAAACCTTACGAAATGAAGACTTGGAAGTTTGGTTCTTCCGGTTACTCCTGGAGTAAGTTCTATTCCATATGTCCTTTTTTGAATATCCTGCTAACTTTGCACCCAGGTATGGCCGTCTAGTGGACGACAACCGTGAACAACTGGGCTTCGTCCTATGAGCAACCTAATATCTTCCCTACCGGTGCTCTGTATATACTCCCCCTTTCTTTCCGAGGTCTTTGTGTTATGCTTTGCTGAGCCTCCATTAAGCCCCATGCGGGTACTCGACGAGATCATGGCTTTCCCCGACCTTTTTGTTTTTCCCTGTTGGATTGCATCGACATGCATGTTAATACCCTTTTCTTATTCCTCTTGTTTCATCCTCTTGGACGGTTTGACGGGTTTAGACCCTCCCGATGATATTCGGTTGCATGTGAAGAGGAACTTGGCGTTTGCCGGCATGGGAGCCCTTTGAGATCAAACTTGTAAAATCTCTGCATTGAAACGCTTCTGTATGCTTATAATGTGATCTTTGCATTCTCATTCTACCTCGGGATGCCGATCAGTAGCTTAGTCCAGGGGTTTACTTGACATTGTCTATAGAGTTTTGGTCTCTGGGTTGACACGCGTTCTGAGAGCCAGTTTTTGCAAATAAATCCAGAACATCATGTATTGGTCAGTCAATGTTTCCAGCATGTCGCCACAACGTCTTCCCCACTGTATCGCATGCATACATGTCTAAACCCGAGACAGCCTATCATGCAGTCACCCAACAAATGCAGTGGCAACCGATCGACACGACCATATGACAGACGTGCCAGCTTGTATTGAGCATTTGTAGAAACAGAATATCAAGCTCAATTACCCAAATATACATTCTGATGCCTAATCGTGAAATTTAGGTAAGACATTAAATGACTAAGCGGAGTGACGCAACCTCGGATGAGCGCATTTGGCATAGCTTTGCTTGTGAATTGATGGCAGTGATGTTTGCTTGCTTTATATAACTTCCCCCACCTCTCTGACACCTGTCGACTGACATATACCTGATAACCCCATGGTCGATAAAGCTTGCTTCACCATGGCCAAGTTCCTATCACGAGCGTTGGCTGCGGTCCTCGTTTTTAGTTATGGCCTCTTTACCCTGGTTCTTTATGGCCTGATTGCCGTGAAGAATGGTACCTATTTCAAGCGCCCTACTGAAAGGGAGGAGTTGGAGCTACAGCTTGGTGAGTCGGCTGATGATTCACTGATCCGTAGATAGCCTCTGGCTAATGTCTCTGCACCACAGCCCGTGATCGTCTCTGGAACTTATCTGAGGACTTTGAGGGCCTCTCCCACCACATGCTGACCTTGCAGAGCGGGTTCAAGTTTCACTTTGTTGCCAATGACAAGCCCAACACCCCCGAAACCATCGACTCTGACAGACCTTTGGTCATCTTCATTCACGGATTCCCCGATAGCTGGGCAATCTGGCGACACATCCTCAAATCTCCTTCTCTGCGCCAGGCCGCCTCTCTAGTTGCCATTGACCTCCCCGGATATGGAGGCACCGAGAGCCTGGATAAATACAATGCCACAAATGTGCTGGAGAAGTTGACCGAGTTGATCATCACTCTCCGTATCCAATATGGCGTGGACTCGAGTGAAGAAAGCAACAAGAAGAGAACCATTATCGTCGCGCACGATTGGGGCTGCGTCTTGTCAATGCGTCTTGCTGCCGAAGCTCCAGCTCTGGCACATCGCTTCATCCTATCCAATGGACCAACAGTATGTTCCACAAGCTCTCATCCGCAGAGCGCATCGTTAAGACTCACGACTCGCAGGCGAAACTAGTTCAAGCGAATGTCCACCGTATCCTTTCCACAACCAAGAAGATGCTCGGCAATGCCTGGCGCTCACCACGCCATGCGCGCGTCCCACTTATGCAGGCACTCCGCACCCTCGCCCCCCTCGCCCGCCAGCTCTTCCTGTCAGGCTATATCTTCGCCATGCAGATGCCCGTACCTTTTGTCCTGCAGTTCTTAACCGGCGGAAACTACTCACTTCTAAAGGGTGTCCACCTTCGCGCTTCCGGTGGTATACTAACACCCTACGAGGCGGCAGAGGGTATGGCGAGCAGCATGGGCCCATCAGTCGCTGAGTTCAAATCCAAGACCGCCAGTGGGGATACATACCCCGCCACCCTGGAGAACGAGCGGGCATTCGCGCATGTAATGCATATGGCGGGGTATTATCGTGATCACGCGTCTGTGGCTCGCTGGGAGAAATCCATCGAGACAGTCGCCAGCTTGCATAGCATCTCGAGTGGAAGTGAGATGCGACGCTCTAGTAGCGGTGCTGGATTATTCGATGAAGGTCCCACGGGCGCTCTTAAGGCTAGCTCCACTATCTTCTGGGGCCAGCAGGATATCGCGCTTGATCAGAGGATTTGTCTGGATGGCATGGCTGATTTCTTGGTGAATGACAGCCAGATTGTTCTGCTTCCTCGGACGGGACATTGGACGCCGGTTGAGCCTGAGAGCCGTGCGGCTTTAATTAAAGTTGTCGAGTGGGCTGCGCATGGTGAGCAGGGTGATGTCGGGGCTGTTATCCAGAAATCTTATCCTGGGGCGAAGGTGACTGTTCGTCGGTGATTTAAATTGAGACCTGAGAGGTGGATTTGACATACTCTTTACAACCATTATAAATTTGTTGGCAAATTTGCGAGCTCAACGCCTCGTATTTATGTGAAGCACGTATTGCAGGCAACTAGAGCTAAGGCGGTTAGTAAATGACCGGGGTTCACGTCGCCAGGGCCTCGTCAGTTTCAGACAGAGGGACTGAAGATGTAAAAATGGGGTGATTGTCTAATGTAGAGATAGCAGAGCAGAAGAGTAGAAGAGCAGAAGAGCAGAAGAGAAGAAGAGAAGGGATGGCGAACTCAACACGGAAATCACCCGCTTCCCCAGAACCCCAGAAGTGTCACGTTTACCCGGTGAGGGGGAACGTCCACTTCCCCTCGCCTCTTTAGGTCTGTGTGTCTGACAACTTTCTTTTCTCTTTTCTCAAGCTTCAGTTCTAGCTGTTTTAGCTGGATTATTCCCAACATTCGCGTTACCCCTGGCCAACCCTCGGGACATGCAGTGAAGAACGGCTGTTTTCGTTCAACCTGAGTCCGGGCCAGGTACCACAAATCACACCCGATTTGACACGCCCAAAACTAAACCGTGGGATAAATATAGGGCTCTCTCTTCTTCTCCCCTCAAACTTGATTGGGGAAGCTCCCATTTTTCTGTTGAGGGACCGGCGCGATGGCTTCCGACGGGGTCTACTGTACGGTAGGTGAACCCCCTCTTTCTAACCCCCAGGGCTGTCTACAGAAGGACGTGAATATGCTGACGAGCCATTGCAGCTCCTGCTGAGCGATCATTATCTTCCGGGTAAGTGATCGTCATGTGGCGAACCAATTGCCTTGCTAATTCGCCTTGCCTTAGGTGCTATGGTCCTTGCCCATTCCTTACGCGACAATGGCACGAAAGCGAAGCTGGTGGCTCTCTTTACACCGGACAGACTACAATCAGCCACTATCAATGAGCTACGGGTATGATCGGCCCCCTCTTGCCTTTCCCAGTGACCCTATGGGGTGTTCGGACTTAACTGACGTTTTCGTGCTAAGACCGTCTATGATGAGCTGATCCCAGTGAGCTCGATGGTGAACGGCACCCCGGCGAATCTCTGGCTGATGGATCGCCCAGACCTGATCGCGACGTTCACCAAGGTCGAGCTCTGGCGCCTGACACAATACAAGCGGGTCGTATACATTGATTGTGACATCGTGGCCCTGCGAGCTCCCGACGAGCTGTTATCCTTAGACGCAGACTTCGCCGCTGCACCTGACGTTGGCTGGCCAGATTGCTTTAATAGTGGGTTGATGGTCCTCCGACCTAATTTGCAGGACTATTATGCGCTCAAGGCTCTTGCTGAGCGAGGCATCAGCTTCGACGGCGCGGACCAGGGACTGCTGAATATGCACTTCCGGGACTGGCATAGGCTAAGCTTCACGTATAATTGTACGCCCAGTGCCAATTACCAGTACATTCCTGCGTACAAGCATTTTCAGAGTACCATCAGCCTTATTCACTTCATTGGTTCGCAGAAGCCGTGGACTATGCCGAGGCAGATTGTTCCGCTGGAGTCTCCATACAACCAGCTGCTAGGTCGGTGGTGGGCTGTTTATGACAAGCATTATCGTTTGCCATTTGTACGTGTTGTGATTGATCCAATTTACCTCCCAGACTGACCATTGCTAGGTATCACAGCCGCAGGGCGCACCGGGTGGGTTCAAGACATCGCACCCGCCCCAAATTGTTCCCACGTCTAGCACTGAAGGCCACACAAGTCATACTCGGGCGCATGAACCGACGGCGTCTCACCATGAGCAATGGCCGCAACCGTACCATGTTCATGCTGATTCGGAACACCAGCCTGAGAGCTTCCATCATGTGTCACACCACGAAGCACCGGAAGTCGATGAACAACACCATGAACAACGCCATGAACAACACTATGAACAACACCACGAACAACACCGTGAACAACACCATGACACGCATCATGAGGTTCATGCAGCTCCGGCCGAAGCAGCTCCGGCTCCTGTATTGAGCATGGTACCTCAATATGTTCGCGGAGAGGAGCATGTTTCAACTTATATCCCCCCGTTGCCTTACACGGCGCCAATTACATTCGCCCCCAAACTGAGCCATGAGACACATCATGAGATACCGCAAGTATACCAGCAGGCACCGGATGAGGGAAGTCATCATATACACCAACCACAACCCGTGACGCCGATTCCTCCAATCGCTTCGATGGATGAGCCATATCAACGTCCACCTTCTCCGATACCAGTGCCTCCAACCTTTGAGGCACCTAAATATGAGTGGGATCCGGCGCGGTAAGATGAATACGTCTGTTAGAATGCGTGAACACCTGCTTATGCCATACAGAGAGCCACCACCGGTGAATTCGAAACCGGAGGGAATCAGTCTGCAACAAAAGACGTACACCATGTCTGATGACACTCAACTATTCCAACCCCCTGCATCCTATCCCGAGGCACCAAGAAACATGTACTACCAAGTCCCCGCAACCAGATCAGCACCAGAAAAGCCCGCCCCAGTATTCCCCTGGGAAAGCCACGCTCCGAAACCAACCCGCGTCTTCCCAACCGAGCAACCACCCCCAGAATCAACCGAGGACGAACCAACCCCTTCCCAAACAACCAAAGACCCCATCCATAACCCCCCACCCCGACCCCCTCAGGCCCCTCCTACACCCGAGTCCCCTACGAACCAAGCTCCGAATCATGGCAAACATACACACGCTCCAACGCCTGGGACGAAGACCCCGAGATCCAGCGCTACATCGAAACAGTGCAACAAGCCCGCAAAGCCAGAACCCAAGTAATTTCCAGCCCAGGCTCATCTCACTCCAACACCAGCGCCACAAGCCACAACAGAGACAGAGACAGCGTCTCCTCACCCCCATCCATAGGCCGCAAACCAAGCACCATAATAACAGACTTCCCAACCGAAGTCGAGCGCCCCAGCCTCCCCGTAACGCCCGCGCCAATCCACCGCGGCAGTGGTAGTTACGGAGCGAGCCACGATGGGAGCGATGCCTCTGGCGCGCATGGCCTGCCCACTGCGGAGGGCGTGCCGAGCCAGGAGGAATGGGTGGGTGTCACGGTTGATGCGTTTTCTTCCTTGCTTAACGCAACGTACTTATTGTGGCGGTCTATAGAATCCCCTGGCTCGGCTCGAGGAGCTGCGTCGTCGGCAGTCGGAAGTTTTGGAGCATCCGGAGAGACTCTTTAGTCGTCTTGCTGGGTTGCCTGATAGGGCTAGTTTTGAGAGTGCCCCTGAGGCTGAGTGACTATATATTTTTTCTTTCATTATGCTCTTTTTGTCGTGTTTTTTTAATTATCTTTCCTTGAATCTTTTGGGTGCTTGGCGAGAGTTCGTTTTTTTGTTTCTCACTCCTCATCTCTCATTTCCCGCGTTGCATATGCATATGAATTGGAAAACTCGAGATGCATACTTGAAATTTGGTTAGTGAAAATATTAATAGCGAGGCTGAGTGGAAAAGCCTGAATCTGCGTGTACTTTTTCCCTGGTTGCCCGCTCCCTGTAGTTCTGGGGAACATCTAGATGGTTGATCTGAGGCACTCGAAAATTGGAAAAAAGCGGTAAAAAAAGCGAGGCCAAAGTAGGGCGAAAACAATGATGAAAACAACGTGGCAGTATGCGTTTCAGATTCGCCCTCCGATATTCCATTGACTCCTAAGTTCGAAAGCTCCCTTTGGACCAACCAGTGAATAGGACGCCAATAGAGCAAACAGGTACCAGCTACACCCAGGCCAGGCACAAGGGGGGTCATGCATTTCTAAGTCCCTGGCTGTTGGATTGATTCGTTTTCGAGAGAATAGCATAAAACTGCATTTTTACATAAGAATACAACATACAATCTCATCTTGTCAAGACTATCAACGCTAAAGATAGAGAAAAGGGTATTTAAAAAAGAGTCTAGGAGCATGGACAAAATTACTCTTGTCCATCATCAAGGCGTTGACCACGATAGGAGTAAAAATTGGTCTGCTTGACATGAAATGCCTTGCCGGTTTTCGCATCGAAAATGGAGAATCCATGAATCGCAGCGTTGGGTGGAGTGTAAACTGTATGCAGTGTCAATTTCTAGAGGTCCGGGAGATGGATACATAAAAGGATGAGGCGAACATACGATGTAATGAGATGGCGAAATCTTCCGGGTCAGGGTTGGATATGCGATGCAGACCTAGCTTGTCGGACATGTAGGTCACTTGGTTTTCGCCGTAGGTGGTTTGCTTGGTAAGTTGCGGTGGGGAGGGTTGGCCATCCTCTATTTTTGCTTGGTCGGGCCATGAGTAGAGGTTCTCTTGAAGCTTCCCTTTCAAGATCTATATTTATTTCGAGGTCAGCCCGAGAAACGAATGCTCCTGACGATGCCGATATTTACGACCAAAGAGCCACGAACCTTCATAACACAGTGTGCGTTGGCGTGATCATGGATTAAACTGCCTTTTCCAGGACTCCACACAAGTATCAACTAGTAGAAGAAATTAACTTATATGTTTCCACAAGCGACATGAACGTCATTTGGAATGGCAATGTCTTGACCCACCAAGTTGCTCTTGCCGTTCCCCTCGTCAATTAAATTCCTTGTGTATGTCCTGCTTGCATCCCCCAGTGCATAAGAGCCCCATTCTTCCTCATTTGAAACATATTTCTCCATCAAAAGTTGTATTTCCATCGGGTCGACATCACTAGAATCGAGCCCCGAACTCGGACCTAAAGCCGCACTAAGGTTCTCCACGAGCCTCTCGAAGGCGCCTGGACCTGTTTGGTTGTCGCGGGGCAATCCGGATTCGGATTTAAGGAAAGGCATGATGTCGAGGTAGGTTCTGAGAGCTGCCCACGGGCTTTTGTGTGCTCTAGGGTGTTGACGGAGGAAAAGGAGCGCTATCGGAGGTCGGAAGGTGGAGGGATGGAGTTGGAAGTATTGCGTGCTTATAGTAGCCACCAATGGTAGCAATGAAACTCTGCCAAGTCTAAAAGACTATGACCATTTATCTGAAGTTGAAACAACAAAGTAATAAAGTAGCAAAGTCGCAAGTCGCAAAGTAGTTGCGCGATAAGCGATAAGGAATGACCTTGTCGCTCAGGCACCGAATGACATAATTGCCCTCGTTGCCTGAGGCGCACACCCCGCCCTGACTAAAAACTGCGGTGCCACAATTCAAAGATTGTCCGCAAGTGCTTTTCACTACAGCAGTGCTCTCCCAGACACATTCGAGTCCCTGAGTTTCGGGGATTCCCACTTACGTTTATTTAGATTTTAATTGCTGGTTCAAATCGCCAAGATGTCGACCACTATTGAAAAGGTGAGTTAATCGCTCAGAATTTTGACCATGACGTCGCATGTCACTAACCATGTTATTTCTTCCAATAGATCAAAGAGATCGAGTCTGAGATGGCTCGGACTCAAAAGAACAAGAACACCTCGTTCCATTTGGGTACGCGCGCACTCCCAGACACCCTTTCGACATCATCGACATGATTTTTGACAACTTGTGCAGGACAGTTGAAGGCGAAGCTTGCTAAGCTCAAGCGTGAACTCTTGATGCCAAGCAGCGGAGGTGGTGGCGGCGGTGGTGGTAAGTACTTGTTCAGAGGTCTAAAGGAACTTTTCGGTTGCTAACTGTGTCTTTAGCCGGTTTCGATGTTGCGCGTACTGGTGTTGCGAGTGTGTAAGTACCCTAATAGGACGGCAGGGAGATTTCGACGGCAACGTACTCACAGTTCACAGTGGCTTCATTGGTTTCCCATCCGTCGGCAAGAGTACTCTGATGAATAAATTGACTGGACAGCATTCGGAAGGTTAGTTGGAGCAATACCTTTCACACGACAAATTCTAATATCTCTCTTCAGCCGCGGCTTACGAGTTCACAACCCTCACAACTGTCCCCGGTCAAGTGATGTACAACGGTGCCAAGATTCAGATTCTCGATCTTCCCGGTATTATTCAAGGTGCCAAAGACGGAAAGGGTCGTGGTCGACAGGTTATTGCAGTGGCTAAGACTTGCAACCTTATCTTCATTGTCCTTGACGTGAACAAGCCATTGGTTGACAAGCGTGTCATCGAGAACGAATTGGAAGGATTTGGTATTCGGTGCAACAAGACCCCCCCAACATTCTGTTCAAGAAGAAGGACAAGGGTGGTATTGCCATCACCAGTACTCAGCCTTTGACCCATATTGACAACGACGTGAGATATTCATGCAAGTCGGGGATTTCGGAGCAACGCTAACAACGACAACGATGTCTAGGAAATCAAAGCTGTGATGAACGAGTATAAGATTTCGTCTGCCGATATCTCTATTCGATGCGACGCCACTATCGATGACCTGATTGATGTCCTTGAAGCCAAGAGTCGCAGCTACATTCCCGTCATTTACGCGCTGAACAAGATTGATGCCATCTCTATCGAAGAGTTGGATCTGCTTTACCGGATTCCCAACGCCTGTCCTATCAGTTCGGAGCACGGATGGAACGTTGATGAGCTGATGGAAATGATGTGGGAAAAGCTCAAGCTGCGCCGAATCTATACCAAGCCCAAGGGCAGAGCACCCGATTACTCGGCACCTGTTGTGCTGCGTTCCTATGCATGCACAGTCGAAGACTTCGTAAGGGCTACCTCTTATCTCTCACAAAGGAAGAACATAAACTAACCGCAATTAGTGCAACTCCATTCACCGCACTATTAAGGACGACTTCAAGCACGCTATCGTGTATGGTCGCTCCGTGAAGCACCAACCGCAGCGTGTCGGCCTTTCGCACGAGCTGGCCGATGAAGATATCGGTAAGTGACCGTTGTATCTCCAATGTAACTATGGATTTGAAAGCTGACGGGCTACAGTGTCGATCGTCAAGCGGTAAAGGATTTGGCCACAAATCCTAGACCCCTATAGCCCGCGTGCGGAGCGGCGAGCTGATCCAAGCGGCGCTGGTGGCAGGTGGTCTGTGCCAGCATGTCTTTGCGCCTTCAGTATGACAGGCACACGGCTTCTGGGATAACTCCCCGTAAGACGCCACCGGACTCGAGCGTGGTTGGATAGACTCGTTCCAGCACGGGCGACCAAGATGAATTGGGGGGAACCTTGAGTCAGAGCTACGTTTTGACGAGATTGATGGGTTGTGAGCAAGTAGCCTGCATGGCATCTGCTTACAACTTGGTGCCTTTCAAGGTATAGCGTGACTTGCGGGTTGGTGAACTCGAGTTAGGCGTATGCCAGGGGTTACACAAGCCCAGGGGCAGACACGAGGTGAAAAAAAGCCCTGGGTATTTTCTGATGCCCTTGGCATGCGAGAGTCATTTCTTTGTTTGGTAGTTGACCGAAGCGACCAGTCCATATTGTTATGATTACCCCCTTCTTTTTCATTCAAGGTCCTTTGTCCTTTATCTATGATTCCACCAAAAGTTCTAGATCCAGGTCTTCACGGCAAGCGAGTCTATTCTTTCATACTTGTCGGGTGGCTTTTTAGGAAATCAAAAGAAATCGACGAAAGAAACAGCAGCCCAGTCATATATTGCTTTTGTTGCCCAATCCCGATGGTTAATATCAAACCCCAACCGATGGGGAGCGCACCACGCATATTGCCTCTCTCCATGCACTAAATATGCGCCTGCAAGACTTTACCACGTTGAACGAATAGATTCCCCGGGTTATCTCAAAATTCGCTATAGCATCGGACGATACAACCTCTTATCGGTCCTGTAGGGGTTACAAATCCCTACCAAGGACGCCTGCATGGGCAATCATATCCAAGGTAATCCGATTGGCGAATTCCCCTACATAATTCCATCCCGTCCTGTGCGGCATCCTTGCTGTCATATGAATTTTGTATGAAATGAGGATTTACGGTGCCTTTGCTTTTTCCCCCATCCTGACCTGCGCCCAGGCTTACGAGTCAGGCATTGTCCAAAAGCCACAAGGTCTAGCCCAGGTCCCTCGTTTACCTCCGTCGATCTCCGTACTTTTTTCTGTGTATTTTACTTGTTAATTTCCAGGGCTGTCTCAGGTGTCAGCTTGAAAGCTCCGAGATGAGAATTGACAGCTCGAACGGGGGGAGGAGCCGGAAAGGCAATTATGGTGTGCATGGGTCGACTCGCACAGACCTATAAGTTCGGCAACGGTGATCATGACGGGCCTCTTTTCGGCTGCGTGCGTAGACTTTGGAACTTAAGAAGCGGGTTTAGAGCTCTATCCGATAGGCCGCTCAAAAATGGATAAAATACCCAAGGGTTATGATAGGGGCTTGTTATATCCACAATTGATCTGTCAACTATAGTAGCACGTTCTCTCTACTGTAGTCCATGCTAGCTTCTGGCCTTTCCGTGGACCAATTTGCTCGCTACCAAAAATTGCGAGGTAAACATACTAAGGATCTGCATGGTGAGCAACCTAACCCATTTCAAGAAGGAGTGAAAAGGAAGGAAAAAAGGAAAAGCAGCGGAAAGGCAAAAAGTGAGGCGAACTAGGGCTAATGTACAACAAGCGGTGAATGGTCCGGTTGTCAACGGTTATCTGATCCCTAATCCCATTCCCAGTATGGAATAAATACTGATACGCTAAGTGTAGTTTGCATCTTATGAATCGGAATTCTGTTAGTCAAGGTGGAGAAACTCCGATCTAGCGCAAAAAGCTCTTGAGGGGCCTGTTCACGATCTGGTCCGTTCTCAGATGCAAGATCGGCAGGATTCTCCAAGCTACTGCAAGGCTACGTATCTATCGTATGCTGTATACATCTGTATACATGTACATTTATCAGGTGACTGTTCTGGCACCGCCCTGTTTCCCTCTCTCGTGGAGAATCCAGCGGTTATCCCCGTCGCATTGCATTGCATTAGCCTATGCTCTTCCCCGGAGTCATGGCCCGGAGAGGCACGATTTTCCATGTGAGAGGTAGGTACCATCATGCCATGGCTGATGTTACATGCCTGAAGAGCTTTAAATACTGGCTCGATCCTTCGTTCATTCATCACTCCACAGTCCCACAGTGTATCTCCGAGTAATCAAGAAGGATACTGCACAATTGACACCCTACGCGGAGATAGCCCGGGCGGGATTGTAACGGGATGTCGATCGGTGCCTGACTCAATACCCTTGTCCACACCTTTTTGTTTCCTCTGTGCCTGAGATTCAACGGGAACTTTGCCCCGGAGCTTGATCATTGCCAAGAAATGACGGACCAGACAGAGAGAAACAAATATGCGTACATCCCATCCAGAGGTTGGCGATTTCAATTCTGACCGGTCTAGACTGCCTAGTAATTACTGTACTCTTTAACGATATGGCTTTGCAAGAAATTGCAACCTTTCAATGGCGTCAGCCCACTTGCTGATCGAATACGATTTCGCTCCGGGCCACATTCGGTAATAACTAACCCGATTTTCACTAGTTTTTTCTATTTTATTTCATTTCCTTCATAGTTGCATAGCACGTTTCTTTTTAGGCTGCCTTGGCGCATAACAAAATGGCAATGTAAGCATGATTGGCGCTGCGACCGAATCAGAGCCCCTTACGGGGTCAGACATAAGTAGTGCGGGAATCGGGGATGGGGTTAATTTGTCAAATTCTTGTCAGCTCAGCCCTTTTTGTACGTTGCATTTGACTTTTCTTTGTAGTTCAGACAGTCAATCCCGGTTATATGTTTCGAAAAAATGCCGCATTCAAAAGGCAATGAAACCGAAGCAGGCCAATTTCACATCCGGCCTCCTCGTGGTTTGGTTGAACAAGCGGGGAGGCTCTCGGGCCTGTATAGTAGGCCGGGTCCAAATGTGAATGCCGATATGAGGAGGTATAGACGTCAGAGGCTATATTCTACAAAGCCCGCAAAAGCCTCCTTATACTTCCAGAGTTCCGTGCAGAGCGTAAAGGTTCCCGGGCCGGAGGGTACCGCAGTGGACCAAGTGGAGAAATGAACGCTGAAAAGTTAGCGCCAAAACATCGCATCATTGGGAGGTTCCCCTCTTCTCAGGGCTCCAACCACTTTCTCTTATGCCTCTTTTCGGCTCTGATAGGTCAGACTCTCACAACGTTGTTCGGCCCTTGTATCGGGCTCTGGTATCGACCGTAGGGAATCCTACGAGGCGGATTCGTCCATTTCAATGATCCATGCTGCTCCTCATTTGTTATTTGCTCCTTTTCTTGCCGTGTCGACTCGTTTGCTATGAACCCTCAAGCAGATCGGCTCCTCCAGGCTCCATAATACTCCCCCTCCAGGAATAGTGCCATTTGATGGTCATTCTGTCCAATCTAGGGATTTGCTCTACCCTCCTATCCTATTTACAGACAAGATCGAGACCTCTCGCACCTACCCTCAACTTTCTACGGGCACCGTGCCCCCTGAAACATATCACATGAGGTACAAGAGTTGGGAATGTTTGGTTTTCGCCTTCTCTTTGGTTGAGTTGCGAAAGGCAAACTGTTGAATGTCAACCAAAGGGCCCGAATAGAAATGGTCTCTCTGCACTGCCGCTATCGTCTTGCTCCCGGTCCACTTTGATCGCCCTCTACACGGATGCGATGCGGGATTTAGGTTCAGCGTTTTATCGATCCGCTCTCCAGTCCTAAGCAAATCAGCTACGATCTGGGCGCTTTTTCAGCGAACTCCATTCCACCATTCCAAATTCCCCCGCGGATGATCTACTCTGATTTGACTCAATCCTCGGGGAGACCCCAAGCCTCGTTCAAGCAAGGCGAAAACGGCCAGCCACTGAAAGATTAGACACCCGTCATAGATTAGCAGGTGAGGGATAAACGGTGGACGGTCACGCCGAAGTTGCCCCAAAGACGGAATTGACTCCATATTGGGTATCGATGGTGACACTCATAATACTGTTGATTGAATATAAGATGTACAGTGTAGACTAGAGTCCAACCCCAACCCCCGTTCAGGGTAACTAGGAAAAAAGAAGTGAAAATGACAGAAATGACAAGAAAAAGAAAAAGAAAATGACATTTCCATACCCTTACACTGTAATACGACTTGGGCCTGACGAGATGCAACCCCTGCCGCAATATATCGCACCCCCAACCAACCAGAGGCCGTTGCCCCCTCCATTTGCAGGGATGATTTCGAAATTACAAAATCCTATTTAATTATATTTCTTTTTTGGATCATTGTCGGATGGGCTTTTTCACCTAACTACCCAATCAAAACTCAGGTCGGCTGGATTCCTCTTGGGGGAAGGTTATCATGGGTTTCTCCGGACTCTAGGCTTCTCGTGCCAGTTGCAATCGAGATTCAAGTTCTGTCAATCCACGCGATACTGATCGCCCTGGCCTTGGTGGCTCGGATTTTCCTTTTAACTCCATTGCCTTACCCGCATGTGCACTTTTACCTCTTCTCTCCTGCATATTGTATACATTCCTCCCCCAGCTTGATAGCTCACAGTTATTTTATCCTTCTCGGGGCATTACCTGACACTTCCTCTCTTGCTCAGGGCATCTCGGTAATTTGATACGGGTTGACAGAAGCAGTGGAACATGCATCGGCTCTTATTGTCTTACCCTTAGATTGTCTCATTGTTCCCCGGGATTTCTTTTTTCTCTCTTCCTGACGACCATTCCCTCCCCAGTCTCGAGCCTATCAGCGGCAAAAGACTCCATCGGTATAAAAATCAACTCGTCCTGATATTCACCGTCCATGGAGGATCAATCCACCATGGAAACGGAGACTCATCATGCTCCAGATGGTGAATTCCCGCATTCACCATGGGTGGAAATAGGCGCGTTTACCTCGCCTCAACATTCTCCGCCGATGCCGGAATATAGTGGGTTTGATTACGGCCCAGCGCCGCTCATGGCTGTGGATGGCTCTTACAACATGTCAATACCACCACCCTACGCTTCGATGCCACTTCCTATGCCCTCGCATTCCTGGCCCAGCATGCTCACACACCACTCGCCTTTTCAAGAAGGTGGTCTGCCGCACGTGTCCGCTCCGACTTCGGTATCGCCTTCCGCTCCCATGCCTCCAGTGCGAAAGACCTCAACTGGAGGTTCCACGCCGCGCAGGACACTTACCGATGAGGATCGCCGCCAAATGTGCTTATATCACGAGGAGAACAAGACTGCCAAGCAGACTGATATTGGAGGTAAGATTGTGCATATTTGTTCCTGCAGAGTCACGGGATTAGGGCTGACTTCATGACCAGCATTGTTCGGAGTTGAAAGAAGGTACTTCTGCACCCCTGGGTAATTTCTTTGATGTAATTTAACGTGTTCTCTATCTAGTACGGTTTCAAAGGTACTCCGCCAAAAGGAGAAATATCTCAACCCTGACGATGGGAGTCGATCTCCCATCAAACGGACCAAGGGCAGAGTCCCTGATATCGAGAAAGCCCTATCCAACTGGGCGAGAAACTACCAACGCCAAGGGTACCCGTTGAGCGATGAGATGATTAAAGAGAAAGCTCTCTTCTTTGCCAGCACCTGTGGCTGCCCCGAGGGCAAGGACAAGGTGCTGACTGCAGCCTGGCTTGACAAGTTCAAGCACAGGAACAATCTGCTTGGTGCAAAGGTGCGCAGAGGGTCTGCCGATGTACGCAGTGGATCAAACAGCCCAACCCGTATCAACACAGACTTCTCCACAGGCTCTGGCCTTCAAAGCCCGACAGGGCCTTCACCCTCCTCCCCGATCGATGGCTTTGGATCCCCGCTGTCTCCAACCCAGAGCCAAGAAGGAATCAAACGGGACATTGCTGATGCACTGCCCGACCTGACAGGGGGTTACCAACACAACTACTCCAAGAGTACGACGTCGCTCGATACAACCTCCTCGGCGGGGATGATCAGTCCAACATCAACCCTAGTCTCCGACAGCCCCTTCACTCCAACAAGCCAGTCGCGCCTTCCAACCAACAGCCACAACAATAACCGCCCACGCAGCCAGACCTTACCCCTCGTGCCTATCGACCCAACCCTCCTCACAGCAGATGAAACAACGGACCACCAATACGCAAAACGTGAGCTCCAACAATCACTCTCCGTCCAAACCCTACAGTCCCCCCTGGAAATCGGCGACGATGACTCCAAGCCCATAAGCCTGGATCAAACAAATGGCATCAAACGAAACCGCAGCAACCCAGAGATTAAGACAATCTCCATGCCACCCCCGTCAAAGTCAACTACCATCTCCCCTACCAGTTCCCCTGGCTCCCCAACTCAAGACGAAGCCCGCCGGGCCTTGGAACTAGTGATGAGCTACTTCGAACATCAGCCTGCTGGTCTTGCCGCGCAGGAGTATCTCACCATTGGTAAACTTATGGAGCGGTTGGAGCTCGCGAAGAGCCAATCTGGTACCCCGTTCAATGGCTTGCCACGCATTGATGAGCACGAGGATATTGCTCCGCGCGTGACCAAGAAGAGGAGCATCCATAACATGGGTTGATATCCTCCATCGTTGCATTTTTTTTTTGCGAACTCTTGTTATGAACGTTACACCCTACCCCCATTTTTTCTGCATCTCAGGTTTTCCAGTCGTTTTGACTCTAACCTAGACTCTCCCAACGCGAATTCCCCCCCTCCAAACACACTTGCGATTTCGCCATGATTCCCCATCCCTGGTCAACTCGGTTACGTCTTTTCTTCTCATCTCTCACTGTCAAGGGAGGTTACTTGTTAGTTTGCCTCGCTTTTTGATTTTTCCTCCCTTATATGCATGCCGTTGTACGAAATTATCTCTATCCTTGGGTCTCTGGCCAGCGACAACCAGGACAAGAAATCCTGGCACAAACACCCCCAAAAAACATACAAATATCCAGAGGGCGACCTCTACTCTTTCTTTTGTCGGAATGGGATGGATTTGGCGCATCACTCTCATGCCCGGGCGATGTCTACGCATACATGGAATATAGCACATGGAAATGATGGTATACGGATATGGGCCTTGGACCTGGGATTCTCTACTTTTCTTCGGGGTTTGCTTTTTCTATTTGTTTTTTGCTTTTCCCGTTTCCTCGATTCGGTCTATTCCCCCCTGTTGCGCTTTTCTTATTCTTGCATTTTATTCCCACATTACTGTCCCCCTCCCCTCCCTATCTTGCAACCGTTGTATTGCATCTCTTTCTTACGCTCTTTTTCCTTATCTTGTTTCTTCTCGTCGTTTCTTTTCTTTTTAATTTATTTAAACTGGGCCCGCTCGCGCGGAAAGAACATAATGTTGCCCGGTTCGCTTATACATGAACCGGCATGTCACATTAGTTTCTTTATCACCTTTGTTTTTCGTTTATTTTCTTACTTTCCTTTACCTTGGATCTCCTATATTATACCCCCATCTTCCACACCACGTTGTTTATTTTACAATCTTACTACTGTTTTGAGTTTGAACTTATGCTGGTCATAAGTAAGGCATATCTCATTAAAAGAATTTAAGTATGGTGCTAAAAACAAGTCCATGAGACAAGAAAAGTCTAACTAAAACCGGCCGGATACCGAGACCGAGACTCTAGAATGCAGGTGGTGCTGACGCCACCCCACGGTCCTCCAGTAGATCTTCCACGCTGTGCTCAGATACCTCAGGGAGGACCTTTGCGAGCACAATCTCAATAATGGAGTAGATTAGATGTTTGTTGCAGTACTCATCCGCAAAAACGTCCAGGATATCATTCTCAATTGTATCCAGGAGGTACTCATCCTCTAGATCAATGCCAGACGGATCGTCATCTGTGCGCAGCCGCTCAGCGGCAAGGTGACCACTCCCCTCAGGCAGGGCTGGAGATGAAGCCGAAAGCGAAGGCGATGACGACAGGGTTGATTCCTTCCCCTGAACCGCAGGTCGGGGCTGGTCCCCACCATTCGTCCTGGAAGGTGGTTGGGATAGCGAAGTGCTGGTACTGCAGGTACGATCACCGCTACAGGGCGGAGGGGCCGACGAGGAAACACCAAAGAAGGTTCGTGCGAGGCTGCGCGGAATCAAGGCCAGTAGACTAGCTGCACATCGCCGCTTGATAGCGGCGATCTCCGTCTCAGATGGAGTGTTCCTTTTCTCCGGCTCAGCCGGCACGTGTGTCGATGCTGTTGTTGGGGCATCGGCTGCAATGGAAGAAAGTGACGCTGGGCGGGCTGAGGCTGTCGTTGAGGTTGGACCCCCGCCACTGCCGCCACTATTGCTGTTGCTTGCGGGTTCGATACTTTTACCAATGGTATCGCTTGCTGCAGGTCCCCTAACTCCTTCCGTAATGGGGGGGCTAGGTGAGGCGGTGGTTGCGAGGGATTTCTGACTGGGCGCCGAGGCCTGTGGCGGAGCCGAAGCCGGCTCTCCAATATTCACGACCGCTATCTGAGATGACGGGCGGGTATTGGCCGGGAACAAGGCGGTCCTTGTCGCAAGAAGAAGGTTGGGCAACAAAGTGGGGGTCAGCACGTATTCCTCAATGGTTTCCCGAATGAATCTGTGGAGTCAGCATGGTTTCTCAAATGACGTCGGAGCAATTTAGCCAAGCAGAGGCCGTAAAAAAAAAAAAAAAAAAAAAATCAATGAAGCGAAAATGCTCTCGACTGTGGAGCTCCCGAGATGTTGTACTCTTTTTCTCACTCAATTTTAGAGCGAGGTTCATTAAATGAGGTCCGGCCGTAACCAAGTGGGGAGAGGCGGAGCAAGATCGGCTTAGGCAGAGATGAGGGAGCTTGGGCCAGCGACAGGGATGCTATTCCTAAGAGGAAATGAAGCCCCTCTTCAGCGGCTAACATCCCGTACCTGGGGCTTGATGCACGAACCTCGGTCAAGTTGCGAAATTCTAATTTCGCTCATTGGACAGAACCCAGTAATTCACTAGCCTCGGTCAGGGCCTTTTTCTCATGCGCCTAAAAGGCGCATAGTGCTTTTTGGGTGATCGGCGTAGGGTTTTTCTTTCATAGCCCCCCTAAGTTGCGATCGTCGTGCTTCCGGCCCAGATGTGATCTTTCATTTCCTCAGAACAAACCAAGTTGAAAGTTGGCATATGGAGTGGAAGAGCGGCACGGAAAGGCCCGGCCCCCGGAACAAAGAGAATATGTGAGCAATCTCCAGGGCTCGGACCAGCTTAGACACAGCCAATCACAGCGCAGAACAGCCATGTCGGCCTGACAATGACCATACAGTAATTCTCGTAACAGCATCGTATCAAAGTTACAGATCAAGTGACCGACGCAGCATGCGAGCAAGACGCTTCTTGTTCCACGGTGGCACAGGTGACACCCTCCCCGGGATCGTGGAAGCACCCTTGCTCCACAGTCGAGTATCATTTCCAACGTTGCAGAGGGCAGAGGGAATATAGGAATAGAAACTCACCTATCAAGGACTCCGTCGGTACCACCAACCCTGCCAGGGCCTGCCAGAATCAGATGCTGGGCCAGAGCGAACAGCCCACTCAGCCATGGCATCCTCCAGGGGATTCCCAAAGTCTCTGAGACCATGGAATACATCCGGTAGTCGAGAACCGGGCGCTTCCCCGTGACACCGTCTGAGCCCATCCCATTTATTTTCTGATTAATAGCTGTCGAAGAGGCAACTGAAACATTGAAACCGTGCGAGGACGGGCCTGGACTCGATGCGACACGGAACAGGCCTATGGCAATGAAACGCAAAGCGACGTAACCAAGATAAATGGTCTGCAGAACATTCCATATCCAGGCTGTGGCTGAGAATGACGCCGATGGCTGATTCGCGGACTTGTCTTCATTTGATAGTAAGCCAAACTTCTCTAATCGGTTGATTTGAGAGTCCGGGGCCGACTTTGCATCGTCTGAGGTTTGACGTTGTCCCACTCTCGTGGCAAGTTTGGTTACAGTTTCCCAGATGAACCACCCTTCGCATGCTCTGCCACTGATTTGGTTTCCCAGAATCAGATCTGCGATGACATCAACGACCAGCGCTCGGAGACTGCTGTTTTCGAGATCCTCGGTTGGGAGGAGAACTGCCAGGGCACCATTGGCCAGGAGCCGCCGATACACTGTTTCGTTGTCACTCTGCTCCGTAATCGTGTCTGGATCTGTCTGATCAGGCACCGGAGAAAGACCAGGGTGTGGATTTAGCTCATGATAAAGCGCACGGTACGACGTCGGTAGTCCTGAGAGATGCGACCGTTGCTTGGCCAGTCTGTATGCTGGAAGTTAGAGTCAGCACAGGCTTCCCCTGTTCACGGAACAACCATGGTAGTCGAGGAGAAGAGCTTCGGGATATTCAAGTCTTACAGAGTACATGTGCTTCCACCAGTCCGGAGATCTCATCCAGGGCTAATTGTGCGACATCGATTTGGCGTAGTCTTTGCTCCAGAGCACGTGTACAATGAGCGATGACTTGGAGCACTTCATTCACAAGAGCCTGGTCGGGGGTGATTTTCGCGTACCACGAATAGACGAATTCTTTGATTATTATAGCGAGGAGGGCGTACAGCTGGCGGTCAACGTCGTTGGAGCTCGTGAGGGGAGGTAACAGCTCTTCCGGAGGCTGTGGAGAGGATGCCCCATAGCTGCTTGTCTGGGGGCACAGGACGCGTCGGATCAGGGCAGTTGTTGCTCTATCACTGGTAGCATCCGCTAGTTCATCCTTGCTGGTCTTTTGTGTTCGGAGTCGAGAGGACGGACGCGAAGGAGGCTGCACTGTCGTCGCGGAGGGCAGCGCGGTGGATCTGGAGCTAGAGGTTGTCGGCCCAGCCTTGAGGTGGGATATTGGCTGAAGCCCGGATCGGAGAGGGTCGTTCATCTCATTTCATGCGGACATCTCCAGGATGGCCCATTCAGCAAGAAACAAAGAGCTCTGTTGCCCTGTTGGAGACACCAAGTGACATCAAACTTGATGGCTCAATCAGGGAAGTAGGGCTTAGGGCTATATTCATTGATAAGCCTTATCTCATGCGGGGATCTTGTTTACTTGCGATGTCAGGACTTTCTTCATTGCCAGCTGTCTACCTCGTTGAATATGTTAAATCCTATGAACACAGATAGTCCTATTCCCTTGTGGTTGGATTGTGATCCCGGTCGGTCAATATGACCCTTCTCAGCCGCTGCATACTGACCGTTTCTATCAGGCCATGATGTAAGCCTCAAAGATAGACGCCGAGATCGATGCTAATAGGATGACCTAGGATGCCTTCGCGATCCTACTAGCTGCTCATCATCCGTCTCTTCATCTGCTCGGCATTAGCACAATTCACGGAAATGCATCTTTAGAGAAGACAACCGCCAATGCAGGAAGCATTCTGGAAGCCATCGGCAGGCCCGAGATTCCGGTCTATCCCGGTAGTCAGAAACCATACTCGCGGCCTGCTCTGCATGCGCCGGATATACATGGTAGGCTCAATGGAATGAATGTATATTTCAGACTGACCAGAGTCTTCGACAGGCGAATCGGGCCTTGATGGAACCGACCTTCTCCCCAAGGCGTCTAGACCACCCATCACCGATAAGAACACTATTGTGGCGATGAGAGATGCACTCCTTGCGCAGCCTAAAGGTACTCCGTGGGTCGTTGCAACTGGAACCATGACAAACGTCGCTCTGTTGTTTGCAACATTCCCTGAGGTGGTAGATCACATCCAGGGATTAAGTCTCATGGGTGGTGCCATCGGTGAAGGATTCACTGATGCCCCCATGAGCAGAATTCCAGGAGAGAAGTCTAGAATCGGCAATGTGACGCCATGGGCTGAGTTCAACATCTATGTATGTTTGCCCTCTCTAAGTACCTTCCATACCTCTCCGCTGGCACGTCTAACGCAGATGGCCCATCCAGTGTGATCCTGAGTCTTCGGAATCAATTTTCAGTAACCCGGCTCTTGCGGCGAAAACCACCATTGCTGCCTTGGATCTTACGCATCAGGTCCTAGCATCACAGGCCGTTCAAACTCGCATTTTGCATGGCTCGATCCATTCAACCCAAGAGCCTACAGTTCTTCGGCGGATCTTGCACGCACTACTTACATTCTTTGCTGCAACCTACGAGAAGGCTTTCGGTTTGGCCACCGGACCTCCACTGCATGACCCTCTTGCCGTGGCTGTGATCTTGTCGACCTTGAACCCATCCTTTGCCAACAAGCATCCTAACCAAGCCATTACCTTTGACGATAAAGGCGGCGAACGATTCGATCTTAGTATCGTCACAGACGGGCAGCATGGCAAAGATGTATCCGTTACTGGTCAACTGGGTCGTTCGATCGCTACTCCTGTTGAGGGTCCAGGCGTTGCTATCCCTAGGGGCGTTGACCTGGAAGCCTTTTGGAATATGATTCTGCAATGTATCCAGCTGGCCGATGATTGCAATGCAACACGGAATTAGGTGGGTGGCATGTGATATGTTTCTCATCTCTCTAGAGCTTTCATTTCTTTTAGATACTTTCATTTCTTGAAGTGCATAAATGGTCAAGATGGAACTCTGTTTTATGGGATGGAAGATAGAGAAAATCAGGTTCCCATAGAATGCATTGTCCGTGGCATGGCCTGGATGTTCTCACCTATCTTTATGCATTTGTGACGTTAATTCAACATATAACGTCAACACGCATTGCTATGCAAATTACCACAAAAATTGAACATCTGAATAAAATTACCACTCTCGAATAGACCCATCAGGACCAAAAAACTCCTTTGGCTGCCAAGCAGGAGTGTTCTGAGCCACACGTCGAACGACTTCCTCGTCCACTTCAATCCCCAGCCCAGGAGCTTTCAAAGCCTCAACGTACCCATCCCGCACATTAAACACCTTCGGGTCCTTGACATAGCTAGTGATATCATATTCACCAGCGTCGAGATTATAATGCATTCCGATGCCCATCTCTTGAATGACAAAGTTGGAAATTGAAAGATCCACCTGCATACAAGCAGCCAGTGCAATAGGTCCCAGCGGACAATGAGGCGCAATAGCAACATCGTACGTCTCCGCCATATTGGCGATGCGGCGCAGTTCCGATATACCACCACAGTGACTGATATCAGGCTGTAGAACATCCACGCTACCATCTTCCAGGAACCGCTTAACATCCCAGCGACTATATAACCTCTCACCAAGGGCGATAGGACAAGAAACCTGCTCGGAGAGTTGCTTGATTCCCTCGGGATGTTCCGAAAGAAGCGGTTCCTCGAGGAAAAGTGGACGGTGTGGCTCCAACGCCTTGGCTAGTTGCTTAGCCATTGGCTTGTGGAGACGGCCATGGAAATCGAGTGCCGCGTCCATGCCAAGCGCCTTAACAGTCTTCAGACGCTCAACACTGGAGTCCAATACACTTGGAGAGTCAAGCCAGTTGACATCCTCAGTTGCATTCATCTTGACAACCTTGAATCCCTGCGCTAGGCGGGCCTTCGCGGCTTCGCCAACATCTGCAGGACGGTCTCCGCCGATCCAGGCGTAGACTGAGAGCTTGTTGCGGACTTTGCCGCCTAGAAGTTGGTACACTGGTACGCCTAGACGGCGGCCCTTCAGGTCCCACAGGGCAATGTCGATGCCGGAGATGGCTGACATGAAGACTGGGCCACCGCGGTAGAAACCGAGGCGCCATGCCATTTGCCAGATGTGTTCGATGTTGCTGTTGACAACGGGTTAATACTTTGGTCTTAGTATATCGAGCGTGTGAGGACCACTTACTCGGCTTCGTAGCCCTCGAATCTTTTGCATAGGGCGTTCAAGGTGCCTTCCACGGCCTCGGTGTGACCTTCAAGGGTACTTTCGCCCCAGCCATATTTGTCCTCTTCGTCAGTGATCTTGACGAAGAGCCATCGAGGCAAGACTCGGAAGTATTCGATGCTCTTGATCTTCACCATTGTGTAGTTTGTGTTGTCGTCCCGGGGCCTGAATAGCGCACGTTCGATATGAACTATTAGTGAGAGGGAAAGGAGATAATTCCCAAGTCATCTGGCAAGGGCCAAGGCTATAACACTCGGAGTTGCTCCGTTTGAAGTGATATCCGGATTGCCGACACTGAGAGCCGGGGAATGTCGATGGAACAGATGTATAGACTCGGCATCTCACAGGCTCGGAGTTGCAGATAGTGTGTACAGGGGGTCCCACGTTCCTCGGCACCTTTGTCTATAGCTTATTTCATCGGTAGATGTATCCCAGTCCATGGAGAGCTGATCTGCGTAGACGTCGTAAAATGCGAAGATGGAGAGTCAAAGGCCGGTTGAAAGGAGGGACGTCATACGTTGAACTTCTCCACAGACCTCAACCACTCCACACACATTCGAATCTCGATGTTCCTTTTCCCCATCTTTGTAAAGTGAACTCTTGATCTTTGATGCTTTTGCCACTGCATGGCAACCCTGTCGATCATCCCACACTCCTTGACGGCGGATTCCGACCATGCCTCCGAACTCGTCAGTATGTTCCCCTGTATTCACCCTGTGGCCAACATTGCTAATCGCTTCATCTCCTGCAGCCTGATACTCCTCTCAGTCCGATAGACTTCCCGCAGTCACCTTCCGATTCCCCTGGGCAAACCGATAGCGCACACGATGACAACGTGAACTTCCTGCGATCGCGACCAGCCCTGTTCAACCCTTTACTACCCTCTTTAAGTCGACACCGTCGTCGTCGCTACCCCCCAAATCCACCATCCGAAACCTTAGATCGCATGGAGGTAGACGACCCCCCTAGCAACCAACGCGCATCCGTTGAGATCAACCGTCGCATCCCTATCGTCCGCCGCCACGGAGAAACACCAGCCGAAATGCCAAACTACGAGGGTCGCATGGCAAATCCACGGTCGTTGTATGGCTGGGCGCCAGGGTCTGACGACGAGGATGGTCCCGGTCGCGGCGACGAAGACTCAGACGACGACCAAGTGCAGCCGTTCCTCAACGCCATCTCACCCCGCGGCTCGGCCCCATCGCGACCTTTGCGACACGAGACTTCAGGTCCGCCACCGCTGCTAGGATTAGGACCTGAACCCGATGCCTTGCCCGCCCGCCCTCGATCTAGGCAACCGCCAATCTCTGCAATGGCAGCGCTGCTACAGTCCGCAAGACGCCAGCCCCGGCTTTCAAGAACTCGCACTCTCGAAAATTACCTACTCGAACGCTACTCGGATCAAAGTCAGGAATCAGAAGACGCCGATCACACGGTGGCGTCTGCATCTCGCGCTTACCGCTATCGTCCTTCCAACCGCTCTGACTCACATAACACCCTCACTCATAACGACCTGCGCGCTCGCGCTGCTGCCCATCGCCAGTTACATTCGGACAGCTTGTCGAGCAATGTTTTGAAAGAAACGATCAACTACCTCGATCGCCTCCGGTACTCGACCTCTCTCGAAGAGAGCATGCTCGCGGCCGCTGACAGCCGATTACCCTTTGACATGGACAACAAGTCGTGGACAGATACCGACTTCATTCTCTATACCCCCAATATTGCGCCTCCGCCGGAGTGTTCATGGCTTCGGTCCGGTATGACCTTTTCGGGCTGTCAACGAGCTGCGAGCGCCGGGTGTTCCGTGTTGCCGCAACGAGTTCCCAGTCCGCACGCCCCTGGTGAACCGGTTATTGTGAATGGCAGTGACAGCGCTCGGATCAGCGTATCAACCACAGGTGGTCGCCGGTATTTGGCCAACAACCGCGATGAGAACTGGCCTGTCAAGGTCACCATCCATGACATCAACCACGATGACATGACATTGTCCGGAACTATGGAGGCATATAACATTCCTGATAAAACATCGCCTACGCACGATGCACATATTGTGACGTTTTTGGAGGGAGAAATCATCGACTTTAACAAACACACTCTGGAGACCAAGAACTTCAAGGCAGATGCAGATATTGACAGTACTTATTGGCGCGAACTTCAGCCATTCAAGGAACTCACAGATGGCGAGATGGCTCAGAAGCTCGTGAGCCGAAAGTGGATCACAGAGGAATTGTCCACGGGTTGGATCTTAATGCGATGGAAGGGTGAGTTCCCATGAGAACGCAATAAATCACTGCCATTGCTATTGAAATCTGGTTACTGACATTCTTAGAACGATGCTTCGTCACCCCCACCGACGCCCGACAAGGTCTGACAATTTCTGGATTCTACTACATCTCCCTTCGCCGTGAGGATGGGCATATCGAGGGCTTATACTATGACCCTGGAAGCTCGCCTTACCAACAGCTATCCCTGAAGCCGCAAACGCCCAAAATGATGCGTCCTTCTTATGGATTCCGCTAAAGCAAACTCATCTGTGCACGTCTTCTCTTTACAATTTCCACTCTGCTTTTGGCACAGAATAGTCTTCTGGCCCTGTTTACTTGAACATTTAGTTTTTATGATTTGGCGTTTTGGTATACGTCAGATGGCATCTGATACGGTCAAATGAACTTTTGCATAGCTATGTGGTGTTGTTTCCCCCAGTCATCTTGGACAGTTCTGTATTATTGTCGCGGAACGAAACGGTCACTTTGGAGTGGTTATACCTTGGTTCTGGCTTGTTCTTTGGGTTTCGTGCCCCGTTGTACTGTCATATTCTGTTTGTATTTATGAATCTAGGAGCTACTACCTTTGTTGGCTGGTAGTGGTTTATAGCATGGAAAATTGGCCTATGAATGGTTATTTCCCTCACATGCATGACTATACACAGCATTTTAGATCAACGACGTTTTGACATTATCAAGGATGAAGTGTGTGTTTGAGCAGAGTTTGAGTTGGATTTATTCTTCGGAATGGAGCTCACCGCAGATGTTGTTTACTTCACCTATGAGCTGCTTACTGCCAAATCCACCCTTGTATACAATTCCCAGTAAACAATTCTGCTCGTTGTCAGCCTCGGTTCACTTGCCAATTTGAAGCGAAGTTGACTTGGCAATCATTCGCCTCGACAGTCAATCTCTTTTATGACAAACCGGGAGTAAAAAAGAACAGCATTCACAAGCCCATAGCTACTGTATGCTAGGCATACTTCAATGGAACGCGGGGCTCCGCAAATTCAATCCCCAAGTGTCCAATATTCACTATACTATATTGACCTGACGGATCAGGAATAAGGTCCGGGTCTGATCGCGACTGAACTCGGATACAATTGCCCTGAATCTTTCGGTCATGTCGTCCAATCCAGACCCCATTTCGGCATATTCCACCTATCAGACCTCTGCAGAATGAACCTGATAAGGTGCTCAGACTAGGTTATCGTGTTTATGCAGAATATAGTTCACTTCATATTACCACGGGCTGAAGTATACAATCCCTGTTAACGTTGTGTGTCAAACTCTATCTTGAATGAGATATCCATGGATGTATGCGTGTTAATAACTCCTATCTTGATTCTCAATCATCCCATGGAAATTTACATTCAATTTAACGCAATTCCAGACATCTACACTATGGTGGACCTAGATAGCCATGCGGGGCAACCTCGGCCATCTTGACGGTGAACGCCGAGCAATAAAAGCAGCTCGATTCCTAACTTATTGTCCATTTTCCACACGTAATGAGTATAAACAGCCATATCATTGCGATTGACTTCAAAACGCGGGGAAAGTGAGACTAATGTAGTTCATAGCTACCTAGCACTAGGTACAACGCATGTACTTGCCCGATCAAGTCGACAATTCGGGTTGTCCGGTTACATGGCCCTGGCGATCTTTCTCTCCTTTTGAACTGTTATCTAGATGCAGGACCTTCACCGTGTGGGTCGCTGGATCGTCATGCCGGAACTATTTATTCCAATTGACTCCCCGGTCGCTGTTCTCTTCAACTCCTCAAGTCAATTGACATGCATTTGCAGCACCTTTCAGCTTTGGCCGCGATAGCAGGCTGTATTGTTCAGCCTGTGGCCGGCGCGCCCCAAAAGTCCCAGGAAGGAACATGCAAAAAGACCAAAGTTGCCATCCTGTGAGTTTTCTCTTATTTACAGCGTCAATCAAAAGCTAACACAGTATAGGGGAGGTGGTGTAGCTGGTATTACCGCAGCCGTGAGTCTCGCATCCCTTGAGTGTTCAGATTCCTCAGCTGACCCGCCATAGCAAACATTGAGCAATGCCTCGGTTCACGATTTCGCGATCCTTGAATACCGCGACACTGTCGGCGGCCGAGCCTGGCACAAGCCCTTCGGCAAAGATAAAGATGGCAAGCCGTATATCATCGAGATGGGCGCCAACTGGGTATGTCTCACAATCACACACAAAAAAACCCTGGAAACCCCACTAACGTTGTGCAGGTGCAAGGCCTTGGAAATCCCGGAGGTCCACAGAATCCCATTTGGGTCATGGTGGGTCGACTCTTTTGTGTCTCAGATTCAGTTCGATCCCGCTGATCTCCGAATAGGCTCAAGAGTATGGGCTGAAGACCCACTACTCGAACTACGATAATGTTTCCACCTATAACCAGCATGGGTATTCTGACTACAGTGATCTTCTCGATTCCTACGAAGAGGCTTATAGCATTGCTAGCCAAAGGGCTGGTGAGATCCTCACTCAGAACCTCCAGGATCAGACGGCCAAGTCTGGTCTTGCTCTGGCTGGCTGGAATCCTAAGCCGCATGATATGGAGGCGCAGGCTGTGGATTGGTGGTCATGGGGTAAGTCCTGTTTCCTCGGTATGCACTCGCTTCGTAATATTGACCTTAAGCCCGCTAGACTTCGAGGATGCCTATTCTCCCCTGGAGAGTTCTCTTGTTTTCGGCTGTGCGGGCGATAACTTGACCTCGAACTATTTCAGTGACCACGACAACTTCGTTCTGGACCAGCGTGGATTCAATCACATTGTCAAGAAGCAGGCTTCATCTTTCCTTCGCGAGAATGACCCCCGTCTTCACTTGAACACTGAGGTCACGAACATCACCTACTCAGACCACGGTGTCACTGTACATAACAAGGATGGCAGCTGCGTCGAGGCAGACTACGCCATCTGCACATTCTCCCTGGGCGTCCTGCAAAATGACGCTGTCCAGTTCTCCCCAGAATTGCCAGACTGGAAGCAGGAAGCCATCCAGAAGTTCACCATGGGTACCTACACCAAGATCTTTTTCCAATTCAACGAGACCTTCTGGCCCAAAGACACCCAGTACCACCTCTACGCTGACCCAGCCCAGCGTGGATGGTACCCAATCTGGCAATCCCTCTCAACCCCCGGCTTCCTCCCCGATTCAAACATCATCTTCGTAACTGTCACCAACGAATTCGCCTACCGCGCCGAGCGCCAGTCAGACGAGCAAACCAAAAAAGAGGCAATGGAAGTCCTGCGCAAGATGTTCCCGGAGAAGGATATTCCCGAGCCAACCGCATTCATGTACCCCCGCTGGACTTCAGAGCCCTGGTCATACGGCAGCTACTCCAACTGGCCTCCTTCCACCTCTCTGGAGATGCACCAGAACCTGCGTGCCAACACTGGCCGGCTCTGGTTTGCCGGTGAGGCTACCAGCCCGACCTTCTTTGGCTTCTTGCACGGTGCCTACTTCGAGGGTCAGGATGCCGGTAGCCAGATTGCTGCTATTATGCATAATCACTGTGTCAACGCTAACTCGACTAAGCCGAGGGAGTGTGGTCCACGTAAGCACTACGAGACTTTGCATGGAACTTCGCCTTATTCAGACTATACCATGCTTAATGGCTGGGCTTTTAGCAGCTTTATTGATACTAACACCGATTAAGTTGAGATGTGGCATTAATTTCGGAGGGATAATTGTACAGAATTTCAACTTTACGTTTGAAATGACTCAAGATTACTCCATAATAGAACATGCGAATTTGACAATTTCTATCTTCAACCCAGGCCATTCAAGCCAGGCAATAGACTTGTTCGCAAACAATAGAACAACTCCACTTGGATGTTTTCGACAGGGTTTCCTTGTGCAGGTGAGCAAGCCAGATTATGCAGTCAGCGTCAAAGAGCCGGCTGCCGTGAGATCCGTGTTGTGTCATGGCGGAACTAAGCGCTCTACGAACTGTACATACCAGAAGCAGCTAGTGGCGTCGCATTCAGTTCTTATCAGATCAGATTGACTCATTATCTGATCTTCTCAACCTTGGTTCGATCCCCTCTATTTAGACCCCAATTTGCCCTCCATGGTCTGACCAGAAACCTACATTTTCGTATTGCACATAATTATGAATCCCAAACTAGACCATGAAACTAACGACGCAATCACGATCGCCCCTCCGATAGAGCTGAGCCTAATTCCAAATACAAAAGCTAAACAAAATGGCCCATTCCTAGTCGTATTCGCCGAACCATTCGATGCCGAAAATCCAAAAGACTGGCCAAAAAGCCGTAAATGGGCCGTGACAGATGTTCTCTCTGCGACTGGCTTCAACCGCATTATGGTATCGACTATCATGGCACCTGCGCTATCAACAATCGCCAAAGAATTGGACATGACATCGGCCGAATCAGCTATGGCGCTCTCCATCTACCTCTTGGCCACTGCATTTGGACCCTTGTTCATTGGTCCATTGTCAGAAGTCTATGGAAGGAAGCCTACCCTACACGCCTCGAACATTTGGTTTTTAGTTTGGAATATTGCTTGTGGATTTTCCAATAGCAAGGAAATGTTGATTGCATCTCGCTTTTTGGCTGGATTTGGGGCTAGTGCTATCTATGCGCTGGCTAACGGTGTACTCGGAGATGTATGGCGGCCTGAGCAGCGTGGTAGGTCTTTGGGGATGTACTTGTTGATCCCACTCTTGGGTGCCGCTGTCGGTATGAAGCTCCAAATACGAGCCCTCTAGCAATAGAAAAAACATCAAACAGAACACTGACATCGAGGAACAGGCCCTATAATCGGTGGATTCATGGCCGGCCGCACAACCTGGCGCTGGATGTTCTGGGCCACATCAATCTTCCAAGCCATAATGATCTTAGTTTCCTTCTCAGCATTCAAAGAAACCCACGCACCATCCATCCTACGCCATCGCGCAAAGAACATCCGAAAAGAAACAGGAAACCGGCAATACCAAACCACCAACGAACTTCTCCACGCCAACAAATCCCCATCCACAATTCTAGCCCAAGCACTTATCCGCCCCCTCCGCCTCCTAACCTCCCACCCAATAATCCAATTAACCTCCTTAATCTCCGCCTTCTACTACGGCATCCTCTACATAGTCCTTTCAACATTCTCAGACCTCTGGATGAAGCAATACGACCAATCCGTCGAAATAAGCGGCTTACATTATATATCCTGCGCCCTGGGCGAAATAGCAGGAAGTCAAATCGGCGCCAAAATGATGGACATGTTATACCGCCGTCGAACATCCCATTCGAACGAAAACGAAAATGAAGCCCATATCCCCGAATCACGAATAATACTCGCTTTCCCCGGCGCGGTCCTCGGACCTTTGGGACTCTTTTTATATGGATGGGCTGCTCAGGCGCGACTGCATTGGTTTGTTGTCGATGTTGGAATCTTTTTTGCTATGCTCGGCATGCAGATTACGGATATGCCGTTGACGGCGTATGTTATGGAGTCGTATCCTGAGTATACTAGTAGTGCTGGGGCTGCGGAGCAGTTTTTACGTAGTTTGACGGCGTTTTTGTTTCCGCTTTTTGCGCCGAGGTTATATGAGGTTCTTGGCTATGGGTGGGGGAATAGTACTATTGCGTTTATTGGATTGGTTTTTGGGCTTCCGGCTCCGTTGGTGATTCTGCTCTTTGGAGCAAAGCTTAGGGCCAGGACTAGATTGATTTTTTGAATTGGATTTAGGTATTTAGCAATGGTGGAAACAAGTGGTGTTTGAGTGAGATTTGGCTATTTAGGGGCCTATCCACGACACGCAAAGACTTCATCGTACACGTAGTTCAGGTATTCGTATTTATTAACTGTAGGTAAGTGGTTATCTATTGAAAAATTTTGCTTTTGCCTCGCAGTAACGGTCCGTAAGCCCTGAAGATGATTGGGATGGGGATCATGACTGCAGCCAAACAGCCAAGCAAAGTCCCGGCCCATTGCACGCCCATGTTTTGAAACATTTGTCTCGAAAACAATGGAAATCCTGCGGCGACTGCTGACCGGAGCATGATATTGGAAGCGACAGCTGAAGCAGCACTATGGTCAAGTTTGTTAGTGCGGTTCGAGTCACAGTAGGTTAGCAAATAGTCAATCACATACATGGGCAAATAAGAATCAACAAGATAGTTAAAACACGGAAGGAAGATACAAAGGACACCAAATCCAATGAATATCCCAGCCGCAGCAGGTGCAGCCCAGTGAATGGTGGATGTGAATCCAGTCCACCCGAACCTAGTACGGAATGCGTTAGAATACGTTGGCCTGAGATAGGACTCTTGAACTCACCAGAAAAGACCAATTGTAAAAACTGGCGCTCCCACGAGTGTCGGTGCCAGACGCCACTCGGGTACTGCAACGCCTTTATTCTCTTCCAGCTTCTTTGCATAAGTCACCTGCTGGAGGAGAATGAAGGAGCAGGCGAGCATAACGCCAATAATGAGTCCAATAAACATCAGACCTGCAATCCCAGGGGACATGCCGTAAACATGTTCAAAGACATATGGGTATGCTTCAAGAAGGGCATAGACAAGGCCATAAATGAACGACATGTACGTCGATACCACCAAAATGATCGGCTCTGTGAAAAGTAGCCTGATTGGTCGTGTGAAGTATTTCTCCACAAGATCTGCCACATTAATCTCGACTTCTTCCTGCTTGGCATGTATCCCCCAATTCCCAGATTCCTTGCGAATAGCAGCAGCTTTCACGACAAGAAGACAGGGAGGGTAGGTCTCATCCAAGAACAGAACACTGATAGCCCCATTAGCAAGACTGAAAATTGCCGGGATATAAAGAGTCCACCGCCAACCCAGATAACTAGAAGCGATAAAGCCACCAGTAAAGGGACCAATAAAGGGACCAACGAAAACAGTCAAAGCATAAAGCGAGATCGCAGCACCACGAGTGGCATTGTTATACAGATCCGCTAGTACACCAGGCACGACAGTTAACTGACTTGCACCAAATAGCCCAGCAAAGAACCGACAAATGATCAAAGTCTGGACATCTTTAGCAACAGCCGATGCAACAGTGAAGATACCTCCACCCAACATGCCAATCGTAAGAGGCCATTTCCTTCCTCGAAGTTCTGAGGCAGGAGCCCAGATTAGGGGACCTGATGCAAAGCCCAGGACGTAGAGTGTTGTTCCTAGTGTTCCGACTTCTGTTCCGATGCTGAATTCTTTGCTTGCTTTGTCAATTCCTGGTGCGAAAATTGCGCTCGTTAGGGAGACTATGAGTGTCCCTGAGCAGACGAGGATGGAGGTGAATAATCTGTTTAATGTTGTTGTTAACATTTACTGCAACAGCTGCTATGGGTCATTTAGAGCCTACTTATTAGATAATTTCCAATTTTGAGGATGGTAGGGATCATCGACTCCTTCAAAGTCAACGACATAGGTATCGGGGCTTGGAAGAGCGTCCGGGAAAGGTTTCCCTGCCCCGATTGATGCCTTTTCGATCATTTTGGACCGACGCTTCAATGCACCTTGTTTTGGGACTCTCCAGAGCAATGGTCTCAGGCAAGTATTGACGGTGTCAGCTTGTACCAGCGATGAGCCCCAGAGTATTTGAAGGTATCTTTATCTCTGCAACTGCAAGACTTTTTACAAAATACCTTGCGGAATTTGCGGGCCCGGGAATTTTTGTCAGAACGGGCTGGGATGGAGTAGGAGGACGGGTAATGCGGAAAAAAGGACGACCCTCCGTTAGACGCAATTTCCACATGCCACTGAACTTTCAGATAAGCCTCGGAAATGTCAAGATCGATACAAGCTCGCGATACGTTTTAAATGGTGCATGTAAAATAGAGAAAAGAAGGATACAGTATTATTCACCCAGGTCCTCCTAGAAAACTTGAACTATACATCATATCTGCATTAAGGAACTGGTCAAGGTCAACCTTTTCTAAGCCCGGTAAATCAGCGACCAAAGCCCCTAGCCAGGAATATTCCTCTGCGCTCGGGTTATCCTGTGGGGATGGTCCAACTGGGGTGTCTTGTTGTTCCATATTCAGTGCTTCATTGAAGATTGCTATATCATCTTTCCTGCGTTGTTGATGAAGCATGACGAATAAGCGAGCTGCACTCCATGCTTCTCTCATGGTTTCTGTATCGTAAGTTGATGCGACGAGTTTCAATGTCTGCATCGCTTCGGAAAGCATCGCTAGTGATGACCGTGTGTCCATTACAAGAAGAACACATGTAATGTGAAAAGGTACGTTTGCCATCTGGTGCCAAGGAGAGCAGTTCATTACCATAGTGCGCGAGCAACCAAGTCCTTTCTTCAGGAGTGCGAGGACCCTTTCTGCGAGGGAAGAGGAGATGTCGAGGTTTTGGGTGTGGATCCTCCTAAGAATGCAGAGGACAAGATTGCATTGTGCCATGGTGGAGGGTGGCTCCTTGTGGACTCTATCCAAAACTTCAGAAAGCGTTACTTCAAGATCTGTATCATCTTCCTTTGGCTTTCCGGGATCTAGGCTTGCTGATATGGGGAGGAGGCCGAGAATCTCATTTGTATAGTCGCCAGGTTTTGTCGATGGCGGGAGCGGCAGATCATTCTTTTGGAAGGAGACCCTTGATAGGCCTAGGTCAAAGGATGTCCACATGTTCAAATGCTGTGCCACACCGAATAGTCGCCTTCGAATGTCCGGATCACACTGTGCGGTACCTCTGCTGCTCGGGAAAACCGAGTCTGTAGACTCCAAGTGAAATCCCGCAGCTTCTATCAGATGCATCAATCTTGAACTGGCTATCCATGTCGAGTGTGGCAGATCTGTCATTCGCATATAGATGGCTCGCAGTGTCCACCCGGTGAGGAGGTCTACCGAGGGAACTCCAGACAAAACGTGCATCTCCAGGATAGATCGTGCTGCACCACTCAGATGTAATTCCGTGATTGTCATGTTTCGTTGTGAGAACAGACAACCAATTGCAGCGACACCACCCAGAACACTATCATACAGCTCACTAACAGATGCTGACTGCCAGCGGGACTCCAACCGCTCAAAGAACTGACTTCGATCAATAAACCCGTAGCATGGATCTACTTTGTCGAAGTAAACCTGAGCAAGACTCCTCATATGTTCCAAAGATGTAATCTCCGTAATTGAAAGTGCAGTATTCACACCACCGAATCCCGATGATAGGCTCCGGGTACCAATATTCCACCCAAACAAGCTAAGCTTCGGCGCTTTCGCGGGGTCGATTTTTAGACCCATTTTGCGTACGAAGGCTGCACCGGAATTTGCCTCAAGACGACGCACTAGCCCATGGGTATCTGCTGCCCCATCTTGCTGTTGTGGAGACTTCGCAGCTGGTGGGCCTTCCAGAGGATGCTGTTCTTGGGTAGTCCGTCGCTTCCGTCGTTCATTTTTGTAATGGCAAGCATAGCCCCATTCAATGCAGGTGGTGCAGGGGTCGGCGCCGTCGCATTTTCTTTTGCGTTCCCTGCATGGCTCACATGCGATTCGGGCCCGCTTGCGCTTTATCTCTGATTGCGACATGGAAAGAGGCCGGGGATGGACAAGATAGAGATCCCGCAGGTGCCGGTGTGAAGAGGTCGGGCGCGGAAAGGCAGGCGGGTATTGCGGGTATTTATTTACATGGTGACGTCGATGGCCTCGGTAACTCCAACATTCTTCACATTCGATCTCGTTGCTCTCATTTCTTTTCAATACACACCTAGCTACAATATTCTTCAAGTATACGCCAATTTTCTCTATACCTTATTAGAGCACGGCAAAAGCATCTAGCATGGCTGCAAACCTGTTGTCCCGATACCCATGGGTGTCAAGCCCTTTCTTGGTCAGCGCCCCAATGCGAGTTATGTCCGGTCCAGCATTAGCAGTCGCTGTTTCTCGTGCCGGGGGTTTAGGATTCATCGGGCCTGGTGCCAAGACACAAGACACAAGTGACGATCTCGAGGAAGCATCGTCGCTACTCCGCCAAGCAGCGAACTCAATCTCAAACACTGGTTCTGCGCTACCTATCGGTGTAGGATATCAGCTCTGGGCTGATGATATCAACATCGCCGTTGCTGGAATTGAGAAATACAAGCCTTGTGCAGCCTGGTTATACGCCCCGCGCCGTGGACCCCAAGATTTCGATGACTGGTCTAGCCAAATCCGACATGTATCCCCTGAGACCCAAATATGGATTCAGATTGGTACATTGAAAGAAGCAAAACAACTTCTTCAAAGTGTTCAGCGGCCAGATGTTGTCGTCATTCAAGGGGCCGAGTCTGGTGGGCACGGTCGGGCGAAGGATGGAATGGGACTCATGGCATTGCTTCCTGAGGTGGCTGATGTCATGGCAAGCAGTCAAATTCCCCTATTCGCAGCTGGAGGTATTGCCGACGGGCGCGGAGTTGCAGCCGCGATGTGCCTGGGCGCCTCGGGTGCGGTGATGGGGACTCGGTTCCTGGCTGCTAGTGAAGCGCGAATTAGTCGAGGATATCAGAATGAGGTTGTTCGTGCATCTGATGGTGCGGCTTCAACGACCCGCACTCTGCTGTACAACCATCTCAGGGGTACATTTGGGTGGCCGGAGGAATACAGTCCAAGAACCATCTTTAACAGGTCGTTCATTGAGCAACAGCAAGGAAAGTCTTTTGAGGAACTCAAGAAACTCCATAACGAAGCTACCAAGGCAGGTGATAAAGGCTGGGGGCCTGAGGGCAGACTCGCAACCTATGCCGGAGCAGCTATTGGGTTGATTCATGAGGTAAAGGGGGCAGGAGATATTGTTCATGATGTTCGAGAGGATGCTCTGAACAGGATTGGGAGACTGCGGTCCAACAAGATCTAAGCAACTATCATGTTGAACAAGCTTATGAATCTATAATGAATTGAAGACTATGATAGTATCCATGGATTCACTCGCACCTCGGGTCTCGGCTTCAGTCATGATAGGAAATCCACCAATGGTGCTGCTCATACCCAGCGATCCGATGGTTTCACCGACAGCGGGGACCATCATCAAGAGAGACCTGATAAAGTTGACGATGAAAGCCCTTTTCCCCATGAATGAGTCGGCTGTGGGTTGAAAATCTCAACCCGGGGACTGAATACCACAACTACCAAAGATCTGATGATGTATATGTTTGCATCAAGGTTTAATATTGAGAATCAGCTTGCGCTCCTCGACGAATTAACTTCGAACGAAGAGGCCGAGGTTACAAATAAAGAAAAAGACATGTAGTTCCTGGAAGATCTTGATCCAATTAGTGACAGCGAGGAAGACGAGGTGTCGCTTGTCCAGGAACAACCTGCTACCCAGGGTATCCCAGCATGCCGCTGATAATAGACAGAATAACGTTGCCTTCTGAACCAGACAAAGAGACTCATAGGTCTATTTAATCTGATGGTGAAGCAGGCCTTCCTCTACCTGATACTCAGCAGCGTATGTCAAGGCGGGTTCGGAAGCGACCAAGATATGAGGACGGTCAGTATTCACATTATTAGTCGAGTACTCAAGAGTGAATAGAATAATATCATGCCTAATTCATGTAGAATCTCTATCCTTCATTTTACGACGTCGTATATAAGGCAAAACTACAAATTACACCTAGAATCTGAGGACCTGTGGAATTGACGCCAAAATGACCAATTTCGAGGCCTGAAACGGCCGCCTTTCGTAACTTTGGACTTCGAGTTGCCTCTTGGCCGCCAACTGCCCTGTGAGTTACCCGTGGACTATTCTGCACCCGCCCAGCACTGGCACTCATCGTCTGGTCTTGATGTTGACGCTCGACTTCGCAGTCGTTCCTCCCTTTTTCACTGGCGACCAAAACAAAGCCGAAATTGGCTCCCCTCCCTTCTCGCCCAGCTCAGTCAAGCGCCTATAAGATGTTTCGTCTTCCCTCTCTTTTGGTGTCCTTCCACCCTCCCATTCTCGCTCATCGCCGCTGCCTACGCCCCAAGTCAAGTTAGACGTTATCGTTTCCCGCAACACAATTTCTTTCAATTCTTTTCATTATTTATATATAGTTTCTCAATGATGTATTCCCAGCCGAGCGTAGGGTCCCCTGACGAACGAAGGAGAAGAACATTCTAAATATAGATGTCTCATATGTGATCACTGCTAGGTAGGGATATTTTCTTATCTTCACTCCTCCGATCTAATCTGATACTAATCTCTAGAACCGAAATTTTTATGCACGGCGATTACTAACTAGCATATTGCCCGATCGCTCCAATTATTTTGTTTGCTTCGGCAATAGTGTCACGGGATTTGCTCGCGCTAGTCACCTGACCGCTTATTGTTCCACAGTAGATGATTGCAACGGCCCCAGAAGACAGTACGAGATTTCGGCGCTGCGCCTTTATCCGTATCTCATGAATCGTATCGGCGTTTCGTTTGAATCTTTGACTAAGCGCCGTTCCAAAATAACAGAGTTCAGAAAACGCCTCTCTGGTCCCGTCACTGCCTTTTAGTTGGTTCATTAGCAGTGGGCATATATACCTGAATTATTCCTCAAGCCTACTCCAAATTCAATCAATGTGACCCACAGACTACACTTCGGACTCTAGAGCATGGGTCGCTTAGCCTCCCTATCCAATAGCTATCCGCGTTGTGTAAATACGAGTTCCGGTCTCGCTTTAACCCCTTGGCATCTTGGCTTTCAGGGTCTATCAATGGTAAATCCCGTGTTATTACTAAATTAGGGCACAACACCGCAGATCAACATGCTTTTAAAGTCTTTGTCCGCGCTATTGTAGAATTCATTCTCTGAGTATGCTTTCTTGTGGATTATCCCACAACCTCTACGAAAATGTTACTTCATCGTCGTTTTCTCATAGTCCTCGCCTTGCTCGTCATTCCAACGGGGGTACTATCACGAGGCGGCGGCCACGGTGGCTCTAGCAGCAGCAGTGACAGTGACAGCAGCAGTGGCAGCAGTGGCAGCTATAGTGACAGCGACTCAAGTGGTAGCGACGATACCTCATCAACGTCTTCATCATCAGACGGGGGCACCAGTTGCACAGATTCCCACCGCCTCGATTTCCTCGATCTCCAGCCTTACCACTACAACCAGTACAACAGTGACCCACGCCGTGGCCACGCCAGTGCCTACAGCGAGTTTGACGGCGTCTTCTTCAAAGGCGTAGCAAACTTTACGTACATAATCGAAGCGCCGCCGCCAAACATCACCAGCCTCGGGTATCCTTCAAGCAGTTCAATCAAATGTCCCGTAGGCGAACAGTCTTTCCGCATGCTAGGCGTTGCGTGGGTTGCTGGCAAACCGCCCAGGCCTGCAGGACCCAAGAACCCCATTGCGATCGGGTTCAAGGCTTGGGAAAGCAACATACGGCTGTCCGACATCGACTATTCGTATAGTGTATGTGACCAGGTGGACCTTATGCGCTTCGGGACGACAGTGGACATGATCTACAGTACTTATAAAAATGTCTCTCTTGATGCGATGGATGCCGTGGACCTGAAGATTACGCAGGCGCCTGAGAACAGCGACATGATTCAGTTCGAGGGCGTCTATGATTTGAAGGACTGGGCAAATAGTGAACGGAACTCTCGGGAACCAGAAAAGTACGAAAATAGCGGCCTTTCCGACCAAATGTTCTACCTTCCGGCAGGTATATGCTCGGCAGGGGAAAAATTGGGCGAAGTGGGGATGAGATGGAATGGGACGTTTGTCAAGGGGTCTATGACCAATGAGACCCTGCAGTTGAACTTGTCTGGCACAACGATTGCTGAATTCGAGATTGACAGCATGTATGAATCGACCTATACCAAGGTTAATGTGACTTTCGAAATTGCATTTACGGGGACTTTGGACGTTGCAAATTCCACGCAGGTGGTGTTGACTGGCGCGGCGAGCCATAACGAGTCACTGATCACCTTTAAAAGGGCGAACAGTGCCACCATTCCGGGACTGTCACTACATTTGGCACTACTGTCTTTGTTGTTTTGTTCTACGTTCTTTTTATGATTGAATGGACTTTTACCTTTTCACGGCAATTACATCCCTCGAGTTGATTGCTTCTTTCAATTACTAAAATCACACGGCCAGTAACCTAATTTCGCTAATTTACGCTGTTTTACGCTAATCATAAGCAGAAGAATCAAGATGGCCTGAGAGTTAAGTATCTTATATTTACCTATTTTGATTCCTTTCTCAATGAAAAAGTTGGGATCTTGATGCTTGTATACTTGCTCGAGGTCGAGACTTTTCGAGCATCACATTACACCCTTCTCGAAATGCAGTTTTGAGGGTAACGTTGTCAAACATTCGACACCTGCCACTCACCGTTTTCTTTGACGGCTACATCCCCAGGGCAAGGAATTTAAGGGAGCTCAAAGCCTGCAATTTATCTGCTGCCTTGGGAGTTAACATATCCAATCCATTGGGGGGGGGGGGAGCGTAGTAGACTGTGAGGCAAGACATTGGACATTGGTGGTACTGACATGGCTTCAGGCCGAAAAGCAGAAAATAGAGTAGTAGGGCTGACGGTAATCCCAGTTGGGCGGACGAAATTACAAGAGGGCAGAGGTGAGTGCAAGCTAGAGGGGATGGAGAGAGGGAGGAAGGGGAAAAAGGGTCAAACCGAGCGAGGTCGTTTGTTTTATGCCAGGGCATTGAAGGGAGGTTACGTGACAGTGTATGCTGCGGACTAGGCAAAAGATGAAAAGAAAAAGATAGGATCTACCACAGTTTTAACAAAATTTTTGGATGCTCGTGAATAGAGAAGTCCCGAGTCTCTATATCAGTTGCTCTAAGAATGCTTTAGTATTAACCTATAGGATAAACTCTGGTATCACAAAGAAATATACCAGCATCGACTTGAACCTCATGATTTATCTTATTGACCGCGTAGTCCTAAAACACGAAGAGAATAATACGCGTGCTTTCTAAGTCCCTAACAGCCATAAAGAACATGATCTATAAAATCAAGCTGGTTTTGAGCACGTTTATCTAGATGAACCGTCTCTTTTTGCCGACCTTTAAATGGCAACGTTTGTTCGTGCGTGTTGAAGACTAAATGGACCTCCGATAGGCATTCTTCGGCTCGGAAATAGCGCCCGGTAAAACTTTATCAGAAAAGAAGTCTCGTTAATCAAGGATGAGATTGACAAACTAAATAGATTGCGGGATTGCTTTAGTAGAAATTTCGACCTACCGACCATACTGGCTTTCACTGTGTCGAACCGGAGGGTAATTAGGATATCCAACGGGAAAAGGATGAGCTTGAAAATGGCCTTGGGCCATTAAGTCGGCCCTGAGTCGGGCATCAGCGTGAGTTTTGGGGTTGACCGCCATGGAATGACGGACGAAGGTAAGGAACGTAAGGCTCCCTAGAGTTTGTGTTGCCGGACGAGAATGATAGATATATTGCGGTATTTTCAGCAGTGTGGCGCTGCGTGGGAATATCTATCATGAGCTCGGACAATTAACGTAAATAACTCAACCGTCCAAGACTATGCAATCTGCCCCTTTAGTGTACCCATCACCAGATGAAATACAAATCTGGGGCTTATCTGCCCATCTCTCAGCTAGGCTTCTGGAAACAATTTCCCTGCCACCATTGGCACCGGCCGATATGGCAAATACGCTCGTCGCAAAAACAAACTCAGTACCAGCTTCCAACCCGTCGGTCTTGTTGCGCTCCACGACTGGTATCACGGTTCGGGGATAGGCCAAGTTTGTGTTAGAATCTGGCTGAAGGGCACTGGAGCTTATTTGTGGCAGCAATGGTGCAGTCTTCAGCGATGCAACCGATACACCGCTGCAGCCAGCAGCCGAGAGTATCAGGGTGCAATCTTCGGATCCGAGAATGCCTTCGGCCGTCCTGATCTCTGCGTCGGCAGCAAGCTTATTGATAAAGGGAAGTTTGGTGCCGTCTTTGGCGCAACGTGATGGCGATGCGAACCCGCCTTCAATCGTATGTAGAGTTCGCAACGAAGTCTTCACACGAATACGGTGAAGGCGAACGTGCCAATCTGGCCATCGATCCGTCGGCGGAACAAGGGTTGTCTCAATCTCGATCTGCCTATCTCCCCAAGGACACCAACGTACCTTTGCAATGGTAATTGAAGATTTATCCCCATTGGCGTATAGGATAGCTTGGGGAAACGTAGCTTGTGAGCATTTCCATTTCACTGCCCAGGTCTCAGCCCCATCACGACTCAAAGCCAGCATACAGTCTGGTGCAATTTGCTGAATCAGTGGGCCAGTAGGAACAGAGAAAGTGAATGCCGACGAGTACTCAAACTTGGAGTATTTGGCCTGTGTTGCCTTCATAGGCCAGGCGACGAACTGGGCTGGCGACAGAAAGAAGTGGTGATTACCCATCGGGTGATTGCTGACAATCTGCCTTGGAGCAGGGACAAGGCTGGGCTTGAATAGCGGCGGATAAGGCTGTTCTGAGGCAGTCCAGAACTCGTCGTCTTGGCTCAAAGACAGAGCAATAAGTGATTTCATGCACCAGTAAGGCGACTGTGGAGAGTTATAGTCCTCACACATGAACATATTGCTGTACAACTGTCAGAAAGGTCCTCGAGAGATAAAGATTATCGGATTGATATATGCATACGGGTACTTCCAGCCTATATTCAGGGTACCATCAGCATGGAAAATGTCATCCGAGTTCTTCGCCCACCAACGGAGGTGGCGCAACAGGAAGCCCCTGATACTACCCGGGTCTGCCAGTGGGAATGGCATGTCCGGAACCTTTGCTACAGCTAGAGCCGCAAAGAACCCGCCACAAGCGAATCGGTATGTAAGAGACCGACCGAATGGTATTGCTGAGCCTAAAGCCACAGGTGGTTAGAACGAACATGGACCGTTTCAGGATATGTCATATCTTACCGTCTGCATCAAAATATTTCCAGATCGAAGCCCCAAATTCTCTCGCCTGCTGCTGATATTTGGCGACCCGCTGCGGATCAATATCACTGGCAAATTTGATATACAGAAGCTGGCTAAACTGAAGCGCAAAGCTTCCAGAGTAATAGTCCGCTTGACGTCCGGGACCTATTGCATCTCTTCGGCCTGTCTTTTCGTACGCCGCGTCTTGTTGCATTTCCTGTTCAGTGCTCAGCCACGGACCATCACCGGACCAGCCATCCTCGAGGTAAAACGAGTCCAAAATAGCGAAGTCGGAGTCCATTGTGCTGGCAAGCTCTTGGGCTGGTACACTGCAGACGCGGATGAGGGCAAGATTCGAAATAACTCGAAACCATCGCCAGTTGTTATCGGGCATTGGCTTGTTGTTCATGCCACGCAGCCAAGCTTCTATATTGTACTTTGTCCGCTTATCCTGGTTGTGATAAAGGACATCCGGGGCAGAGATCAAGGCAAACGATATTATCTCAGCTTCTACCATGCGCTGACCTAGTTCGCTGATCTCACCCCAGTAGTCTTCATGATCTGGATCCGTGCCAGAGCGAAAGCCTTCAATCCATGGCTCCAGTATTTCCCTGTAACGAGCCGATAAAGGAGTCCCTGTGCTGTTGCTCGAACCCGAGAGAATGGCACCAACTGTCCAGAGTGGACGAGCAAACCCTTCCAACTGAGCGGCCAAATCATCAAAATGCGCACCTGTCCCAACGGGAAGGCGAATTTTGGCTCGACCAGGAGAGAAGTATGCATGCAATGGCTCTAGTATGGACAGAGCTGCCAACTCCAGGTCATCCCTTGTTTGTAAGGGATTATCAGAGAACCCTTTCAGGGGAGGCATGTCTCAATGATGTGTTTGTAAATTTCGTAGAGGCTGATTAACTTCAAGTCCCGGTTGCGAGAGAGATTATAGTGATGGCTTTCAATTACACTTTATTCATTGCGATACATGACTGGGTCCAGAAAATCTAATTCCCACACTTCGGAGTTGCTGGAAGAGCTTGGCAAAGTCGTCTGGCCGCAATTCACCCGACGCCCGAGCCCTAACTTATCTCTTCAAGGTTTGGTCTACTTCCCCGCACTTGGGCAATCAAGTGACCGTTTCGGGAGGAAAGAAGTAAGCCTTCGGTTGAATTGCACCGGCTGAATTCGCCCGGCCTATTTAGCCCGCGCATTCGCCCGCCTCATCCCCCGATCCAAGTAGGCCCGTACCTTCAGAGGCCCGCAACACTGCTCAGCCAAACAGATGGAGTCGGAACCCAATCCGGCCAACCTGGAGGACCGACCTGCCTGTGGAGCATGTCGCAAGCGCAAGCTGCGGTGCTCACGCGACGTTCCGCAATGCAGCCATTGCCGAAGAATTGGTACGCTTGGCTTGAGGCTTCTGAATATGGTGTATTTTCTGACCGCAGGGCTTGGCCGGATTACGTCTAGGAACGGCGTGCAACTATGACGGTGACCGTGAGAAACCCGGCATTAAGACAGGTGCAGTGGGGGCTTTGAGGCGACGAGTGGGTGAGTTTGAGCCTTGTCCATGTGCTATACAGGAAAGGCGTTAAATTTCTGATTCGGGATAAATAGAGACCCTCGAGGACACTGTTTTCCAACTGAGTAAAACCGGAACCAATGAGACTATTCAGGGTGCAAATGAACCGAGTTCGCTGGCCTCTGCGCTATGTGAAGGGCTAGAATTACTTCTTGAAAAACTACAGTCCAAAGCTCCGCAGAAAAGACCGTGGTCCGAAGTGGTCGACGAGCCCCTCGAGGAGAATGTAAATTACGAGGATGAACCACTACCACAGCCGCAGCCTTTGTCTGCGTCATCGAAAAAACGCAGGCGTGGAAATGACAGGCCAGTCATTGAGCCAGATGATCTTGCAGGTCCTTCGTCCACATTACCGCCGCCAAAGGTCCTAGAGGCTGTCGTTGATCTCTTCTTTGATCTGGTGCAGCCATGGGTGCCCATCTTTCATGAGAAGAGATTTCGTCGGCGACTGGAGAATCCAGACTCTAGGCCTGCCTTAGAGGTTGTTCTTCACGCGATGGTTGTTGCATTGCTCAAGCATGTATACCCCCGAGAGCTTATAGCCCATTTAGGTGACATAGAGAGCATCTGTGAGCGATCTCGGAAGGTTGTTGTCTTGACCGCTATGGATGATTTATATGTTGAGAATTTACAGGCACTTATCATCATCTGCTTTGAAGACGCACGTGCCCAAGTCTGTTTCAGAGAAATCAGGAAGCTAACCTTGTATAGATCGGGTCCGGTAGACTTTCACGCGCGTGGCCCATTGTTGGTTCACTAACCAGAACGGTGGAATATCTACAATTGAGCGTCGAAACAGAAAACCACGATAAAGATCCAGTACTGCAGCCTCGGCCATCTCTTCCCCAAGCCAAAGATTGGGTCGAGGAGGAAGAGAGGCGACGCGTGTTTTGGACCATTTTTAACCTGGACAGGTGAGCCTACATCCTCGCGTATGACTTGCGAATAAGATATTAACGGACGGCAGATTTTGTTCAGTTACGACTGGGTATGCTTAGCCTCTTGAAGCAACCCTGCACAAAAACTAATTGTCTTCGGTAGATGGAACACTAGCTTAACATCAAACGATGTTCACCGGCGCCTCCCCGCAGATGGAGGCTTATGGCATAACGAGGAAGCAGTCACTACACCATTCTTTGGCATTTGGGACCGGTCGGCAGGAAAAATCGGAAGGCTCATCGCCTTTCTCCCCACCGACTATAATGCTACGGAACCTTCGACCAACGGATTCCCTTCCACACAGGGAAACAATTATCTTCCGACGACATCCGAGGAAAAGGTTGACATGTCAACAGTTGGCGCATTTGCCTACCGGGTTGAAGCCACCGAGTCACTGAGTAGGGTGACGACCTTTTTCCTGCAGCAAAAGATCAATTATCGTGACCGACAGGAAATGGGTAGCTGGCTCATGCGGTTTAAGGAGCTAGATTTACGTCTGGTCAGGTGAGTACGCGAATCATATCGTTCTACCTCCCAATCAATATCATTTCTCACAGGACAAACAACAGTTGGAAAATGTTTTTGCCCCAGAAGTGGAAAGAGGCAAATATATCTCGCCAGCCGGCCGTGGTGACGATGGATCCGAACCTGACGCTGGCACACATCACCCACAACACATCTATGATTCTCCTTCACCAAAGAATTGCCTATCCTCCCTTGGAATGGTTGGAAGTGGTCAAACTCCCAATCCTTTCCAGCGCCGAAACCTGCGAAACAGCTGCCAGTGAGACAGCCAACATCACCCAGAAATTCCTTGACAACTCGCCCCCGCGCAGTATTGTAGATAATCAGTTCGCCTTTTGCGTTTTTGTCAGCGCAAGAGTCCTTCTAGGTTTGTTATACTTTTCCCGTTTTGGTCTTCTATTTAGGAGTACACTAACAGGCCATATCCATCTGCAGTGCACTGGCGTTACTATAAAACACAGGAACTTCCTTCCGATTACGGAACACTCATGAAATTCCTCGACATCATGTCAACTCGATGGTCGAGTCAGAATCGGGAGTCAACCACCAGCCGCAAAAACTCGGCAGCCAAATATTTCAGCCAACTTAATGACATATACGACAAATGTCAGAACGACACAACATTCAAGCTCGATGTCTTGGGATACTCCAATGAGATTGAATGGACTGGCCCTCCTCTGAGTCAACCGAGGGATAGGAACCAGGTATCTGTGTCTCACATTGATGGCACTGTTAGTGCAACCAATGATCCAGCTAGACCTTTGCCCTCTCACGGACCAAACCTTCAGCTTTCTCCACAACATTCCGCAAACATGACGTCTTGCGGTGGTGACGTCTCAACTGGTGGATTTTCTCACTACCCTCATTCCATTAGCAGCCGGAGACCAGATATACTGAATCCAGTTGACATCGATCGTGAGACTGGACAGCATCATCAAATGGCATCGGCCTCTGTTCCTGCCCACTTGAGTTACAACACAGGAAGCCCAGACGAATTGACCGCAGTTACGTCAATTTTGCTAGACCAGCAGTACTCAGAGATGGACCGGATCATCAGTCTAAACAACGCATACTTTGCGTCTGATGTAGCTTATACTCAGTGAATCTCATAAAAGCTGGTTACGCGTTAAGTTGAAGCAAGTGTCACGTTTTATTATTGTCTAGTGTTCATTTTGTAACTGATGTGGACTGTTTATTATTCTATCTAGAGATAGCCTATGCTAGGCCCATTCTCAGCAACTGATTCCCAAATTCTAAGATATAATAGTCCGCATACACCAGTCCGTGATCACTATAACGATCATGATCCTGGGAATTGTGATTGGCCGTTGCATTCTTCAAAATGGAGTCAAATCGTTGTCCAGGCACCACGTCTTCGACGGTAATAGTGTTTCCCTGTTGTGCATCTCCAACCAACTGTGCTCGCTCCCTTGAAAGAGATAGCTCTAATGTATCGGACACTATCCTCCTCGCGGCGAGCTGGTATTGCTCTGCTAGGGTTGCGTCCCCGAGCGTCGCCAGTGACTGCGAAAGAAGTAGCATACCGTTGGCAGCAATCACGCCAGCAGAAGAGTCTCGTAAAGGCTTGCTTTCATCCTCGACTGGGGCATCAAAGTCCCACAATGGCACGTACCGACCCATCGTTCTCTGGCAATCGAGCCCATCACTGGCGGTGGGCTGCTCTACGCAGAGGGGTGCAGTCTCAAGTCTCCACAGGAAATAGTCAGCCAGACCACATGCTGCAGCAAGAAACTCTTCATCCTTGGTCCAGTTATATGTTTGGGCATAGCCAAAAATTCCCCATGCCTGGCCGCGCGCCCAAGTCGAGTCGACTCTGTATCCCTGGGCTGTGCGGTGCTGCTTAATGCCCCCGGTATGGGGATCGAAGTTGACAACATGGCAAGTGGAATATAATGGGTACTTGTGACGCTTATTGCTGCCAGCAGGAGTAGGCTCTGGTCTCAGAAGCGATTTTAGGAGAGTCCGCGCGTGTGTGGTTGCAATGTCCGCGAGGCTGGAGTCTGCGAGATGCTTCGAGGCGTAATATAGCAAGTCCAGGTTCATCATGCTGTCGATGATAACCAAGCAATCATCCGTCATGCTTGTAATGGAAACGTCTGCTTGTCGCAGGACATCCCAGCTGCGGATGACCCCGGCCTTGGGTACGTACCGACTAGCTAGGCTGCGAGCAGCAGCCAGAACAGCATGCAGGCTGTCCTCATTGCTGGACAGCTCCCAATCTTTCCGAAGTGAGGGCTGAATGATGAAGCCCATATCATGGGTATCTGTGCGCGACATCATCGCTTTGACTGGGCCAGTCCACGTGCGGCAGAGCTCGGCTAGTTGGTGTCGCAGGGACGAGCTTGACACTGTTGTGCCTTCATAGTCAAGGTATGGGAAGACTTGAGGATACCTCGCTGCCCGTTCTCTCAGCAGGTAAAGAATTCCCGGAAAGAAACCGCATGTCCAAAAGTCGGCATCCCGTAGGAAGTACTTTCCTACTCGGTCGCCATGCTGCGGCACAAATTCAGGATAGACTGTCGGGGGATCCTAGAATAAGAATAAAGTGTTAGAATTGGACAATACTGGAGCTGACAATCGTAATTATGAGCATTCATACATTGTTTTCTAGCGCCTCCACTGCCACCCGTAGCACTTTGGCTATGATGTTTTCGGAAAACAGCTCGAGCAGTATCTGCTGCATTTTGCGCCACTCGTCTGCCGGGACCGACTCCAACGGCATCATGTCTGTTGGCTGGGAATCTGGGGCAGTTGTATCAGTCCCAGGAGATTGGGACATTCTGTCCTCTGAACCGGCTCTGGAATCCTCAGAGGTCGAGGGGGTATCGGAAATCATGTTGGAAGTAGAACCAAGAACTGGTCCTTTTCTTGTTATATTCCTTGGCTGTCGTGCATCAATTGACTGTGGAATAAACAGCGGTCACAACTAACAGAATTAGAACTCTCAACTATCGCCCATTTATCCTAGATAGGGTGCCAAGCAGCGCCCATTCCAGCGGGCGGCGGGCGATATCGCTCCGGGCTCATTCGCCCGCCGGCCGACTTCGTGGCCTTTTCCCGCTGGAGTCAGGGTTTGTGGCTGAATTTAACCGACTTGGGGACCAAAGGAACGCTGGGATTCCATCGGCCACTCCCCATCCGTGCGAGATGGTGCCAGAAAATCCCCCGATCCAGGAGTAGCTGCTCGACTGCATCCCGTCAATCGTGTGAGGTGTGGCAAGCCATTGGCATTCCCCGGACTCGCAATAATCCGGGGTAGTCGCACTATAAGACCGACGGGCTGAACCTCACCTCTCCTGGTCTCTCGAACGTGGCTCCAAGCCTGCTTTACTCCATCATACGATTTTGGCTACAATGCTCACCCACTCCAGTAATTTCGAAGGGCTTGCACTGAAGGATGTGATTCCCAAGGACCGTAAGCCCTTTTGGAAGGATGGCACCCTTCTCAAGCTGAACACTCTGCTATTGTGCGCCTTGCTCACCCAAATCACCTCCGGCTATGACGGTAGCATGCTGAACGGCATGCAATCGCTTCCCCAGTGGCAGAAGTACTTCGGTAAACCGACGGGCACTCGCCTCGGAGCGATGACCTTTGGCCCAAATGGAGGAACGCTTATCTCGGTGCTGATCTCGTCACAGCTCTGCGAGAGGTATGGCCGTCGCTATCCCATCTGTGGGGGATCTATCATTATTATTATCGGCTCCATTCTTCAAACAGCCGCTGTCAACTACGCCATGTTTGTCGTCTCTCGCTTCTTCGTCGGCTTTGGACTGGGAATTGTGGCCACAGCAGCCCCACCTTTGCTCTCCGAAGTCGCTTACCCAACACATCGTGGTATTCTCGTCTCGTTCTATTTGTGCACATGGTCATTGGGCTCCTTGATTGCAGCCTGGGTTACCTATGGCACTTTCAAGATGACGGACTCGTCCTGGAGCTGGCGCATCCCCAGTGTCCTGCAGTGTTTCTTCTCCCTCGTCCAAGTCATCTTTAGTCTGTTTGCCCCAGAGTCTCCGAGATGGCTCATCTATCAGGGGCGCCGGCAGGAAGCGTTGAATGTTCTTACCAAATATCACGGGCACGGCGATCCGAATTCACCCCTGGTGCGGTTCGAAATGGCAGAAATCACGGCGACCTTAGAGGTGGAGAAGATGCAAAGGCTCTCTCGCTGGACAGAGTGGGTGGCCACGCCAGGCAATCGCCACCGTTTCTTCTTGGCGCTCTATATCCCAGCCATGCTCCAGTGGGCCGGCAACGGGCTCACCTCTTACTATCTGTCCAAGGTGCTCAAGACGATCAACGTGACAGACCCCAGGACCCAATTGATCATCAACGCATGTCTTGCCGTCTGGAGCTTCTTGACAGCCACCGTTGCTGCCACTCTAGTTGATCGCGCTGGTCGACGACGCCTGTTCCTCTTGGGCATGGGAGGCATGGGCATTGCTTACACTCTGTGGACTATTTGCTCCGCACTCAACGAAGAACGAGACTTCAAGGATAAGGGTTTTGCCGCTGCAGTCCTCTTGATGATCTTCATCTTTAGTGCGTGCTACCACATGTGCTCTCCTATTGCGCCTACCTATATCATGGAAGTCGTCCAATATTCGCTGCGCTCCAAGGCATCGATGATGTACCAGTTGACTGGTAATTTGGCCGGCATCTATAACAGTTTTGCCAACCCCGTCGCCATGGATGCTATCTCGTGGCGATATTACATTGTCTGGTGTTGTGTGATTGGTATCCACTTCACTCTTATCTACTTCTTCTTCCCGGAGACTAAAGGGAAGGGTCTGGAAGAAGTGGCTGAAATTTTCGATGGGCCTGATGCGCTGGCTGGTGTCAATGCAATGAAGAGCATGGGTCTGGATGTCAATGTTGACAAAGCTGTTGCAATTGGCTATGGGCAGGAGGCTGAGTCCGATGCGGTGAAGACTGGAACCGCACACGTTGAGCGTGTTTAACATTTCATAGTCCGCGCAATATATACGTATGTACAAGCTATGAATCCCATTTGTGTCAGATCCTTATTTGAGATCGACTGGGAAAGGGGCCGCGACACGTACTGCTAATTACTCCGATGAATAAGCATTGGAGATTACGTACCTATTTGACGCCTTGTGGGCCAATTGCCCCGAGATATCTGGTGAATTGGACGTTGGGATTCGTGGACGGGTGGAGATCGGTTCTTGGCGGCGATCGTTCTAAAATAAGCTTCAACAAGCCTCAGAGGATGATGTATTTCCCCAGACTGTGGCTTGCGGGCTACTAGGCTAAATTCAATTTATTACTATAGGCAGATATTTGATCATTAATCTGGGTTCTGAGATGCCCTGTAAATGCAAGTAAGGGGTTTCTTGTAAAACTCGTTCTACCAAGCCTTGCTACTATCGGCCCCCAATACACATTACCTTGTTAGGGCTTGCTAAAAAATCGCTTCGTCATAAATCCAAAAGATTTCCGGAACGCGACGAGGGCCCACCATTACGACAATGCACTTAGATAGCGGCTGGGCCTTCATGTTGCCTAGAATGACCTAACTTACACCCGCAGGGCTGGGTCCCAAGCCTACTATTGCATAACTAGTGGAGAAGTGTCTGCTCAACTTGGAAGAACCTAGACACTGAAGATGCTCGAGTCTCCAATATGCACTATTTGTATACGCGTAATGCTGAAGAGAGATCATCCTCCTCACAACGCGTGGCACGGAAAGGAGCTGTGTATACCGGACATATTGACCTATTCTGGGACAATAGCATAGTCAAGCACTAGAAACTGAGTGCCTCGTAGATCTACACATGGACGGCACAAAGGTATAAAGAGTTTCTGGATTCCCGCATCCTAAATTCTTCATCTACAATCAAATTAACACTCCTTACCAACTAAGCCACCATCAATACTTACTTCCTTTCCTACTCCCAACCACCAACCGCAAATATGAAGACCACTTTCGTTGTTTCCGCCATGCTTGCCAGCCTTGCTCTGGCCTCTCCCGCCCAGCCCCAGCCTACCCCTGCTTGCAAGGTTGACAACGACTGCAAGCCAAACGAGCAATGCAACAATGTCGGCCAGTGCATCTCCAACAAGGCCACTCGCGATGCTCCTTTAGCCAATGTTGGGCAGGCCTGCCACTCCACTGGCGACTGTGTCAAGGGACTTGTCTGTGACCAGGACAAGAACACCTGCGATGCTCCCAACACCCACAACAAGCGTGGTGTAAGTACCACCAGATAACTATCACCAAGAATGTTTTTCTTATTATGAATACGTATAGGACACCCTCTCCCAGATGGGTCAGGACTGCAAGACCACCAAGGACTGTGTGAAGGGCTTCGTCTGTGACCAAGTCAAGCAGACTTGTGACGCTCCTAACCGCAAGCGTGACAACGCTCCTCAGCCCCAGCAGTGCAAGTCCACTGGTGACTGCGCCAAGGGTCAGGTTTGTGACGAAGACAAGAATGTCTGTGTCGCCCCCAATGGCAAGCGTGATCGCCTCTCTTCTGAGCCTCAGCAGTGCAAGTCTACTGGTGACTGCGCCAAGGGTCAGGTCTGTGACCAGGACAAGAATGTCTGTGTTGCTCCCAACGACAAGCGCTCTGAGGTATGTTATACTTTCTTCACATGGCTATATCTTGGAGATACTGACATGATTCAAAGGGCGATGACCAGTGCCAGACAGACTCCGACTGCTCCAAGCAGGACACTTGCCAGGTTATCGTAAGTGGATAATCCCCGCTGAATTTGGGGCACGATTGCTAACAATACTTTGTAACAGAAGGGTAACAAGGTCTGCGCTGCTCCCCAGCCTAACCCCTCCAAGTAAATGTTCAACCGGTCTTCAGCCGAATCTGGGAGCTGGTGATAACTCATGGCATCCATTGAACATTCGCAATGTGGAGGATTGTCAATTGTTGTATCGCAACGATACTCCATCTGTATAGTCTACATGGGGGTTCCAATTTGCTGGACAGTGGGATCCCTGGTACAGACGTGATTGTTCCCTTTTCTCTGTCGCTCTAGACAGTCCATTCTTTCTTTGATATACATATATATAAAGAATTAAAGCCGGTTTTCTTTCAATTGTTTGTTTGTAAACTTCATGTCACGCAACTCTGCTTTAGTGATTATTCTACGTCTTTCAACTTTTTGACATGTGATCAGCAGCCTAGAGATTGAGACTACGGGTTTGTTTGAGAAATACACCCGAAAAGAGCTCAAATATCAAGCCTGCTGATTTCCAAAATCTTCACTTGCTCTTTGAAAAGGGGAAGTGGGGAGAACATCCTATGGCCCGGTCATTCTCTGATCGTCTGCTTCGGTGCCTTTCCGAACAGGAGTGGATTACCAGAGGAACGGGATTCGTAACGCCTTCCTCAATTGTTGTAACATGCACCGAAGATCCTCATTTGGTCACCAGATCTTGGAATATTCCCTTAGTCTTCATCAAAATGTAACCATTTTCAGGACTTCGAATGCAAAGACCTGCCAACAAAATTATACTATTAAATTCCAATAACTAGACTAAAAATCAAAAGCTCACAAACATCAAGCTGCTCTTTCAAATTGATCCCAAATTCCAGCTTCCTCAAATGTAACATCTTTTAAATGACCCAGCCTCACATACATTCTCCCGAGGGACTGCAATTTCCCGAGCAACACTGGTTGGCGGACATGCACCTGGCGTGCTTCATAGCACACCTTCCGCTCGCCTCACAGTACGAGTCGTACTGGTACTGAAGACTGCACTGGAAGTTATTGGTGCAGCCCATTCCGGAGGAGCACATGGTGCTACGAGAGTCGTTGTCGTACATGCAGACTCTCTCAATCATAGCCATTCCAAATACATTCATCATACGATGAGGACGGCATGTCATGCCAGAGGGGCACTCAGAGCCAGTTGGGCAGCGGAAATTATTCGGAACACCCGCACACTTTCTATTGATACAGGCCGCGGTCTCTTGGCACTGAACATCCTCGTGGCAGGTCTCGCCGATCATTGCTTGTCGCTGGCAAGTCTTGGAGCTGGGAGAGCAGTACATACCGTAGCCGGGGTACATTGACCAGCAGGGCAGTTCGGTGGAGCAGATGTCGTTCATGCAGCTGGCTGCGGTCATGGTGGATGGGTTGTCACTGTTGAAGATGTGGCCATGTCTGTCGGCGGGGGCCTCGATCCTCATGCACTTCATACTGCGGACGTGGCTGCCGACGTCGCGTTCGTTTGACTTCTTCATCAACTGCATATGGGGCCGAGTGAAGGTGAACATCTCGTCCTTGCAGACGTGGTCGCTGTCAAGTCAGTACTGGAAATCCGTAGCCACTGGGTTTCTACTTACGAGTACATTGAGCACATCATTTCATGTATCGACTCGGACGGACATGGGACATAAATTGATCCGACGTTCATGCGACTGAGACTAAGTCAGCGATGCTTCTGCCAGGGATGATATTGATGAAACTTACTAGTCGGGCATAGTGTCGAAGTTTACGCACTTTCCATCAGCCATGACTCGCATTCCCATTGCACCTGCGTGCATGGCATAGTCTGGCTCCTTGAAGATCATGGGCTATATAAAATATGTAAATAGGATGATCTCGAAGTAGAAAGAGATGGGGTGATCGAACCTGATCAGACATTGTCATCATAGGGCTAGCAGCCAGTGCCAATGGCACAAGGGCGAGAATGTTGACAAAAGTAGACATCTTTTCCTTTTGCGGAGAATATTTCAGTCGATAACTGGAGGATGAACTGCTGGGCGAGAGGCATGCTTTTATATTCAACGCTGCGAGAACGTGAGAACCCCATCTTCTACAGAATGCTTAGGTCCGTCTAACCCTCTTTCTCTGGTATTTTAGAGACAAATACTCCAGCTGAGACCTTTCTACCTCGCACAAGGTCAAGTTCTGGTCCCCTGCGATCTCGATTGGTCTCTAGAGTCGGCATCACCGGGAAGAATAAACTGGCTCAACAGTTGGGCTCAGATTGACACAGCAGAGACCTACATCTGGACTAATTGGACAAGTTGGAGATGGTGAACATGGACCTCAAGTCTTGTCTCCAGACGTGCAACCTTAGTGCAACCCCGGACGCTCGGTTAGATCTTCATCTCAGTTCCATTGTTCAAACGTCTAGTGTCTCACTATCCAAGTAGTACATGTGTACATTTCTATCTTACTACGATATGGATCATAAGTTGGAGTAGATGTTTCGATCAAGAGACTCCTTATTGGATCCATTAAATATACGATACCTATGGGGTGTCTCCTACTCGACCGTCACATTCACCTTGCTCTTATCTGGTCATTGGGGCGAATGTCAATAAAAACCAACGAGTATCAACTCAACAAGTGGTGTCACCTACAGAATGCCACATGATCCTTGATATTTTCTGCTTTCTCATACGGCTTGGCATAATACCAAGCAGCGTCCTTGATGCTCTTGTCTGTGTCTCGTATTAGCAGCATGCATGTCTCGATTATTTTTTACACGCACCTCCAATCTTAACAGTATAGTACTCAGCTTCACCCTTCCATGGACAGTAGGTCGTCGTGTCAGATGCTAGGAACAGCGATTTGTCTTTGATGCTCGAAGGGGGGAACTTTGGTCAATGTAAGTTATCAGTGGTCATAACCCCAAAGGGCCGACGGTCACCCACGTAGACGTTCCCTTCAACTGTTTCCCAGGCAGCCGCCTCCGCGATAAGAACGCCGTCGATTTCGGCTTTGGCAGTGGACATATTGTTTGAAAAATCCCAGAGAAAGGTGTGAAGGTGAAGGATACTCTTTTGTTGGGTTTATAAGCCGGAAGTAAGCGGACACGTCCTGCGGGGAAGCTCACGGCAAATACTATATATGCTCTTACCCACCATTCCGATTTCGATACACGTTATTCGCTCTCCACAAGATTCAAAAGCCTTGTGAGGCATGGCTTTTATCATTATGCAAGAAGTACAGATAATTGGACGAGATAATCGTGCGATTTCTTTGGAATAAGGTAGATGCCGCGGTACAGAATTGGTTTGCAGACATGGAAGCGGGCAATGCCCTGGTCAATATCCTATTGGGAACCATTTGCCAAGTTTATGATAGAACAAGGAAGAATGAGGAAGAGATAGAAGAGTAGAGCTGTACCCTGGATGCCCACGCAATGTTGAGGTCGCTGATTCGTTGACATGGGCTTATTCTCTTGCATACATTGAGATCACCGCTTCCAGGTCATGAGAGACACATTCATAAATTCTGCTCTTGAAGTCAGTGTCTGAAAGCTCGGCTTTGGGGGTCTTCTGACGCATGCCCGGCCATGAGTTTGGACATGTCATTTATCTCAAAAGGCCTTGAATGTTCCAGTAACCGATTGTTAATGGATCGACACTGCGCGATGTCGGGGATAACCAGTCTATGAACAGATCGCTTGCAATGGCGTCTAGGTCAAAAGTCTTGCATTGGTGTGGCTCAACAAGCAAGAGAATGTAGCCGACAGGGCGTTGTATGAATTCCTACTTTCCATACTTCCAATCTCGAGCTCTGAATAAGCGGGTCATTGTCATTATCCCTGCATTACGCAAAAGCGACGTCGAATCAACAGCTACGATCTTTTGCACGCAAGATCAGTCGGGGGCTATATCCCGTGGAGGAACCGTCCCTATCTCATTCGGAATCCATGTCCCACTTTTCCGTGTATACCTGAAGCGGAGATTTGATTCAGCGACTAAATCCTCTGGTAGATAAATTAGAATATCCCGGCGGGGGTATCACAAGTAGAATATAATATTACATCCCAACTCCATCCATATAGTTAACCACAAATTTCATATTCATTCCCATGAAAATTCACAGAGATCCCAGAATCTCCATCATCCAAGAATCATCAAACCCATTAAATTGCAAGCTTTCAGGAACCAAGCCATTGGGCGGACCAACACCCATATCAGCTTGCAGAATACTCTGATTCATAGGCGCATCGTACCAAATTTCATTCAACTTGGGCTCCCAGCCCTGTTTTAAACCCTGGACCATCTTCAGTCCCTTTTCGAGGATGTTCATATCCGTTCCTCCGGCAGTGGCGATGTGTTCTGCACCTTCCTTAAGATTGGCTTCGATGCTTTCCAGGTATGAGATCAGATTGGCGGTATTTCGGACCATGGTTCTGTCCCAGGCTGGGTCTTCCAGGATGGATAGTTTGTATAGGTTGACTATTGCGCGGGTAAATTGGAAGAACATGACGAAGGAGATGACTATGTAGTTCTTTGGTGGGATGCTTAGCCATAGATCGAGCCAAGACTTTGTTGCGTTGAGGGAGATGTACAGGCTGTCCAAGCGTTTGAGGTCTGGTGCGTTTGGTACGGCCGGTAGGACGATGGAGATTTCGTTAATGGTTAGTTCGGCGTTGCTCAAGTACATGAGTACAGCTTCTGTGAGGGTGGTTAGCAGTTGTGATGATAGACCATTGGGATTAGAGAAACTTACTGTCTTTCTGCAGATGAACTGGTATCTGGCTCTTCACGGTTTCCAATTGTGTTTGGAAGGAATTCAGATAGAAGGCCAGCGGGTTGAGAGAGTCGCCATCACGGCGGGCATGGTAGACTCGGTCTATCACTAGCTGAATCTTGACAAGCGTGACCAGGAGCTGGTCTTCCTTGCAATCCTTCGCCTCGGCGAGCACCGAAAGGCTTTCTTCCATGTGTGGGGTCCAACGTAAAGCATCAATCTTAAACATCGACAAAGCAACGCTTAATATTTCATTAGGGCACGCTCTGGCATTTCTTCGGTGTTTTGCTTACCTTGATGTGATCAAAAAGCAACCCATCACAGCCCTCCGCTCCTCCAGCGTTCTTGCTGTAGGTGGATTTGGCCTCCAGCCAATAGCACACTTGAATGCTTGCATAGTAGAGTATTCATTTGGAACACTCTTGTTGATTCCAAGATCGGAAACAATCCCAATTAATACATGTGCGTAGAAATTGAGGAACGGTCTTTTGGCATATGTAACCCTGAAAAGCCGTTAAAAATCGGATACTGTCTATTGGGTTTGATGCACTCACCATGAAATGAATGTCATAACTCCAAGAAGCAGATCCATACTCGGCGAGGCCTCCGCCATAAGCCTTTGATGAATGAAGTCGGTGATCTTCTTGAAGGTGCCTTCACTCTCCAGCGTGCCCGGGGTAAGCACAGCCATTATGCACAACCAGAAAAATGGCTGCTGGCTCCGCAGATGCTCAGATGTAATATGAGGCGGAATATTCACAAATGGCAGATACTTGAGGTTCTGATTGCGAAAGTTGTCGAGGTTCTCTTGAGCCGCCGCAGGCGAGATGGACATCGTCGAAGAGATATCATCATAAACAGACGAGCCACAATGTTCAATCGTTGACGGAGATGTAGTACTCGCCGGCGTTCGGGTAACCGAAGATCCAATTTGGCTTGAGACATCGCGTGGAACTTGTCGATGAGTTGCAGCTTCCCAGTCGACTGGAAGACCAGCGTTTGCACCGTTGGCCTGTAGCATTGAGACTATACTATCGAGCTTGGCCTCGAGATGCTGGGTCTTGGAGGATGCTGAGCGCTTGCGCTTTCGGTTTGATTCTGAGGTTTTGCAGTCCTTGTTCAACCGGAGGCATCTAGAGACGGTTAGTTCTGGACTCGGTTGCCGTGCCATCCTACCCTCGGTTTAACTTACCTTTGGCACTTGTCGCTCTCGGCGGCAAGCATACACTTGCACTTAGCACGGACACAGTTAGTGCAAGCCCGCCCGTATGGCGCAGGTGTTCCACTTGTGTTCTGGTCGGAATTCCCCATCATTCCGGTGGAATTCGGGATTGAGGGCGAGATACCGCAAGATTAAAGCTTCTCCCAAAAGAGCATTCGTTTCCATTCAAAGATCAAATCCGAACTGTATTGAGGGTTCTAGAAACTAAAACTTTCCCTTTCACTTGAGTGAGAAAAAGGAGCATTTCCCAACAACTTCCAAAGGTTTGACATGAACGGGATTCATAAAAGTGCGAATTCCGGTCCGTGGCCTGTTGCCTGCTACCTGATTGGTTGTTCGTGTTGCCTTGCTGACTCGCCGCATTTCGATCCATATGAATTGCTTCAACTCGGCCTATGTATACAATATGACTAAAGCTTTAATACGAAGTAAGGGAGAAAATTTTGTGAATGCCTATAATCGTTCGCTACCAATCTTTTTTACGGACATATGAGTAACCTGGAGAAACCTTCAATGCCGGCAACGTTGGACAGGGCGGAGTTCGTGCTCCCGGCTTTCCCAACTCCGTCTATACAATGTTCTCATTCATACTTCATAGAAGGCTCTCCGTCACGGAGTTCGGTGTTTATTTGCTCGCTGGTTTGCCGTTCATGTATTTCTTTTTGACATAGAAAGGATATATGGCTGTGCGAATTCTCACTAGCCCTCCGGTCCCTTGACAGCCTTGCAAGCAGGCAATTGACCTAAACATCCCCAAGACATATAGTCCTCCAACACAATCTACATCTACAAACATGCCAAAGCAATGCGCACATACGTAAATTCATAACAGATTGTCAGGATTAGACAAATTGTCCAGATACCATTGGCGCCGCACACCCGAGCAAACGGGGCACAGCAATAGGACTAAGGTAATTTGACATAATAATGATCAAAAGACCAAACAGGACAACTAAGCCAGTCATCCAATTCCATATCCCCCAAATCATCCATCACAAACAAACCCCCAGTCCAACCCCCGGCATCCGAAACGAGGCTATATTCCTAGACCGAAAAGCTGCGTAGAAATAATCTACTGCTCAGTCTGGAAGTAGTTGAGGAGCACGGAGCGCTCCTGGGACTCTTCACCCCAGTCCTTGACGACGACGCAAGAGCAGTTGACGACCTTGCGGGCGTTGCCGTCACGGTCGAGAGTGCCTGTGGATAGAGTATTAGTAACCAGTAACGAGGGGCACCATATTAAATGAAGGTGTAGTGTGGTGTGGGAAAACGTACAGAGACCAACCCACTCGCCGAGCATCTTTCCGTCGGGAACCTTGATGAGAGGGATCTTGTGCTCAGAGCAGAGAGCAACAACGAGCTTCTTGTAAGCCTCCTCCTCGCAGCCCTCGTTCAGGACACACATGTGGGCCTCGCGGCGGTCGAGGGCCTTGGCGGCCTCACGGAGACCACGGGCGAGACCGTCGTGGATGAGGGAGATGCGCAGAACACCCTTGAGGGCGTCCAGGACGGACATCTGGCCGCTGCCGGCATCGGCAGAAACCTCAACCTCGTCGGCAGGGGCGATGGGGGATGTGGGCTCTTCTCCGTCCGACTGTGTGGGTGATGTTAGAATATTGGTCTTTCATGGGTTCAATGGTAATGTTGGTAATCGTTGTCTCGAGACGAGAGAGTCTGGCTGGTTTGGATACAGTGTGTTTGCTCTAGCAATGTATGCTGGGTGCTGTCGAAACTCGACTTTGTTCGCACATTGAGCGGGCAGGTCATTGCAGGCCCCGCGGCGACGGTGGTTGCTTGACAAGACTGTATCCATTCCAGTGCCTCAATTGTCTTGACAAGAACGGTGGGTGGGAGGCTGTGATCTGAATTGGCAGGTGTATGGACATACCATTTTGGTTTTTTGTTATTCGAAAGTCGGGTGATCCTCGAAGAGAAGTTATTTGGTGATAAGGTGGTGTCGGGGCGCGAAATTTCCCGCTATTTCGACTTTTTCGGCTGTGTGTGCCCTACGCTTATGTCATCCACCCCGCCGTCAGATAGTCATGTGACCACATGTAGACAGCGATTGCTTTGCCTCTGTTGGCAACACTTCACGCCTTTCTGTTTGACCTTTGACAGATTTGTTATGGCAGGACACATACTGACGATATTTACACAGTATCAATGTGAAGTTTGTTTTGAAGTTATTTGTAGATATTGAAATACAAATACTTAGTAGCACTAAGCTAACTTACAGCTAAACAAACATGTTGACTACTCACAAATAGTAGATTCGTCACTAGAACGCAAGAGGTATCATAATCGTACAATCAGAATCCGCCCTGTACACCACTGCTGGATTGCTGCCATCGCGCCGTGTCCCGAATAGCGAAAGAACGCTGAAAACAAAACTAGACGTATGTACTAGACCGAGAATGGCCATAACCGTTGAGAAGACCGGTGCCGTTGGTTTCAACAGAACCATCGAGACCGTGACCGTTGAGCTTAGGAGCGCCGAAGCTGGGGTTAGCCGAGGATGGCTCAGAATCGATGTGCATGTTCAGGAATTGGAGTTCAAGCCCTTGTAGGTGAGGGACGTGTGGGATGAGTTCCATGAAATCAGCGAGCTAGACGCATGTTAGCGGTATTCACATCTCACAACATAGGTGACTTACTCTGATCCAGAAGACATGCTCCATCTCGAAATACTTGGGACGGGTGTCACAATCCTTCTGCATGATGTTTCCAATGGTCGAGCCGTGACTTCCATATTCCTCTGCATGAGTCAACATGCGGCGCGTAACTCGCCACAAATTCATGCGCTGAGTAGGGGTCGCCTTGCGTTTCTCCCAGCTGGCATATTGCGAAAGCTGGAGATCGTTGGTGGCCAGCAAGGGTGCAACCAAGTAGTTCGGAATCCATTTCTCCTCGGCCACTTCCACATCACATTGAGGGTTGAGTTGACGGGTGAGTGCGGTAACAAGTGGCATGAAGTTCTTGAGCCAGGCGTGACTTTTGGCACGGGAGTCGTTTGAGCCTACAAGGTCGGCTGCGAGGTGAAGGCGACTGGGAAGTGCCTCACGGCGTCGACGCTCTTGTGCTTCCTGGTCACGGCGCATCTTGGCAATACGAGCACGTTCTTGCTCTAGACGCTTTTGGCGTTCATCCTCGGCTTGTTTAGCACGTCGTTGTTCGGCTTCCTTGCGCTTGCGATCATCCTCTTCGGCCTTGTCACGAGCTGCCTGAGCAGCTTGCGCAGCCCGGTCAGCTTCTTCTTTGGCAAGACGAGTGCGTTCGGCCTCGGCGGCGGCACGCTTTTCGTTTGCTGCGCGCTCTTGTTCGGCCTTTTTGGCCTGAGCCTGGCGAAGTTCCTTAGCTTCAAGCTCGGCACGCTTCTCGTCCGTCATCGTATCTTCTGGGGGTTTGGTTTGTGTTCTGAATGTTCCTTTTTCACGTCACCGTTCTTTTTAACGGGATCATGATCTGGTGAAGGTTGGTGGGTTGAAGGGTTTTGAGAAGGTTCGGAGGGTTTGAGGTGTTGAGGTTTGGGATCAATGGCTCGAGTAGCATCTTCGTTGGTTCGTCGGGGTTGGGATGTGTTGAGCTCGTCGGGGTGTTTTGAACCGTTTGCAGCACCCGGCTGCTTATCCTCGGAAACGACCCTTCTTTTCTTCGGGCGCGATCCAGGAGAAGGCGAGCGTCTGTCTGTGCCGCGGGAGCGAGACCGCTCTGGAGATCTGTCGGGACGGATTCGCTTCAAGGACAGAGATGAATCGGGAGCATTATCAGGGCGCATCTTGGGAGCCTCTTCGCGCCCAGACAACGAATCGGATGAAAAGAGACTGGGCCGGCGCTCCTGAGGTCGACGTCCTGCGATGAGCCGCCGCTTTTTGATTTCATCAGTACGTGCAACCCCACTTGACTCGCTATCTCTTCTGGCTGATAGAGACGATTTAGGTTTCGCTGAATCGGGCCGTGTCGAAGAATCAGGCCGTGATGAGTCGTGTTCTTTTTCGTGCCTCTTCTCCTTGATGGGATCCATTTCCTTCAAAGGATCGCGATATCTAGTGGCATTGGGACTGGTGTCGTGCTTTCTCATGCGAGGGACCGGGGATGACGAGGACTTGCGCGCGGATCGTTTGTCGTCCTTTTCTTTTCCACGCGCTCGGCGAGGCGAATCGCCTTTGCGACCTTTGCGTGGGCCTGAGTATTTCTCATACGCCTCCTTCAGAATGTTATGCTCATCCTCCCAGTCTTCGCCCTGTCGATCCCGAGACAACTCAAAGTATGTCTTGTCCTCAAACAGTCGACGTGTGGGGTCAAATCCAGGCTGACTCAAAATGAGTCGGATGACAGCACTCTTTCCTCGACCGATAGCCGCGAGCAATGGAGTATTATATCCAGGCTTTTGACCCCGCAGCGGATTTGGATCGGCATCAGCCTCGCCCATGGCATAAAGAAGAGACAAAACATCGTGGTGGCCACCCTTTGCCGCAGCAATCAAGGATGCGTTGTCGGCTTTCTGCAGGATGTTCAGAATGCTCACCACACCAGCCTCATCGCCTTTGGCAGCGAACTCTCGGAGATTCTCAAATGTCGGCTTCGTCCAGAGAAGATCATTTCGTGTGGCTTCACTTCGGCCACCCTTTCGCCGGCCTGCCACACCCACGGGAGGAGGACTGCGCATCGGGGGTGAATCTCGGGGACTTGCTGCTGATCCCCTGGCTGCCGATGTACGCCGTGAAGAGGGCTCCCTGTTCTCCGGTGGCATGTGTTCCTCCGAGCGTCGACTAGGCCGTAGGTTGGCCTTAGCATCAGCGATTGCCTTCCGCATTTCGTCATATTCATCTTCGTCCACAAACGATGGCACCAACTCATAGGGCTCATCGCCTTCAGCATTCACCGTTCGGGGGTTTGCGCCCGCATCAAGCAGAAGTTTGACCACTTCCACGTTTCCATTTTCGACGGCATCAATCAACGGGGTATCTTTGTCGATGTTCTTGGTGTTGATTTCACAGCCAGCGTCAAGTAGGAACTTCACGATTTCAGCTTCGCCGGCGAGCGATGCGATCTGCAGGGGAGTATTGCCTGCATTATCAGGAATGTTAATATCTTCTGGTCGTTCGGCGTGGCGCATCATCACTTGATCATGCTTCCGATCCGCGCAGGCTCTCGCGAGGGGAGTCCTGCCGCTCTTGTCGCGCAACTTTTTGGGACCCATTTGTTTCGCGGGTGACGCGGATGCGCCAGTACCACCAAGCTTGCGCAGGTGAGCGCCTGGTAATGGAGAACCACTTGCCGATGAAGATGTCGATAGTCTATCTTCGGAGCTTTGTCGCGGAAAGCCAGTGAGCAGAGGAGTCGGCGCTTTCTTCTTTGTTGGGAATTGAGATCCCGACGCAGAGCGTTGATGAGATCTGCGACTGGGTGAGAGCGATCGCGTATTTGATGGCGGTCGAGAAAGGCGTGTATTGTTGTTGTGTTTAAGTTCGTGCGAGTGTGACGCTGCGTGAGAGTGTGCACGAAGACCGTGTTGATCTTCGGAATCACTGAAGCTGCGTTTACGGAAAGCGCGCGATCTCTCGCGATCAATCCCAGTGGCACCTTCCGTCCCAATATCGTCGACCTTTTCGATTTTGACCATCGACGGAGAAAGCGCCCTTGACCGCGACCGTTCCCTTCCATGTTCGCCATGGGTTCGTGATTTCTTGCGCTGATGTCCATCAATTCCATTAAGTTCTCGACGATTCGGATCATGCTTTATATGCTTTCTTTTCTTTTCAGGCGACAAGGACTCTCGACCCGATTGAATTATTGTTTCTGCCTCGGAATCGGCCCTGGGGCTCGGAGGCCCAATTTCCTCCTCTGAATGCACATTTTGACCATCACTTTCTACCCGAGAGTCGGCACGGTCATTCCTAGGTGGAGGCCCAGCAGGATCTGGCTTCACCGCAGCAAGCGTGTTCTGACCGACGTCCAGGGCAGCTGGTAAAGAGACTGCCTCGACATCACTCATAGCGATAGCACTCGAAGACTTGGAATGCCGCTCGTCATTTTGTGGGGGTATACGCGACCGACAAGACGACCGTGGTCGACAACGCCAGCAGTTATGCGCGGACGCCGATCTTCGACCACGGGTGGTTCACCAAAGGAGGGTGAAAGAACAAGATCGCACCACGGTGGTACGAAATACGGGAGATTCGAGATGGGATTAGGGGGGGAAATTCAGGAGTGAAAGGAGAGAAGAAAGAGAAGGGGAGAGGAAAAGCGGGAAGGGCAAGGAATGGGACTCCATTACTGGGTAAGGCTCCTCACTGGGTGGCCACGGTGAATCATCTGCAGGTGGATTACTGAAAACGCCCCCCATTTTGAGGGGGTTTTGCATTTAGGGCTAACTGGGTTTGATTCTGCCTCTCTACAACATTCCCAACACTCCTGGAAAGGCACAGACTGCCCGAATACGTGCAACTTGTCTGCGTTCAAAGGACACGGGCCCCGTGACCCAATCCGGCGTGCAAACAGGGCAAACAGGGATTGGATGAGTCAGCAGCTATCAGGCCACCAGGCCATCCGTCCTTGTCTGTCTCTCTCTCTCTACAGAGTAGTCCTATCATAAGCGATAGCTCTATCAACTTAGACTTCCATACTTCCATACCTCCATCGAGATAAGAGGTGAACACACCAATGACCTCTCCTAGCTGATCCCGGGAGCCGAATTAACTCCCCCGTGGCGCAGAGCTGAATGATCGGCCGGAATCCCCACAGTAAACACGCCAAAAACCCGAATCCCGAGATCACATGGCACCGACAAGCTAGGCAAGCTAGACAAACTAGAGAGACAAGAGACACCAACACTGCCAGCCATGTCTCTCATCGCACAATGGGTCGACACAACCTTAGAAACCACAGGCATGGACGCAGTGGATGCTCTACGCGCGTTCTTCCTGCTGGCCGCCGCCACAGTACGATACGCCCTGTGACAGTGCCCACGCCTGCAGACACCCCAAGCTAATGCCCCTCCTCTGCAGACCGTCTCCATCAGCATCCCGTCCTCCCTGCGCGACCGCTTCCTCGTCTATGGGCCCCGCGCAACCTCAACCTCGACCTCGTCCGACCAGTCGGCCGCGGCTCGTGCCCAGCCTGCAGGTGAGGGTAAGCGTGCGGGACGGGGAATCCTCGACTATGTGGCGACATGGCAGGTGCCCCATAGCTATTTTACGCAATTTTATATTGTTTCCCTACTCTCGTCTGTGTTCTGGGCGGCTCAGTTACTGTCCCGGGGCGTGGTGTTCCAGGCTATTGCAACTCGGGTGAACGAGGAGCATCGGCAGCAGTCGATGTCCATGACGCAGCTTGTTATTTGTTGGATTTTGTTGGCTATGCAGGGATCCCGCAGGTTGTGGGAGTGCATTAATTTTTCGAAACCTTCATCTTCGCAGATGTGGGTTGTTCACTGGCTGCTAGGTTTGGGTTTCTATCTGGCTGCGGGTGTGGCGATCTGGATTGAGGGCTCAGGTATGTTATCCTCACTCTTATAACTATAAAATATTTTAGGGCTAGCTTGCTAACAACGCTAACTCAGGAACGCTGTTGACCAAGGATCTGACGATCCATCATCTGAAAATCACCAACGCTCCAAGCATGCGGACATTCTTCCTCGTCCCAGTCTTCCTAGTCGCATCAGGCCTACAGCACGACTCCCACCACTACCTTTTCTCATTAGAAAAGTACACCCTCCCTCAACATCCCATGTTCAGTGGTGTCGTGTGCCCTCACTACGGAGCAGAGTGCGTCATCTACCTATCACTCTCGCTACTAGCCGCGCCACGCGGAGCCCTAGTGAACAAGACCATGCTCGCCTGCATGGCATTCGTTGCCGTAAACCTAGGCCTAACAGCCCGGAATACCAAGGCATGGTATGCACAAAAGTTCGGTAAAGACTCGGTCAAAGATTGGTGGTATATGATTCCTTGGCTGTACTAGAATATGTAACAATAACATCGGAAATTGGAATCGTGTCACCTCCCGCCAAGGAATTTCATCGCGTTCCCCACCTTCGTAACGTGAAGCACGTCCCGGTACGTGAGACTGATCCTTGTCTTCCGCTCGTACCAACCATCTCGGTAAGCCTCTTTCTCTCGCAACAGATCCCAATTACAAATGGAGTCTGGGCCCAATTCTTCATCTTTCGTCACTTCAGCAATTCCATGCAGGAAATCTGTATATATCTCGCCCCTCGTGATAAGCAGACTCCGTCTCTCCTGTAAGATCCTATACTTAGGCTTAGGTCTTCGAGCTGTCTGAGCCGCTGCACCGCCAGTGCTTTCTTGTCCTTGTCCTTGTTCCGGTCCATACTTCTCATAGATATCGAATACAATAGGTGCACTCAGACTGACAGTCGCAACGAGTGGGTAATATGCAGCTCCGTCTTCATGTGGCATGATGCCCTGTCCGGGCTGGTACTCGTTGATCAGGACATGGTTCGGTGCTTGATGAGGTGCATCATTGAAGATTCCTAAATCCTTGAATCGTGGCCCAATGGTGGATTCTAGCCAGGCTGGTAGTGGACATGCGAGAAGGGTGTTGTTCTTTGTCAGTGCCGATGGCCAAGTTTGTAGTCTGCGATGCGAGAGTTGAGTCCAGCGTGGTAGAGGTGCTGAGGTCACCTGTTCATTGCTGTGAGTATGAAGTATGATATATATAAACGTTGGCAATATGAAACAAAATCATGACAATGACAAGTATATATGTTTGCGGGGTGGTATACATGTACTAAAGCAAAATGAACAAGACTTGTACAAGAGCAAGGCACCAACAACATACCTTCTGCGCCAACCAATCCTCCTCATCCTCCGTGACGAAATCCGATATATAAAAAGCACCGTCCGGCAAAGCGGAAACACGCACTGTATCAAGGTCAAAGCCCATGGCGTTTTAAACAAGTCGAAGTGTGTAGAGCGCACGTCACACGCCATTTTCTGCCTTAGAACCTCAGGCCACCATTATCCCACCCCACATCTCATCCGGTCAGAAAAGAATACAACGACCTCATAGCTTCATAGCTCATAGCTCATAGCTCATATTCCACTATGGCTCCCAAGAACAATGCCAAAGCTGGGAAGGGCAAGGGCAAGGATGCTGCTGCCGATGATAAAGGCAAGGGTGGGAAGGGTGCTGTGAAGGGTGCGCAGTCGATTAATGTGCGCCATATTCTTGTATGTTTTGCCTTTCTTCTGCTTTATACGCTGTGCTCTCGTCTTGTTTTTTAGTCCTATGGCATCTGGCTACCATAAACTCCAAAACAAAAGAAAGCAGCCATATACAGACTCATACTGACAATATCCAGTGCGAGAAACACGCCAAGAAAGAAGAAGCCCTTGAGAAGCTCCGCAATGGCACCAAATTTGACGAGGTTGCCCGTGAATTCTCGGAAGATAAGGCTCGACAGGGTTAGTATCATTCCTCCTCTGTTCTCTGCAAATGTCAACGGGGGATCCGGTCCAGGATTCTTTGTTCCATACGCAGAATCTATGACATGGACAAGGCTGACTTCATCCTGCAGGTGGCTCACTAGGATGGAAGACTCGGGGAGCTCTGGATCCTGCATTTGAGAATGTGGCCTTTGAGCTTGAGGCTAGTACTACTGGTAACCCCAAGTATGCCGAGGTGAAGACTGGGTTTGGGTATCATATTATCATGGTTGAGGGGCGGAAGTGAGGGTTGCATTTGTCGATGGGCTACGTCTTTACTTGCATTGAGTGTCCTTGATATCAATAGCAATGCATGATGGCAATATTTACTATCTACTTCCAATGTACAGCATACTAGAGAAGAAGTTTTGATTTGTCGGAACACTTCACACTGTGATTGTTGATTTATAGATCTATATGCTCTTGAGGTATGACTTGATATATATCCCCGAGAAGCCTACAACTCCTTCTTCGCAGCCTCAAGCTTCGACCTCTCTTTCGCTTTCTTCTCTGATCTCTGCACTGCTGCTTCGGCACCGATACCACCAAAGACCAGACCAATGCCCAACCACTGACCACCAGACAAAGAATGACCAAACCAGAACACGCTAAGCAGCATAGTCAACATCTTCCGTGTAACGGTAACAGTGACCAGCAATAGAGAAGAGAACCGCGACAAAGTATAGAAGATAAACAGCTGACCAACAGCACCACACGCCGCGAATCCGAGGACATGTTTCAGTGCCTCGGGGTGACGGGAGAGGAAAGAAACAGCGCCAAACAGTTCCGTCTCATTAGACGGGGGAATAGGTAACGGCAGGAGGTTGTGCAAGATCCCGCTTTGCGAAAGATGCGGCATAACCAGGAGGTACACGGCAGTCAGCACGGTCGAGAGCACGTTCTGGGCAACCATCATCTGGGGCCCCGTAAAGCGCGTGTACAGCTTAGGCGAGGAGAAGACATGGTCTTGCGTGGTGTTGGTCAGACCATCCAAAAGAAGGTTAATGGACAACAAGAAGATACCCCAGCCCGAGGAACCGGATTGCTTCGCTGCGGCTGCGGCGACCTTCTTGCTAGTGCCTGGGTGGTGCAGACTGAAGGTCGCAACACCGAGCGTAACCATCAAAACAACGCCATACTTGTACAAGGGATATTTCTTTCGGAAGATGGTCAGGTGCAGGACCATGACTGGGAGGAGCTTGCATGATTTGGCGAGGATGAAGGTGAGGTAGTCGATGTGCTGGAGGCTGGCGTAGCCGAAGGGCGAGGCGAGCGAGGAGGAGATGCTGACTAGGAGGAGGGGGAAGAGGATTCGGCGCGTGGGGAAGATGGACGGAATGCTTTGGCCCTTCGGTGTTGAGATCAGGAGGTATATAAAGCCAGTGATTGCTGCGAAGGAGGATTGGATGGTGTTCAGCACGAGCGAGTAGGTGAAGCGTTCTGTTGGTGGCTCTGGTTCGGTGGCTGTTGCTGGGCGGATCGGGTAGCTTGTTGTTGTGATCGCCTCTTGTAGGACACCCCATGAGAGACTGTGTGTTTGTTAGTTAAAGGTTCATCTTGAGACGAGACGGGAAGTACTTACAATGCTGCATAGATACCGAGGACGCAGATCACAAGCTGCATCAACCCAGGATTGTCAGCCACTGTCTCCGGCGTTGTCGATGCTTTCTCGGACACGCTTCCATTGGCGACAGAGGGCGTGTCTGTGTTTCCAGGCTTTCGTGACACGTCGGAATAATTGGGGAGGTGCATTAAGTTAGAGGAAGGTGTTCTTTGAAGCGGCGCGGATTGCTTTTGTCGTCCCATGTTTGAGTATAGAGGGAGGGAATTGAGGTGCAGTTCGTGCTAGACTCAGAATAAGAATATCGAAGGTGTTAAGTTCCGAAACAGAAAAAAAAGAAAAACAATGAAGCCATGTGTTCTTCTTATCGATGATCGCCGCCCCACATAATTTTGCCCTGTGAAGAACTCATCATGTCCACAACCTCCATTCCAGTCTATAATTGATCTCAACGCAACTTGACCTCGACTATCTCACATATCCATTGCGCAAAGCAATACCCGAACCCTATCTACACAGCAGGCGGTTCACCAGCTCCCAATTTCCGCGAATCGCCAAGCTCGCGCAAGCTATATCCACGACCTCACCAACCCCGACACCCAAAGAAAAACCACACAATGGCAAACACACAACCCCAACCTCCAACAAAACGCCCAGAGCCCTCAGCGCTCAGCGCGCAGACATCCAGTGCAACGCACCAAACCCCCTCAGTCGCAACCTCAACCCAAGTCCTACACAACCTCCAACACCAACACCTCTGGACCTCCCTCCTGACACACACAATCCCAACACCATTACCGTCCTCAACAAAAGGCCAAACTCAAACACACGCTGTAACATTAGTGTCCGGGATCCCACCACACAGGGTATACACTCACCCCGACGAACAATTGTGGATGTTAGAAAATGGGATCCGGGAGGATGACCTGCGGCCTGAGCGGATGTTTGTGATACCCACTGCGCATGGTCAGGCGTGGAGTCTTGCGACTATGGCTGCTGTTTTTGATGAATTGCCGCGGGTTGCTAGAGGGTTGGTTGAGTATAGTCATAGGGAGAATGGGGAGAATGGGGAGAATGGGGATGATGAGATGGAGAGGAAGTTGACGCGGTATTATGAGAAGAGGGAGATGGCGAGGGAGAGTAGGGAATGGGGGTCTCAGAGGTTGTTGCTTGCTATGGTTGATCGGGGGATGGGTGGAGATGGGACTGTTGCTTATTATGTTGTGCAGGAGGGTGAGGTTAAGCCGAGGCAGAATTAGGATAGGTCGTCTGTTTTATGTGTATAGTATGACTTTCTAGTCCCTTGTGGGTTGATGGATTACGCGATGGATAGAAGATTCACCGAAAAGTGTAGCATTAAGATGCAGCCAGGGCTGCCAGATCTGCGCCGAAATTATGTACAACAGTAGGGACCACCGGGTATAGTGATAGGCAAGAGCAAGATGCAACAAATGCTAAATGGCTGCACAGGTATCAAGTTTCAAGTATCAAGTATCAAGTATCAGGGCGGCAAGAAACAGCTGCAGAAATTCAAGGGATTAGATCACCACGATTATTGGCGTTGACTTTTTCTTGCTCCAATCGACAACTCGGGCAGTACTCCTCATACCACTGCTTCACGTTGTCTGCATGCTCGGCGAAGACGCGTTCAGCTTGAGCAAGTCGGCTAGCCTGCGAGTCATCACTTTGGGTAGACTCGCCACCGAGAAGCACCTCCACCTGGCGACAGCGGCGAGTCTCCTCGCGGAGCCAGCGCTCCCACTCCGTTTGAATTACTTCTTTCTCGATTCTATTCACAACTCGAAGGGCAACGAGAAGATTGTGGCGGTACATTCCGAGGCGCTCGCGGGTTTGCTGGAAGCGTTTGATTGCGCTCTTGGTCAAGACGTCCCGGGGTCCTGATGTGCTGAGTGACAAAGGCATCTCTGCATACCGCATTGTTTGGTCATGGAAGGTGGCATAGCAGTCACTGACGTTGCCATTACTGGGCCAGATCGTGGTGTTTGCAACTGCATCATCGATATCTTGCATGTAGATAGCCTTGCTCATGACGAGATTCGGCTGGACTCCAAGCCGCGCCATGAACTTTCCTGCGTGCCTTTCATGCCACCAGTCCCAGCCATCTCGAGAGGAGTGATATCCGTTCATGATTGCACTTGTGGCTAATAGAACCAAGATGATCTTGTGTGCACTCACAGTCTTCCAGGACCAGCGAATAACACCAAAGGCCCACATCATCAGGAAGGAGATGGTGGTTTCCATGAATGAGATGGATGTTTCAAGGAGAAGCTCGTGCATGCTTCGTTGGACTCGAGGCTTGCGAGGTTCCAACTTCAAGTTGACACCAGCACCGTTGAAGTGGGAGACATTGCTTTGGCGTCCAACGTGGCCGAAGATTGTGATGGCCTTTTTAGTGCGGCTGTGTGCACCCAGCCGACGTACTTGGTCACTGACCAGATCCACGAGGTCCAAGGCGTCTTGTTCTAGATCATTACTAGCCTTTTTGTCGATCACATCTGCGGTGTGTTAGTTCGAGGTAGTTTCTTCAAGCGGGCGTTGACTCACTTTTGAGGCCGTAGGGTGACCACAGCCATTCGACCTTGGTGTAAATAGCAAGCTTGCTCTTAGACTTGCCCTGGAATGTGATGACAACCTTGCTGACCAACCTGAACGATCGTCTGAAGGGAAGGTGCCATGGTGTTTTCTTATCTGTGATTACGTAGCACAGATGCTCGTTGAGAACGTCAATGATCTGATAGTCCGAAATCGCATTATCATGGGTTTTGCCTATGCAAGGTCAGCTACAACTCAATGACAAAGTCGACTGTCAGGCCTACCAAGGACATCCGTCGCGCCAATGTTGTAGTGGAAGTCACGGCGGAGGTGGTTGGACTCTGTACTGGTCCAAGGACCTTGCTTAATTTCTTCGAAGTGTCAGCAACGTGATTCAGGGTTGAAGGTCGGGAATGGGCCTACCTCGCGCTTGTCTCTCGTGGAGTAGAAGCTGCCACACAGCGCTCTTGTCGCCAAAGAGGATATGGAACAATGCTTTCGGGCTAATGTCGAGGACTTTATCGGCCACAAGAACCAGGTCACCTTGTGGGACATATTCCACGGGTTGAGTTGGAAGTCTGAATTTGGCGATATCCCTCCGGCCGGCCCTGCCTCCGTCCAGGTCAAGGTCTTTCTCGATGTAGATGGGGGTTCGAATGTCCCTCACCGGGCCCTTGGCAGCACGTTTGCCTCCATCTGATTTGATGTCAGCAAGTCCGGACGAGAGATCCTCCCAGCTATCTGCACTGGATGACCTGGTCGGAGAGCCTGTGTCCATCTTGATCAGGGCTTTGATCAATTCTTCCAAGGACAATTGCTCGACAGCAATAGAGCCCTGGATCAAGAAGTTCAGACGTTTCTGTAGAAGTCTGAGAGGTTCAAGGAAGGTTTTGATGGTGACTCGGCCAGGGGTGTCACTACCGAGTGCTGGGATAATGTGAAGGAAAAGGAAATCACAGTCTCGTCCAGATGCCGCAGTCACTTCTTTGATACTCTCCAGAGAAACACCGGTCGTCAGCACCAATCCGAAGTGATGACTGTAGAAATAGATATTTCTGGTTGTGACATAGGCTCGTCCGGGGAACTCTTGCAGGTCGTTTGGACTCCAAGTAGCCCTAAACACCAACACCAAAGCTTCCTCTCTTTTGACATCTGGGAACAGCAATCGAAATTGGGCATCTTGTATCCTTAATCGAGGAGGATAATAGCTTGGATACTCGTGCTCGACACCCATTATAGCTCGCTGAAGCTGCTTGGTTTCCTCGCCATCAAGGCTTACGGTCTGTCTGTGACGGGGCCCGGACGCCGACTTATTTGCTGAATCGCCCGGCTGATCAGGCTGTGCAGCAAGGGTACGCACTGAACCGTCACTCAGGGTGGAAGATGGCCGCCCTTCTGGGGCATCATCGTGTGGACGTTGTTCCATTTGGAACTTGTTCACAAAGCCCCAATTAGAGCTACCCCACAGGTTCGCCATCATACCACTAGGCATCCCACCTGTGCTGTCGGAGAGACCTACCCCAATGCCCCTTTCATTACTCACGACCACAGCGGCCTTGCTCATACTGGTAGGGGCTGGGGGATTGGCAAGGGTTGTAGGTGCAAGGCTTTCACCGGGCCCTTCCACATTGCTCAAACTGCGGCCTCGGTTGGCATCGTCATTCCCATTGATTGGAATGGTTGTACTGTATGGGAGAATGTTGTGGCTGGCAGAGATGAGGCTGGCAATTCCACCAACGGGGCCAAGGTGGGAAGGTGTCGGGGCAACGTTGGTAGATTTTCGATGAAGGTCCAACTTCTGGATCAGTCTGGAAGTGTGCTCTCTGGCAGAACTCTCAGTTTCCAAGCCAGTGGGCCTTCTGCTTCCAATATCAGTGCTATTTCTGAATGCATTGCCATCACGGTCCGGGACAGGAAGTGTTGAGCTTCGCTCTCCACCGCCGGGCTCATCGTGGGTGTGGGGTGTGAGAGAGTCGGCGGGATCTGCAGTGAACTCGGGAGCCGGGGGTTGAGAAATGGAAAATGCAGGATCTTGGACAGTGACCTTTCCAGAAACTGAGAGACCGGTGCTAGCAGGATTTTCCAATGCTTTCTGTTTGGCGGCTTCAAAGGCGCCAATCCACTCCATCAGCTCTTTTTGGTTGTCTGCCTGCAGCAAAATCGTGTTGTTCTTGGTCTTGACTTGGAAACAGAACCGGCGTTCTTCTTGAAAAGCAGGACGAATGCTGCAAAGCAGCACACCAATCCTCTCACTTTCTTCAACACCACCGGTTCTAGCGCCCTGCACAAGACAACCAAAAATGCCATTCTTGAGGAAAGCCCAGCGCTTGACCCAGACGGTACGAGTAGGCTTTCCTGATAAAGTGCGCAAGTACAGCCACCCTTGTTTCTCCGGTCTCATCTCTTTTGTCACATTTAGTGATGAAAGAGGACGAGAGCCAAGGTACGGAACAGTTGAAATATTATAGTCCTCCAGTTCACGAGAGGGGCGAGCTGCAGCCTCCGCGGCTTCTTCGAGGTACTTCCGGGTAGAGAGCAGCTCCTTCTTGGATGACCTTTCACTCCCTTCCATCTCATGAAGCCACCCCTTAATGCGATCCATCTCTTGAGACCATTTGGAGAATGTGCCGCTGTTTTGGTTATGGAATCCCCGGATTTCCCGCCATTGATCGAAAGATACCTTGACCAAAAGACGATCTAGCGCATTACGCACCTGGGGAGACTGTACTGCGAAGTCCATGGATGCTCTGATGTAGGCCTTGTGGGCTTCATGAAGCTGGAAAGCTTCTTCTCTCAAAGCCGAGGCTTCCTTGGACTTGGACTGTGAGGCATATTTGGCTTGTAGATAGTCGTACTGTTTCTGTGTCTGTTCGAGATTGCGACGGATTTCCTATAACAATGTTAAACGCTGTTTGCGAAGAAGATAGTCCAAGGGGTCCAACGTACCTTAAATTGCCGCAGATCCTCATGGATGAAGTCGCGGATCGGTTCAGCAATCAACCCCTCCATCTTCCTAGTCGATGACACTAATCCGCTCCAGAGATCCTTGGATCCCTCCCCGGTCCTCTTCATAGCCAATAGTGTGTAATCATGATCGACGACCGCTTCGGAGACACTGAGGGGGCTGGTCGAGTAGGACAGAAAACTGTTTACAACACTCTCCAGAGCCGTCAGCTCGGAGGAGAGCTTTGTTGCAGCCTTTGCATATCCATCCAGCCATTTCTCTATATATTCGACCTGGTCGCAAAAATGGAGGGTGGTGGCACGGAAGGTGGGCGAGTCGAGGGCAGCTTCTTTAAGACCGACCGGGCTGGGATTGAACAGACATTAGCATGAGGCCAAAGAGCATCTTCTTGGCAAATACTCACACCACGCTCACAAGCTTCCCAACTTGGGGTAAGGGGGTATGTGCTTGAGTCGACATCTAGTGTATGTCTCCAGTCATACACTCGATGCGAGCAAAAAGACCAAAACAAGGGTGAGCCTCCACTCGCCACACAGGAAAAGAAGGCGAGAGTCAATTCAACAATTCAACCAGAGATCCCACGTGCCTTGAATATCCGGGGCTCTGAACTGTGCAGACGCTCAGCCCTGAGCCTCCGGGGATGAGATGATCTAATTGGCTACGTCAGTGATTGCCATTGGTGCCTTGGTGCCTGGCTCTGCAGTTTACAGGGGCGGTGTGAGATTTTTTCCTTTCTGCCACTCGGGGATTTCACGAAGTCGATCTTCAAGCAAATACCTGGCAATGGAGCCTCCTTCTAAGAAGATGCGGAAGCTCATGGATCATGACAGCGACAGTGACTCTGGCGATGAGGCTGGCGGGGTTCTCCTCGGCAAGCAGTCGCCAGACACTGGATTCAAGATCAACGAGGACTACGCTCGTCGATTCGAACACAACAAGAAAAGAGAGGAAGTTGCGAGACGTATGTTATTCCCAAAGTTGCTACTTGAAGACATATATTAATGTGGATTTGGAATAGTGGAATCCAAGTACGGCAAGACGTCCAGTCTCGGAAAGCGCCCAGGCGATGAAGAGTCCGACGATTCCACTTCCGAAGAAGAGGATGACGATGCGGAGCTGGCCACAGAGGCCCTGGATGCTGAGATCTCAGCGACTCTTAACGCTATTCGCTCCAAGGACCCCCGTGTCTATGATAAGGATGTCACCTTCTACACCAAGTTCGACCCCGAGGAAGTCAATGCCGCAAAGGGACCTAAGGAGAAGTCCATGAACCTACGCCAATACCATACCGAGAACCTCCTGAAGGGTGTCAACCCTGCTGAGGAGGAAAACACTCCTAGGACCTATGCGCAAGAGCAGGCCGACTTGAAGAATGACCTTGTCAAGGAGATGCACGGAGCGGCAGAGTCGGATGAAGAGATGGAAGATGCCGATGAGTTTTTGGTTCGGAAGCCCGGTCAGGACACATCATTGCCCAAGCCTGAGATCAAGCTCGACATCGAGAACGCAGACAAGGACCCCGAGACTTTCCTGTCCAACTTCTTGTCTGCGCGAGCCTGGATTCCTGCCGACAAGCCAGAGCTACACCCCTTCGATTCCGATGATGATGACGATGTCGAGCGGGCAGACGCCTTGGAGGAAGCATACAACTTCCGTTTCGAAGACCCCAACAAGATGAACGAGGCTCTTGTTACTCACTCTCGTGATCTCACCAACAAGCAATCTGTCCGTCGAGAGGAGAAGAGCTCTCGCAAGAAGATTCGTGATGCCGAGCGCCAGCAAAAGGAAGACGAGAAGAAGCTTCGCGAGACCGAGAAGAACCGTCTTCGCAAGTTGAAGACTGAGGAGCTCCAGAAGAAGGTCGACCAGATCAAGGAGGTTGCCGGTCTTCGTGCCTCAAATTTCACTGATGATGACTGGTCTCGATTCTTGGACGACGCTTGGGACGATTCCAACTGGGAGCAGGAGATGCAAAAACGATTCGGCGAGGAGTATTACCATGAGGGAGAGGGCAGTGACAATGAAAATGGCAAGAAGCACAAACCCAAGAAGCCTACATGGGATGACGACATCGACATCAACGATCTCATCCCAGACTACGAAGACGGCGAGGCGCTGCCCACTGTCGAGTCCGACGCGGAGGAACAAGATGACGACGAAGCCACCGGCTCTAAGAAGAGCAAGGCCGAAGCCAAGCGTGAGCAGAAGCGCGAAGCCCGCAAGGACCGTCTTCGCATTGAGGAGGCCGTCGACCGCAACCTTGATCTCGATATTACTCTGCTCCCCGGAGCCACCAAGAAGAACGCCACCAAGTTCCGTTACCGCGAGACCTCGCCGCAGAGCTTTGGCTTGACTGCCCGGGACATTCTCATGGCGGATGACACACAGCTCAACAAGTTCGCAGGTCTGAAGAAGCTGGCCTCCTTCCGCGAAGAGGAGCAGAAGCGCCGTGACCAGAAGAAGCTGGGCAAGAAGGCCCGTCTTCGCGAGTGGCGCAAGGACACCTTTGGCAACGAGGATGGACCGGAGTTCTCATTCGGTGGGGATGCTAAGCCTAGTCAGTCTGAGGAGACTGGTGAGGCTAAGGTTGATATTAGAGAGGGTGATGGCACGAGGAAGAAGAGAAAGAGGTCGAAGAAGCACTAAATGTGGTGTTGTATTTACCATTGTCTAAAGTTCGAATTATGACCAAAATAAGCATTTTTACGTCTTTCATCAATTAACTCCTGTGTTTAGTCGTAGAATATAAAGTCAAGTGGAAATTTCAAGAGAAAAGTCAAACCTTTTGACGATATGCTGTCCACTGGATATATATTCTGGAATTGACATTCCACCACACCTCAATCACAACAAAGATCTCAAATAATCGCATATAGACTACGAAGTCTACTTCTCACCATATTAAACGCATCCAACCTACAAGATCGTCACCACAGCCCCTTTCCAGCTCAAACCCTCTGTCCAACACAGCAGCCAAAAGTGGCAAGCCTCCATGCGACCGGGCCCACCAAACTAGCGTTGCTGGGGAGGTTCATTGTTTTGATTACCCCAAGCTGATGAAGCTCCCCCCGAATTTACCTATAGTATCCTCTTGACCCATTTACCTCGTAGCAAAAGAGTCGAGAATCAAGGAAAGTGGGTACGACGTATTATGGGCGGGTACCTGGCATTGTCCAACATCGGATGTACCCAGGTACATTGTCCATGCGTAAGTTCGTCACCGTAAAGCTTGTACCTGCGACTTGGATGTATTGGAAAAATGTCTCATATAAAACCAAATCAGATCTTGGTATCCCTCACATGCTATGCTGCAATATGCAGAGGTCTGCGTGTGTTGTTACTGCCGCAGCGAAGAGGCTTGGGTCATGTTTGATGTATCTGGTGCATTTGCAGTAATGATTAGATATTGACAGATCCAAGATGGTCAAGTTGAAGCTGTAAAAAGAGATTCCTGATGTAGTAGTCCAGCGAGAACCTTCAGTCCGAAACAAAGGTCTAGCAATGTATCTCACCAGGGAACTCTCCTCCAGAGCCACTGCTCGACTCAATGCTGACCACACCGAGTACATATGCCCGGGCCCTAGACTATACGTCGGTGGCAAGTCCGATATCAATTGCCATCGGATGCTCGGCCAGCAGAAAGGAGGTCTCGGGGAGTGGAGGCCCGGCATTGGACGGGGAAATTTACACCGTACGCTTGGACCGTTGCTCGGGACTACGTGGATTTGGGAATATTATATGGCATAGGTAGTAAATTTGTAGGTGAAGCTATGAATAGACAATCGGTATAGGGATTGATAGATACAATAACACCAAATAACACAAACTGACCAAGTTATGCGCAGAACAAAGCAAACTGGCCGAATGCAGAATTTTCAGTGGATCGGGAGAAGTCGGCCAGAGGCAAGACAATACATGGTAATTTCCGTATTTGAACCCTTGGCTCTTCCTGATTGGGCACTAGTGGCTGGATCCCGTGTACAGTATTTTTTTTTTCCTGACCCCCTTCCCGCCTTCTCTTCCTTTTCTTCCTTCTCATCCCTGGTGTCTCTTTCTTCTTGACAACCATCTCCTCTCTTTTTTTTGCATCCCGTTTTCTTTGCACAACATTCACAATGGGTTCCGGTGAGGTTAACCAGGCCGACAAGTCGGTCTTCGGCATGCCCGTAAGTCTTCCCAAGGGATACGCGTGAATCTAGTTGGAGATGCTTCGCATCTCCATCTGGATGAATCGCGATTCAATCATCAGACACGTTCTACACGAATGTGCATCCATCAAAATAAACATACTAACAACCTCTATAGGGCTTCGTTGTCGACTTCCTGAGTACGTTCCACGCCTTCAGCTCTGACTAGCAACAGCCAGTTGAAAGCACAAGAAAACAAATACTGACTGCATCACAGTGGGTGGTGTCTCCGCCGCTGTCTCCAAGACCGCTGCTGCCCCCATCGAGCGTATCAAGCTCCTGATCCAGAACCAGGTTGGTAACCACCACCCATCAAGCACCGATTGGAAGGACCAGAGAAAGAAGACCAGTCTGAATCATGATCACAATCGATTGTGAATCTCAGAATTGGACATGAGCAGCGTTTTGATATAGTTCGCCGCCCGTGAAAATTTTTTCCTCTAGCCCTGCCGATCGGCAGCTACATCTTGCAAGAAAGAATCTAACCAAATGGCTATATAGGATGAGATGCTCAAGGCCGGTCGTCTCGACCGCAAGTACAACGGTATCGGTGACTGCTTCAAGCGTACCGCTGCCGCTGAGGGTGTCGTTTCTCTCTGGCGTGGTAACACCGCCAACGTTATCCGTTACTTCCCTACCCAGGCCCTCAACTTCGCTTTCCGCGACACCTACAAGTCCATGTTCTCCTACAAGAAGGAGCGTGATGGATACGCCAAGTGGATGATGGGTAACCTTGCCTCCGGTGGTGTATGTATCCCCTGAAAATCTCTGTTCTAAGCCACACTAACAGATCCTAGGCTGCCGGTGCCACTTCCCTCCTCTTCGTCTACTCTCTGGACTACGCCCGTACCCGTCTGGCCAACGACGCCAAGTCCGCCAAGGGTACCGGTGACCGCCAGTTCAACGGTCTCGTGGATGTCTACCGCAAGACCCTCGCCTCCGACGGTATTGCCGGTCTCTACCGTGGTTTCGGTCCCTCCGTTCTCGGAATTGTTGTCTACCGTGGTCTCTACTTCGGCATGTACGACTCCATCAAGCCCGTTCTCCTGGTTGGTCCCCTTGAGGGCTCTTTCCTCGCTTCCTTCCTGCTCGGCTGGACCGTCACCACCGGTGCCGGTGTTGCCTCTTACCCCCTTGACACCGTCCGTCGCCGTATGATGATGACCTCCGGTGAGGCCGTCAAGTACAAGTCCTCCATGGATGCTGCCCGCCAGATCATCGCCAAGGAGGGTGTCAAGTCTCTCTTCAAGGGTGCCGGTGCTAACATCCTCCGTGGTGTTGCCGGTGCCGGTGTCCTGTCCATCTACGACAAGGCCCAGCTCCTCCTCCTCGGTAAGAAGTTCTAAGGGATTCACTGAGAATGTGAATCTTTAGCCATTGTAGTTATACTGGAAACAGGGGATGCAAACCTGCCCGGTGTAACCACTGGGCGTGGAAGTCGAGGTTGTGGGATGGTCAAAAGATAGATGCGTCAAGAAATGGGTCGGGGGGATCTTGAAGCATAGAATGGTGTGATTCTTCCCTTATTTGTACCCAATGTACTTTACTGCCTGCAAACTCTTTTTCTTTTCTTCATTTACTCCACTGTAAACAAGTCAAATTGAATAACTTGAATTGGAGACACGTCGCCTCATGGATGTTTGGCAGGGATCTACTTCACGCAGTGTATAACACCTGTTCATACAGCTCACCACCATGAACTGCACCAACAGTCAACACAATATGTAATTCCATAAGAACGCGGCATACTATAGTGCACTGTACCATCCATTCCACAGCCATCTCCAACAAGAAGTTCCCAAAATAAGCAAATCAACCCAAAGCGGCCAACGGCTCCACAACGGAAACAGCCATGACGTCTAGCTCCCTTGAGGCTCCCCAACTATCCTTTACTTTCCAACCTCTCCCCTAAACACAAACCGTCACCATAAATCAAAATGTCTACTCCAACCGGTATCCAAACCTACACCTCTGCGCCCGTCAACGCGAATAAGACGGAAGAAACAGAAACACAAGCAACAACCTCACGCCCCGAACCCGCCACCGCAATCGAAGTCGAAGCGTCTAAAACAGATCCCTCCCAGCCTGCTCAGAACCCAGCGACGACGACAGCTACAGCTACAGCGCCGTCAGCTGCTTCTATCTATACAACGGCCGACCCCTCAGATTCAGCTCCAGCTCCAGCTCAGCCCGGCGCGGCAGCAGGTCTGCCAACACCTACAGCGACAGCCTCGCAAACAGACAGTTTATCAGCAACACAAACATCCCCAGAATCCGTTACTGCTAGAGCTACATCACCTCCACAACCACAACCAGGCGCGGTCCCAGAGCCTCCTGCTCCATTTCCTGCTCCATCAACCCGGTCCCCAATCCCGCCACCACCTAAAGCAGGCGAAGCTATCTCCCCGCGAACCCTAGTACCTGCAACAGCAACAGCAACAGCACCTACAGGGACAGCTACAGGAGGACAAATAGGTCAACCACCCCAACCATCCTATCCAAACTCCTACGCCTATAACCCCTCCCCCCAACCCCAAATCCACCCAAACACAATCCCAAACTCAACATCCGCACCTTACAACACCGTCTACCAAACATCCGCCGGACACCGTCCCCATTCACAGACCCAGGCTCTCCCAAATTATAGCAATAGTGCTTCTGGGAGTGGGCGGGGTGGGTATGGGTATGGGTATGGATATGGGAGTGGGAGTGGATCAGGTTCAGGTGGTGGAGCGGGTGATGTGTTCCCCGACGAGGGTGGGTTTATGAGTGCGGCCAAGGGGTGGATGCAGGCTGCTGGGAGTAAATTGGCGGAGGTCGAGAAGGAAGTTTGGAAGAGGATCAACGATGCTCATGATGAGAAGTAGATTTTGGGTATTGGTATCGGTCTTGGTCTTGGGGTTGTTGATTTGCACTTTGCTGTGTTGCGTATTTGTACAGTTGGTTTTGGATTTTGGGTTTGAGTTGTTGGGTGGTCTGGTTTGGTCTGGTTTGTGTATTATGCCTACTGGATATGATATGATATTAGGTTTAAATTGAATCATTCATGACTGCTTGACTTTTCATTTAAAGCTTGGTATTGGTATGGAGTGTGGATTGCATTGATGCTATGTTGCATGGTAAGAATATCAATATCAACCCAACCGAAGCAAATAAGTGCAACGGTTCCTGTTCCTCCTAACCACCCAAACCCGAGGGGGGGTGTTGTGTATGACTATGTACTTCCATTCTCGGTATCCGACCGAAAAGAGTAAAGAGTAAAGAGAAAAGAGCAAAAAGAAGGGAGAGATTCAGCCTAAGATCAACCCCAAGACAATGCAAGAATAGATAAAATCTGCAATGTACACATGAACAGGAATGAGAACGACAGAAGAGCGAGGACAAATTCTCAGTTGGATCAGTTAAGATGACTGAGACAACCAACAAGACGATTCCAACGGAGATGTGGAGCCAGTGCAGTGCAATTAAGACGACCGGGACCATGTTCCAGGTTGGTTTCTGTGTTGATTGGGGAGTTGTCAGACAGAGATAGAGAGAGACAATGTGGACCCATAGAAAAGTAAAAAAGAGAAGAGATATTAGAAAATAAGGCCCAAAGTATGAAAAAGGACATGATGTCGCAGCTGTTGTAGCTGACACGACTGATGCAAGGTAATAACGCCGGAATGACCAGGTGGCAAACAATGGATGAGCATTGTGACCCAGTCCAGGACATCAAAGAAAAGAGATGAGACAAAACAGGGGTATTTGGACTTGCCATAGTGCAGTCTCGAACAGGACTGGCAACTCTGAATCAGATGACAAGTGGTTCGTAGCAGGGCATGACAGAAAGAAAAAGGGAGGAATTAAACGCCGTCTTTGGAAAACCCAATACCACAAAAGTCCCAACGCCGATGCCCGGGCTAGTTGCACTGCAAGCTAGCCAAAATCTGAAGGCTTTGTATTTTCTGGATTATCGCGAAAAAAAGAAAGACACATCGAGAACGGTCCAGACCAGCTCTGACGGCTTGAGAAAAAAGATGAGAGAAACGCCGATCGTGGGTGGGGCATTACATGGAGCCCAGGCGGAGAAGTGCCTCCACCGCGGCGCGTTCCTGGGTGTCAAACGTGCGGGGTGCGGATTTGGCCACAGGTCCATCTGGAGGGAAAATGGCAGGTTGGGGCTTTGCGCGCGCTGCGACGTTGTTGAACATGCCGCCGGTGTTGAGCGAACGGGCGCGCAACGCATCCGCGCCAATCTGCGCCCAGTCCTCTTCATCGGTGACATCGCCTTCATCCCACTCGTTCTCTTGCATTTCGTCGGGGGCCTCCGACGAAGAACAGTACTCGCCATCGTCGCCGTCGAGAGACATCTTATCAGCTTCGTGTTCGAGCATGTCGAGGTCGCCGTGCATGCCGTAATCGTCGTTGTACGAGAACGCCGTGGACTCGGCGAAGCTCATCCGGTACGGGTGCCGGACTTGCCAACCTGACTGGCCTTGGATTTGCAGACCGCGCTGCTGGAATGAATCTGCCACGCTGGAGGGAGGTGAAGACGACGCGTTCAACTCGCGCTCACGCGCAGGCTCACCGCGACGGCGCGCGTCCCAGCGGCCCCAGCCGATCTTCTCGAAAACCACGTCGCCGTCGAGACCGCCGGCCTCGCCGCCATTTCCACGACCTTCTAACGCGGCGACAACCAGGCGGCGCGCCTTGGCTGGGGGAATGCGCGAGAAGCCCGGCACCGACGTTGTCAGATGACCCATCACGTGGCGAATGGCCAGGGGGCCTTGCTGCAATAGGATCTCGGGGAGATGGTATTTGGCGAGCATCGCCGGGGTGATGTCGCCCGCGCTGTCCAGCTCGGCGGACTGGGGGGTATGGTTCGTGTGTTCGACGGCATCCTGGAGGTCGATATCGGAGTCCAACTGGGGGACAGTCGACAGAGGAGATCCAGGCGACAGAGTGACACGTTGTTTGAAGGCCTGGGGGGAAGGGTCGGTGAGATAGAGTTGGGTGGCGTGGGCAGCATCGCAGGCTGTCCGCGGGTAGGCACGCGGCCGCCATCGAGGCCAGCACGACGCGGGATATCAACTGAAGCAGTCTTGCCAGCAAGAGCCATTGCAATACTGGAGGTTTGAGGAGCCATGATGGAGGAGATAGTTGTGAAAGGAGAGATGTCCTAAGCGCAACACGGGATATATGAGTCAGAAGACCTATCAAAGACGCGACAAAGCGGTACCACGGGAAGGAACGATCGGGTGGCAACAGACAAAAATGTCTGTTTGTACTATGGAGTCTGAACAAAGCAGAGTTACTCACCTTTCACTTTGAAAAGACACGGTTCTGGGGTGGCCGTGTCAACGCGAAGTAGCTGTTAGGGCTAGGATCCACACGCAGGGGATGCGCGGTAAGGGATAGTCGCGATAAGTGACTTGAATGTGAATGTGAATGTGAATGTGTGAAGAAAAGAAAGAAAGAAAGGGAATCAGAGTGACAAGTGACTACAAGATAAGAGGGGTGTGACGAGGCCCGATGCCCTCCTATACTTGGAAGTAGAGGCGCGTGGGCCGGTTGATTGGCGCCTCGTGGATACCGGGCTATTCCGGTATAGACTCTATCTGAATACTCTTAAGTATAGGGAATTATTTGATCACTCTCACATATTACATATGTACTCTCTCTATTATTTGTTCTTTATTCTCTTCTTTACCCTCTACTATCTACTCTCTAATCTATAGTAATATATAGTATAGAGTAGATCAAGTTCTCATATCCCTGAGCAGATCGACCTAGACCAAGTACTTCGTAGCCCCAGGTACCAAAAACCCCTCAAATGCCAAGTGGCCAGTCATGGCAACTCCGAATGCTCGTGCGCCTTTTGAACGCTTGCAGCGCTTCAGGGCGTAACCCTATCATTGCCTATCTATCGGCTGATAAGCCTCGCTCGGGGCACGTGTTGCCCTATTACTACGTGATGATTTAACGATTGACAAGTCCATGGACTGTCTGCATGGGTAGTTATAGCTAATAGAGTCTTCATCTCTACGCATATGCCACACTTTCCCTTTCCCATAATGACGTTTTCATTGTGCGATACCCCTCCATCTGAACATGTACTAGGTACATCCACTTACCCTCGGGTCCCACTATAATCTGGACTAGCCCCTCAACGTCATAAGTACTAGTGACTTACAGATTGTCACATCTCTACCCAACTCGATAGCCGTGTTTCATTAGAAATGCCGCAAATCTCTAACTCGCAACCCAATTATCTAAACAATGCGACATCTAAGGTTGGAATGCAATGCTGCATAACTGACACCGTGGCCCCGTTGCCACGAAAACCCCCGAAGAATGCCTAGCGCGAGGTCCAAGTACCTATACCTGTACAACACACAAGCCTCTTCTTGTACTCCCGTTGACTTGTTGGGCCTATGCGTATAGTATGCGGGAGGCCTCAATCCCCTCTCACCTGTGTGGGGTGCGGGCAGGTAGAAGCTAGAGCTGCATGTCACCTTCTGTACACTTCTATTCCATACACTACCCCAACCCCTCCGTTGGGGGATCTATTGTCCCAAGCCGGTTGGCGCTGGTTCCTGGTTTGCTCGCATACTTGCCCGGTCTACCCCTTCGGCATTGCCAGCCGAGGGTGTTGATTCGATGTATGTCGTACGTAGGCCGGCCATGGCTTTTCTCAGCCCTCGTGTCCGGCCGGTGTCGGTGTCCGGCGTACAAGGTAAGAATGAAATTGTAAGGAATTGTTTAGTCAACTGTCTGACTCAGAATAAGAATAGGAATACGCAATTGATTGCGCCTCCATTGGCGTGATGATCATTGATTTGTAGCTGTTGCTAAGTTAGATGTATGCTTGGTAGACTCGGCTGCCATAACTGATCTCCCAGCCCCTCCACCGAATCCCGAGGTCATCTCCGTCACTTCACTTCACTTCACTTCTGCTGCTTCAGCCATTCCCCCAGATCAAATTGCCCGTCCCTCAAATCCCCCGTGTTCCCCACAAACATGAAGCAAATTCCCTCATAATACTCCGAAGCTCCACGTTCACCAAACCGCAGCTCACAAGCCCGAGGGGCATAGCTATTAGTTTCGTAAACGGCAAGTCTCTCCGCATGTTCAACGCTCGCCACCTCATAGACAGATCCCTGCACTGTGTCCCGTGGCCTCCCAGGTAAGAGGGCGGGATATGAACCCCAGAGCTTGCATTTGTAGCCGTGAAGATAGGCGGGGCGGAGGACTGGCTCCTCGGCGAGATTGAGGATGTTCTTCAGGAGGGTTGGGTGCTGGAGGGTGCCGTAGAAGAAGTACAGGCCTGCTGGGGCGGGGCCTTGGGGTCTGGGGCTTGGTGTGAAGAGGACGCTTTCTGGTGCGATTGTTCTCATTTTGAGGACGCTTGGTGATATCTTGGACTGGGGGTTTGCTGGTGGTGGTGGGGGTGGGGTTGGTGGTACGGCATCGCGCGATGATGATGCTTCAGTAAGTGTGTTGACCATGATGGTGGTGATGGATGTGGAAGAGTTGGAAGAGAAAGAGAGAGAGAAGTGAGACTTGATGAAGTGAGGCAGGTGTTGATGTTTGTGGTCATGTTGATTGTTGTGATCAAACTCCCGGTCAAATATGACCTTAGTGATGACAACCACAGGCTTTCTAGGCTACAACTTGTGAATACGTCTAGTGAATGCTTATTCTTGAAACAATCTATATTCATGAACATTCAAGCTTTGGCGATCCCCGGATGAATGGAGCTTCACGATCCTATTTCGTCAAGGCTGTTTGGCCGGCGCGGGGTTTAGTGCCTAAATACCTAGTCACTTAGCCAAATCAGAGAGCAATCATATAGAGCGAGGACTGCTATCAAGTAAATACTTTGTTGGTTCGGTTCATATCTGCACAATGTTCAGCTGGGTTGTGTTGTCGCTTTGGGCAATCACCGCGAAAGCAGTGAGCCCAGAATCCCTGAACTCCGATATTTCCATTCTCATTCACAATGATCTACTAGGTAAGGTATGCTTGTTTATACACGGGAAACAAAAATTCACACTTCACATAGAAACCGAAAGTCCACTAGCTAGCTCGGGAGTTCTAATCCTCGACGCGAGGCCATGGAACGAAGCCACCGAAAGCTGTCAAAAGCTCGGAGAGAGTCTCTGGGGAGCATACTCCGACTTCAATGGTATCCAGTCCAACTTGGATTACCTTGTCTTCCAAGGCAAATATGCACGCAGTCAACGTTTCTGGACCTCAACCCGAAAAGCATCAACCATCGATGCCAACGGCCATATCAATACCGCTTCTGCAAATACCAGACTCCCCGTTCTCTGTACACAGAGCGCTCCACATTCAAACAAGACTTTTCAAAACACAAATTCACAATGGCAGGTGTCAGTTCACTCCAACAACGAACATCTCACCGGGTAAGAAGCGGACATCTCGAGAACCAGCAAGTCATGCTAATAGACCAGATTCCGAGACCGATTCAGTTTCCGCTTCCAAGGAATTCGATACGCCAAAGTGCCTCCCCGATGGGAATATGCACAGTCATACAAAGGGAGCGGTAAAAAGACTTCAGCCCTCAATTATAGCCCCGAATGTGCCCAAGGATCCACCGGCTCGGAAGACTGTCTGTTCCTCAATATATGGACACCATACCTGCCCAACCCATCAAAAATCAAAAAGAAGAACCTCAAACCGGTGATGCTCTGGATCCACGGCGGAGCATTCACAAGCGGCACAGGTAGCGACTCAACATTCGACGGCACGAACCTCGCTTCTCGGGGCGATGTAGTCGTCGTAACGATCAACTACCGCCTCGGAACACTTGGCTTCCTCGCCCTAGACAACGGAAAAACAAATGGGAACTACGGTCTAGCAGACCAAACCACAGCATTGGAGTGGGTTCGTCGCAATATCCATGATTTCGGGGGCGATCCAGACAGAGTGACAATATTCGGGCAGTCGGCCGGGGCAGGATCAGTTCGGGCTCTACTTGATTCACCCAAAGCCCGCGGAAACTTTGCAGCTGCGATAATGCAGAGTAATCTTGGTGGCTTGGCTTATGGAACCACCTACTCGAAGTACTATACCATCGCACAGGAGATGGAAGTTGTCGGGCATGCAATTCTCACCGAGACGAATTGCACGGATGCTGCATCACGGCTTGAATGTCTACGAGCACTGCCAGCATCGACGATTACGACTCTTTCTAACTCGGCACGATATCTAGTTGTTGATGGCGTCTACCTCAACCGCCCAGAGCTGGATCTAATCAATCCTTCATCCACAGCGAATATCCCTCTAATGATCGGAACGATGAGAGATGATGGTGCCGCCATGATAGGCTATCCAACAGCCGGAGAGACAATCCAGACGTTCCTGAATAAATCAGGAGTACCCGAGTCCATCGCTCCGAGTCACTTATTCCCCGTTCCTTCAACGGCTAATGCTACACTTGATATCTTCAACACCACAGCCCGGATAGCGACAGACGCTATCTTCCGCTGTGTCGATGAAGCAACTGCATACGCCGGTATGACGAATCATATTTTCCCGGATATCTTCTATTACGAGTTCAACCGCTCGTACCAAATGCCCGACTGGTCGCCTAATGCCCCGGTGTGCGACGCACCTACCACAAACGGATTCCCAGATGGCGATCCAAGTCAGGAGTATTTCAAATGTCATTCTGGGGAGTTGTATTATGTCTTTGGGACAATTCTTCGTCAGGGATTGCCGCTTCGCGACGAGTTCGATTTACCCTTTGGGCAATACGTGTTGGATTCGTGGGCGAGTTTTGCGCGGTCTTATAATCCTACTCCTGACCTTGGGTTTTTGAAGGCGAGGGGCTATGCTAATACAACTCGACTGGCTGTTGAGGCTGGGTCTTGGGCGTCGTATCGTGAGAAGGGTCAGTTTCGGTTGTTGCAGTGGCCCCCGAGCATGAGGGACCTGGTTGAGCTTGAGCAGTGTCGTGCGTTGGGGTTACCTTTGGAGTACCTGGTTTAGGGGGATGTTTAGGACGTCGCGGGGTTGTCTCTGTTGACTTTTGGGTTGGGATGAGTTGATGTGCTCTTAAAGATCTGCGGGCCGCAAAGCTTAAATATGAGAGATCCACTATGTGTATACATACTGCATGGATGTCAAGCCTAGGTCTTTTCTGATGCACTGTCCTGGCTTTTGCCAAAGGCCTTGGTGACATTCAATATAGTGGAAATGTAGAATGACCGTGGGTCGTTGTCAAGGAAGGACGCGGTGAGGGCCTGACATGGAACAAGGTGAAGCTTTGCCTCTACTAAGTACATTGTCTGTTTGAACAGAGCTCGAGGTATATGGGATGCGTAGACGAGCATGTGTATATCATTGGGTTCATTTATAGCTAGATCAAGTCTGCGATATGGGTTCCTTTTACAGGTTTTTCTTCCTCTTAAACCCCAGTTGAAAGAAATGTGAAATGATGTCTGTAATATCTATTCAATACTTGTTGAAAGAATCAAAGGCAAGTGAGATAGTGCGATGAAAATTAAAGAAATTTGAACAAATTTTATAGAAAAAGTGTACAAAAAATGCAAAAAAAAAAAAAAAAAAAAAAAAAAAAAAACCATATAACCCTACAAATATTTACTAAAAGCGACGGGAGAAGAGGGAAACAATTTCAATAGAAACGCGAGACATTTCCCTAAAGAGCGTTTAAAGTCTGGTTAATTCTTATAAATCTACGAAACACCTAAACACCTAATTACTATAGAGGAAAGACGTAATATCCCTCTTTTACCTCCAATTCGCGAGACACTGCCTTTAGACCTCAGAAATGAACGAAATACCTTTTTTTTAGCCCTTATTCTACTAAGAATTTTCCTTTTTAATATCAAAAAATCTACTTAAAATGCAATTTCTTTTTTCCTGGGCCAAAATTTTGCGAGGTGTTACTTTTTTTGACAACCACCAAAGCCAAATTCACGTTGGAACAACATGTACAACAGTGATATACCACCATCCCAGACAACAATTATGGTCTAAGCCTCCCTTCTATCGCAGGCCCGATATGGAGGTATTGTTTTTTCCCCCTTATTTTCTGAAACCAATATCAAGTTTGCCTTTGAACGGAGAGGTCCTTGCTCCATATATATAAATAGTTTGTATAGGAACATCACATACAAAATCCTCTGAAATATAGCGTTATTCCTTTGTACCAAAAGTCCGCTAAACGGATTAAACCTCCTTAATAGATATATGAAGTCCCTCACCTTACAAATCCATATCTGGATAGTTGATCCACTTCCGACGCAGCTTCCGAAGAGCATCATCGAACGGACCATATCCATTCTCGGATCTGCACTATGTTTTGATTTGGTGTGCAAAGTCACAGAGGTAGTATTACTACTAGGATGCAATCATACAAGGAACAGCTCAAACATCTCATACCCGCCATCAAGTGTCCTGAACCGACGGCGGATGTATAGATGGCTAGCCGACGGCACTTCTACTTTTTCAGCCATTGACAGTTAACCATAAGTTAAGGCTGTGCACGCGTAGCCAAATAGAGTAGATAAGAGAGCCCACATAGCCAATTCCATCTCCTTAAAGCACAACAAAATACAAAAATGGCCGTCTATAATTGACATCATCCTCGATAAGATCGGATACGTCCCTTCCGACGCTTCCCCTCATGAAATAGACAAGTCCCGCAACCAGATCCCAACTTTTCTTTCCCTTCTCTCTCCTTTTTTTTTCACATTTTCAGAGCCAAAATCATCAATTGAAACTGGCAAGACCGAAAAAGCATAGTCCAAACCGAACTGCCCGAAATGTCCTACCGAATTGCATACGATACTGCCCGGGCACCTCCCCGCGGCGCCGCCCTCGTCGCATTCATGGAAGACTTCTACCGTACCAGCGATACAGAGTCCTTGCACGAGAAATACGTCCAGAGCTTTACGGAAGATGCGACCCTCATTATGGGTCCTAAGGAGGCGAAGGGTACTAGTGGTATGCTTCCTCATCCTCATTTCTCAATCACAGCCTATAAATCTACGAAACTATGCAGAAATGCAACAAAGCCCAGGTTGATATCGACGTATCTTGTCTTCGGATCTTGCTACATACAGCTAAAATCTATCCCACTGCATCTGTAAATATACCAACTGACAACCGCATTCAAAACAGAAATCCTCCCTCTCCGCCACGGCCTCTGGACTCACGTTGCCGCGCGCCAACACACCCCTACGCGGATCTTCTTCAGCGGCGACGACGAAATTATGTTGTACGGTGGTGTGAACTATAGGCTCAAGGCTAACCCCGAAAATGAAGTCTATGTACCTTGGGCTGGACGGGTTGTCTTTGCGCCTCAGAAGGAGGGTGAGGGTGTTAAGATGCAGTTTTACCAGGTTTACTTGGTGAGTATCTCATTCCTTGACTTATGTGTCTTGTTATGTGGGTGGAGTGTTGATGCTAATGGTTGTAGGATACTGCGGCTCAGTCGGGGAAGAAATAAAATTACATGTAGTCAGATAGAACTTGAGTTGATTTGTACATATGACAACGGCTAAGCTATGGAATTCTTCGATGATTTAATACAATCTGGACATACCGAGGTTTTGGACGACGATATACGAGTCCGGGAGAGTAATAAGTTATACGTACCAGACTAGATCTACGCCTACGACAGGAGAGATTGAACGGTTTTGAAGTGTTTCAGACATGCTCTTTATTTCCAGGAGACCGCGAGAGAAAACAGGAACAAAGACGCCGTAGGGTTGGTCGGGTCAAAGAGGTGAGGGGAGATCATAAAACATGTCAAAGGGAAAAAGATCCCCTCCCGTCTACCGCACAAGTCAAGTGCCTCGACAGAAAGAGGGGAGGTTTGGAAAGACCGTCTCGTCCACTCTTCTCTCTCGTTCAGGTCTCCGGATTTGATGCCTCTCCTCATGCACTCTCCACCCCCATATCTCTCTCCGCTAGCCCCGTCTGGTCGTCAGATGGTGTGATAAAAAAATGCGTTGGAATAGGAAACAAGTAAGAAACAAACGTAAAGTCGCGCACGGGACCGAGCTCCGAATTTTTATTTTTGTGCCGTCATTTCCAATTTTTGCAGCGACGCCGTAGCGGGAAGCAAAACCACAAAAACAAACGACTTATCCCCGAACTATTAAAAGCCCTGTTGCGATACGTTTATTCCTCATCAGACTCCTCCTCCTCATCGACGGTGGTCTTAGCGATACGGTCCAAGTCACGCTGGCCGGACTGGGTGATGCGACGGCCACCCTTTTCCTCATCGGTCTCGAGGACACCGATCTTCTCGAGGGCCTGGAGAGCCTTGCGGTCGACGGAGCCGGAGGCATCGACGTGGTGGGCGGGGCGGGCACCACGGTTCTTGGTGGAGCCGTGGACCTTGCGGAGGCGGCCGACACCAACGGTCTTGCGCATGTAGATGTGGCGGGCACAGGCGGCGGCGCGGACGTAGAACCTGTCAAGGAATCAAATGTCAATTGGCTGTTCTGCTGCAAATGGATTTTGATGGTCGTACCAGTCAGCATCCTGGGGAGGAAGCTCGTTGGAGGCAGAGGTCTTGACAGTGTCAACCCAGCCGGGGATGGGGAGCTTTCCCTGACGCTTCAGGAAAGCAGAGTAGGCAGAGATGAACTTCTGCGCCTGTAGGAGTGAAAAGAGACATGTTAGCCACGGCCTTTTGCAAAATGTGTGGATCGGTCAGAGTCTGCAATTTTGCAGATGGTCGGGCTCGTTTCTGGTTGCAGTTCATCACATTGTCGTATGTTCTTGCCAGCATGTAGTCCCTAGCATCGAGTATCCTAGATAGAATACTGATTGATAGACGAATCCATTGAAATTTTGGTCCCGCCAAAACAAGCGTGCTTGTCCTTCAATATTGATATTTTCCTGAAGACAACAGTATAAACCGTCGCCTGTTTTGTATTTCAAGCGATTTATTTCCATCATGGCGATAATATCCGATCGAGTTTGTGATTCCGTGCATCCAGAAACGAACCGTCCACATCACGCAAAGGAGACCTGGTGAGCCGATCACCTAAGAAAATCGAGCAGGACACTTACGTCCACATCGCGAACGGTAACACCACCCATTTTGGCGACTTGTCGAGTGGTCGAAGGGTAGGGATTAGAGAGAGAGAGGCGTTGGGCGTCGAGGTGGGCAGGGTCGAAGTCGAAGAGTCGCTCAAAATTTCAAGACACACACAACGCTGGGCGGGTTGGGTCTGTGTGCCGTTCGCTTGTCCTTTTTGGGTTAGCCGTACCCTAAACTGGGTCATGTGATTTATTGTGGCCTGACGGGTCGGGCAGCAATAGCCCTCGATTGATGCCTGCATTTCCAGGCACTAAATACTTCTAGTTACGCAACTAAATAACGTTATAACGTTAATGCTACACTTCAGTAACTTACTTTTCAAGCTCAAGTTAACATGTCTATCGTGCCAGTTGTCATTACTCATTATTGTAAGAAAATAAAATAACAATAACCCATCTCCCAATGCCTGAACCTGAAACCCTCGCTCCTGTATCCATGCCAAAAAAAGAATCAAATTACAGCGTGGGCGCTCTCTTCAGCCCAACGCAATACCGTACAAATAGTGTGTCAACAAAATGACCGTGTCGGATGCCTGGTGGGCGACACCGGTTGAACTCATCAATTGCCTGCTGCACACCGAAGCCAAGACGCTCGATGAGATAGCAAGCAATTAAAAACCCGGTGCGATTGTAGCCATAATGGCAGTGGACTCCAACCAATGGACGAGGCAAGGACTTGTCCTCGCGCTTCTCCATCTTATCATCGATCTCCCTTTGCAGGCTATCAACCAGGGCAATGAAGTCACGCGTCTCATCTGGGGTTGGGGGAATCTTAGACACAGTCGGGTGCTTGCAGTAGCGAATGCCACCTTTCTCCATCTCGGCCGGATTGTAGACCGGACTCTCATGACTGATGTCAATGACAGCGTGGATGCGATCGCGGTACTTGGCCGAGAATGACACAGGAT